GGAGTGCAAGTGTGTCTTGATTGTGCGATTCATGATCGCGTATGTTCCCAAAGGATGATTTCTTGACCCCCAAGACAGATTTGGAATGGGTCCCGCGTTTTTCCCAACATGTGAATTCACATGTTCCTTTTTCCCAACAAGTGAATTCACATATTCCTTTTCCCAAAATGTGAATTCACATATTCCTTTTCCCAAGAATCCTACACAAAATTTCAAAATGTGAAATCACATTTTCATTTATTCCCAAAATGCATTTTTTCCCAAATGTGAACTCACATTTTGCTATTCCCCACAATGTGACTTCACAGTTTGCCCTTGCCGTCAAGATCCCCCGAACTGAGGCGCAGTGTTCCGCATGTCAGATTGGCTGGGCAGATTTCGACACTCACCTGACCGCTTTCGTTTGTTCCAGCTCTTTTTTTTGCGCCCTCAGCGCCTTTTGCCTTCGTCGCCTTTCCCGAGCCCACCGCCCCCTTACTTCCTTTCCCCTCAAGTCTCGCGCATGGGTGCAAGCGGGGGGCTTCAATTACTTCCCCCGCCGAACACAGCAATCGAGGATGCATCGCCCACTCATGGCCCATAAAGATATCATTGCCGGGACCCTGCGCCCGACCCCCACTTTCACCTTCCAGTCCCCCCCCACCCCCCCTCCCTGAGACAACCCCAGACGCGGCAGGGGTCGAGAACCCCAGCTGGGTGCTCGTGGCACCGGCGCAACAACCAGGAGAGACACAGTAGGATCCGCAAGAGCCCAGACAGCCGCGCGCACACCAAGTCCGCTGGCTCTAAGTGATCAGGCGGCAGCCGGCCTCGCGCCACCGCGAAGTACGGGGGTGGATTCCTAAGATAGGAACCCGAACCGCCCCCGCACGCGCCTGGCTGCTAGCAGCGCCCCCCCGCCCCGCGCCAGGACACCGCGGCGCCCCAGGCGAGCGCTAGGCCACGCGGGGCGACGCGAGAGGCGGCCCAGGCAGAGGGGAAACCGGGCGCCCCCACGCCGCGGGGCTGCCCGCTTTTGGGCACCCATGGGGCTCTGGCCTTGGCGCTAACAGGCTAGATGGGGCAAGAAATACAGTTTTTAATACATGCTCCGCGTGCGGATCATGTATTTAAAAAAAACGCAGGGATTTAGCATTAAAACAACGATGAGTTCATGCATAAATTTACTCATATCATATATTAAAATCATGTGTTTTCAAAATCCGATGTTTTAAAAACTGCCCAGTAGCGCGCAGCCTCCGCGCAACAGCGCTCCCGTCCGACTCGGCGGTCCATGGGCGTGCCGGCGTGGAAGGCGAGGCCACGCCCGGCACCGCGGCTGGGGGGGCAGGGCGTAGGCCGGCGAGAACAACGGGCTCGCCCCCTCAACGCCATACCCAAGTCTTTCTTTAAGAGGCCGCCGAAGACATGCCAAGAAGGTCCCATGACGACTTCGAGAAGCAGTCCAGGATGCTCCGAGGAGGCCCAAAGAAGCTAGCTAGAACTACTTGATCGCGCGCGAAGCGCACGCGATTGTCTGATGATGGTGATGATGATGCTGATGATGATGATGATGATGAGGAGGAGGAGGAGGAGGAGGAGGAGGAGGGGGACGAGTACAAGGGGTAAGAGGGAAGGGGCGGTGGAAGGGGGAGGAGGAAGAGGAACTTTGCATCGCCCTTGGGCTAAGCTAAGAAAGAGTGGGAGTTGCAGGAGGAAGGAGGAAGAAGCTTGGAGCCATGTTGCAAATTTCTTGGGGTTTTATTGGTAGGGTTTTGATGCTCTTTTGGGGCTTCCAGCCATCATTGGGATTGCCCTGAGGTTTTGTGTATTCGGAAGCCCATGGGAGGCGAAAGGGTGAGACGACCAAAACATTGAACAATTTCAGATTCTTAGACGATGTCGACCTTACGGGGCATCTTTGGACGGCTCTCTGGCCACTTCAGGCCGTCTTGTGGCGATCTTGGGCCCTCTTGGAAGCATGCTGGAGGCCATCGTGCACCAAGTTGGACCAGATCCCGCGATCTTGAAGAGCAGTTTCGGCTATCTGGTGCCATCTCGGGCCATATTGGACGCTCTTATCGCTCGTGGCCCCTCCGTCCGGACCTAAGGGGAAGACTTTCCCTGACGTGATGTAGGAGGAGGTCCCACGGGGAGAAAAGTTAATCCAAGAGAGAAGCCCCCCCCCGAACCACCGACGCCTTGACAGCGGGTAGAATCAGGGCCGCGCACTTCTCCGAGGCAGCTTGAGGAGGAGCGCTTGAATCCAGCAGTTAGAGAGGCTCGGGCAAGCGGAGGGTAGAAGATGGATGGGGCGGAAGGAGAGATTAGCTTGATTAGACCCAGCAACAGAGAGGGCTCCCGCCCCAGCCCAGCCCAGAGACGGAACCAAGCACTGGCATGGGCCAGGGACCCAACATTGGATTGGAGAGGCCCTACGGCGAGTGTTCCTTCCGACCCTGATGGAGCTCGGGAGGTCCCGTGGACGGCCGCGCGGGAGATCCGAGGGACGCGCGAAGAGGCAGGCCGACGAGTATATCCCAGATCGGCGTGAGGAGCACCTGGTCACTAGCTGGGGATCCTCCTCGTCCTCCTCCTCGTCCTCCTCGTCCTTTGCTCCTCGTCGTCGTCGTCGTACTCCTCTTCCTCCTCCTCATCCTCCTCCTCCTCCTCCTCCTTCTCCTCCTCCTCCTCCTCCTCCTCTTGAGAGATGGGGCCGACCCCCTCAGAAGGCGGGGGTGGGGAATTCCCAGCAGCCCCCCGCGGCTTCCGAGAAGACGCCCGCGTCTTCGGAGGAGCCAAGGCTCCGCAGCGGGCCGCAGGAAGTCTCCGAGCCTCCCGCGGGGGAGGCGCGCCCCCGCTGCCGCGGGCGCGCTGCCCCCGTGGGCAGGCGCTGCTGCCGCGGGTCCTCCTCCTGTGCCCCCAATCAAACTACAGTGCCGTTTTTAATACATGCTCCGCGTGCGGATCATGTATAAAAAGCGCAGGGATTTCGTTTAGAAAAAACGATGGGTTCATGCATACATTCATTCATAAAGGAATCATGTATCAACAATCCTATATGCTTAGAAATCCTGTGTATTCAAACCTGCCCTGTAAGCTTGACATCGCTCGGGCGTGTGCACGTTTTTCCTCGGCGAGGACCACCGAGAACCATCACAGGACACCCTGCGAAAAAACACACACGCACGAGATATCGGAACATGCACGGGGCGGGGGCGTCTGAACGATGGCGAGAGCCAGGCTTTGCCCCAGGGGCCTGTCTTCGTCTTGCAGAGGTTGCGCCGGCTGGCCTCTCCGGGGTTCCGTGGTTCCTGTGATGCTCGGTTCCTTGCTGCCCTCCTCGGGTGCCTCGGTCTCGCGGTTCCCTGGCTCCTCGGTCCTTGGTTTTTTTAGGCCCCTCGGTCTTTGGATTCTTGGTTCCTGACCATGGCTCCCTGGGACGTGGTTCCCTGGATCCTCGGATTCCTGGTCGGGGTTCCGTGGATCCTTGGATCCGGGATCTTGGTTCCTTGGATCCTTGGTCTTGGTTCTTTGGCTCTTTGACCTTGGTCCCTTCGTTCCTCGGCTCCTTGGTCTTGGTTCCTTCGTTCCTTGGTCTTGGCTCCTTGCTGCTTCGCTACGCAGTGCTGAGCAATGCCAGTCAACGTGACGCAATACCACTCAATGCCAAGCTGTACCAAGCAATGCCAAGCAATGTGCCAAGCAAACTGCCGAGCAATCTGCAAAGCAATATGCCAAGCAAGGCCGCGCAATGCGCTCATTGAATCGGAAGGTTCCCCCTATTTGGGGCTGCGCAGGGTTCATTCATCCATGATGTGGGTGCGGTTTGGGAGAGTAGTTCGCGTGGAACATGGCCTTCTCCTCCTGCTCCTCCTGCTCTTCCTCCTCCTCCTTCTCCTCCTCCTCCTCCTCCCCTTGGGTGGAAATGTAGCAGTCCCGTCCCCCGCCCTGTTTCCCGATGTTATACGGGGTGTCAGATATGCAAGTACAAGTGGAACGCCGCTCGCGGATCACCTCATGCGTCGGTGATCGTTTTGGTGAGGCTGGAACCGCGATGGATCTATGCATATACACATATATAGATTGAGCTTTACTGCGAGTCATATATGTATATATACACACATATATATATATATATATGTGTTGGGAGAGAGAGAGAGAGAGTTGACGCCATGTGCCTGGCGGCCCGTCCAATCAACAAGCTTCTTCTACAGGATCGCCAGGCCGCGAGGCTGCGATTGGATCGGTCAGCGATTCTCGATTTCAATGTTGACATAGGCACTCCACTCGTATTATCTGACTCGTGAGACGGCGGCCCTTCAGGTGGCAGTCCAGTCTGGTCCCTCTGCCCCTCCCCCTGCTGAGGAGGAGGAGTAGTAGGAGGAGGAGGAGTAGAACATGTGGAGGAGGAGGAGGAGGAGGGGGACGAGTACAAGGGGTAGGAGGAGGGGGAGGGAGTAAGAGCAGGAGGAGGAGGAGGAGGATCACCATCATCACCATCATCAGCAGCAGCATCACCATCATCATCATCATCATCATCATCATCATCATCATCATCATCATCATCATCATCATCATTATCATCGTCGTCATCATCATCAGCAGCGTGCAGACAGACGTTGGGTCTGTATGTGTGCACATTTGTATGTGTACACCCTTTGGGCACTTGTGTGTATACATACATATATATATACAACTTCCTCCCTCCGAGCAGGACCCAAACAACCGATACGACCCCCGTCGATCAAGAACCCTTGTCGATCAAGAAACCTTGGGCTCATTGTCTCTATCCCTCTTTCTCTCTCTCACTCTAACTTTCCCCCTCTTTTTGTCTTTCCTCCCTGTCTGTCTGTCTGTCTCTCTCTCTTTCTTTCTAGCTCTCTGTCTCACTCTCTTTGTTTCCTTCAGCACGCCTCCATCTTTAGTCCTACGTCTCCTCTCGCTTAGCCTTTCCATCCCCATCAGTCCGTTTCGTGCACGTCTTGGTACTCGGTGCGATCCCTCGACGCTTTGGTTCGAGCCGCAGCCGTCGGCTTCCCAGGGTGCGGAGAACTTGTGCTTGCACGGGGCTTCCTACGTCCAATGTTTAGCCACCGATGGGACCGATCAGTAGGTACCAGCACTGGTTCCAATGGGTCTGCTGTTCCGCTCCTCATCCACTTGGACGTCAACAAGACCGTCATCCAGTCCGACTCGATTCAGCTGAAGAGCATCGAGGATGGAATTCGCGAGGGCATAGCCGAGCTCTTTTGGGGCGTCACGAAGAAAACTGGTGACAAGGTGACATGGGAGTGGACAGGGGCAAAGGCATCGTGCTCTCCCCCGACTGACGACATCCGCAATGTAGGCACAACTTTGCAGAATTATGCTCAGTATTGCAAAGAGGCAGTGCGTGACAAGAAAGAGCGCAAGGAGGCGACAAAGTCATTCAGCCTTCTTGATGATACTCCGGTCAAGAAAGAGATGGATAAGTTGTTGGCACTGACAATGAAGAGAATGCAGCTGCCCCCAGATATCCGGTATTCTAACGATGCTGCAATAGCGGGCCTCAAAGGCCCCACGTACAGCATGTTCCCCAGCCTTTTCCACATGGTCGCTAACCTCCAGAAGTCAAACCGCCAGTTCGCAATTATCTTTCGGTCGTTCGGCAAGGACCACGAGAAGATAAAGACAGAGTGGAATGTGTTCTGCGAGGGGAGGCACCCCATCTTTAAGAGGCTTCTCTCTCCTTCTCTCTCTCTCTATCTTCCATCTCTCTCCCCTCCCCGCTTCTACACTCGCTCCTCCCTCCGCCATCCTCCGCCCGCCCTCCAGAGCCAATGTTCGACAGGCTAACTGATGAGACGGGGGCGATGGACGGCACGGTGCCTGGCGTACCGGATCGCAGAATCCACAGTTTGCACACTCTGTACAGAGACCAGCAAGGCCCGGTCTTGATGCTAGACACATTCACGAACGGTCCGGACGCGAAGTCGTGGGACAGTTGGGTCAAGTCGTCGCCCCCGCCGAAAACCGACAGTCGCGACGGGCGCGAGTATATCCGCCGGGAGCTCAAGTGCAAGACTGTCGACGGCATTTCGAACGTGCAGAAGTGGATGGGCAAGCATCTGGCCGCCCAGCAGACAACAGCGATCAAGGACGATTGGGCATGGTGGCAGTGGAAGGGTGAGACGGCTGAGGCGGGCAAGTTGCTCACATTGATTCCCAAGATCAAGTCGCACCAGGTGTTTTTCGACGACAACATCGACCACAAGGACTGCAGGATCGTAGATTGCCGTGACGAAAAAGGCGGTGCGATTCCGGCCAACACGGCTTTGAACAAGTATTGCGTCAAGGTGAATCCGGTGGAAGCCATTCTAGATAATGATTATTTCTACCGCAAGTTGCTCCACGCGCAGGGGGACAGCCTCGATGTGGGGGCTTCCATGTTGGGTTTGCAGAAGCAGTTGACAGAGGTCGAAGAGGAGAAGGCCGATTACGCCAAGCAGGTCAACGACCTCAACCACCAGCTCAAGACGCTCATGGAAGAAAACCGACGGATGAAACTTCAGCGAAGGATCAACGTCCGGGATGAGGGCGAGCTCAGCAGCCTCCTGTCGAAGTACAAGGAGGTCGACTTGTCAATGTTCGACCAGCAGGGCTTCCGAAGCATCTCAGAGCTCTACTTTGAGCTAGAGCATGGCCATTGTGGGCTCGAGACCACCGAGTCGGATAACATTGTCAGGGTTATCGACATGGTGTTCCTCAAGATTCATTTCAAGGACTTAATTTTGATCGAAACCCATGAGCAGGACTCGCAGCAGCGAGTGCACACTCGCAACTACTTACCTGGGATCACGGCGAACGTAAAGGAATCGAGTGCCCAGAAGGAATTGCAGAGTTGGCTGGAGAGCGGACTGGGGGTTAACCTGTCGAAGCTCATAGAGGTCGAGTCGCACCCCGTGTACGTTCCCAGCGCTTCCAACCAGCTGACAGGTGCGTCGAAGTCATACCCGATGCAGTGTGTGATTCAGCAGAGCCAGGGCACATATACCATTCCTGAGAAGGAGGTCGACCTGAACAAGGACATCCTGGCGAAGATCGGACTTCCAAATGGCAAGCACTTCACCAGTCAGGCTCGCGGCGTACAAATATTCAGAACCCACCTGGGCCTGGGTATTGGTTGCCAGATACGCCTCCGTGACGACGACTCGATTTTTTTGGGAAGCGTTCCTCAGCGGTCTTCTTGTCGACCGCAAGAGTTCGTTTGTGCTGTGGTAGCCTTCGTGGCTTATCTAGTTGCAGTGTTAAGACGCGCACGTATGCAAACGCACATGCGCGCACGCGTGCACCAGCAAACGCCAGCACACCCGCGCACGTGCCCTCACACAGACACAAACACACACACACACACACATACACACACACACGCGCATACAATCGCACACACGCGCGCACACGTGTATGCACGTGCATACGCACACACGCGCGCACAAGCGCACACATACACACACACACACACACACACGCTCAAACGAACACACCAGCGCAAACACGAACGCACACGCGCCAACTCGCACACACATACACACGCACGCACATGCACATGCACATGCACATGCACATGCACATGTGCATGCGCATGCACATGCACATGCACATGCACATGTGCATGCACATGCACATGTGCACGCACGTGTACGCACTTGCAAACACGCGCAATCGCACGCACGCGCATTCACACGCACGCACTCGCAAACTGTCTGCCGACCGATCCGTGAGGTTCTCTGTCAAGGGTGAAAAGACACCACATCCCCAGTCGATCTCTTCACGCGCGTGGGCGTCTACGAAATAGCCCTGGCCGTTTCGATTATTTCCCTGGACGCGTGCGCTAACGGCTAAGAGCTCCCTTCGTAGGGGTCCTTACATATTGAGGGCGGTGATTCTGCCCGCTTCCACTGGGGCCCGACTCTGGGCAGGGACCCCGGACGCCGAGACCTGACCCGTCCCCCAGCCGCCCAGGAGAGGGACCTCCACGGCGGGACCATCACCAGGTTCTGGCGCTGGGACAAGAAGGCCACGTGGGAGGCGTCGGCGGGGCTCGCGGGAAAGGAGCGCGGGGCACCAAAGCCGTTTGCAGCGGCTCCCGAAGCACAGGGCCCGCATTCTCTGCACCGGACATCCCGCGGCCAGAAAGACTGCACCCTCTCCCCGCCCATCAACCCCGGGGGCGGGCGCGGGCGGCCTGCAAAGTCTCCAAGGCTTCCGCTCGGCGCTCTTCTCGCCAGCGGGGTCGCTGCGCCGCCGTCGGGCGCTGCGTCTGGCCCGAGCTCCCCGTGGAGAGAGTCGGACTTTCTCCAAAGGGAGACGGGGGGGGGGACTCTCAGAGTCCCCTCCCTGCCTTCTCCCTTCCTCCTCCCCCGCGGGCGCCTTGGGCGGGCGGGCGGGCACCCCGCGTGCGCCCGAGATGCGAAGGCCAGCATTCGCGCCTCCTCCTCTTGCTGCGGGGGGAGTGGTAGAGACAACCAGAAATTGGGAGGAGCGACGAGGAGGAGGAGGAGGAGGAGGAGGAGGATGAGGAGGAGGAGGACCAGTGTAAACCCCAGAGTCATCGACGATGTTGGAATAAACCCTCCCTCCAAGCTCCCTCTTCATAGACCCCTACAACGGTTCATTTCCATTGAGGGAATTGCCTCGTTGGAAGACAACCGTTTGAAGACCATGAAGCATGTCAAAACATTGTTCTCGGGATTTCAACGCCACGGATCAACCTGACTGCTGCGTCTTGACGGTCCTGAACCTTGACAGAACGTCATTTTTGGGACTTCAGCACCGCGAATCAACAAAACTGTTGCGCCCGCATAATCCTGAATCTTTCCAACAAATAATTCCTGGTACAATGACCATGGGAATCTGTGAAACTCTGACAAGTTCCATGAACGAATGCGCGCGGCGCTAATGCGAGAGCCACAGTTTGAATATGAACCGCCCTCAATCCGTGAAGCTCGTGCAGATGTTATACACGAAGGTGCGCGGCGCTGAAGCGAGAGCCACAGTTTGAAAACCACGCGCCCTCAATCCGTTAGACTCTTGCATTTGTTCGACGAGTGTGCGCGGCGCTAAGGCGAGAGCCACATGTTGAAAACCACCTGCCTTCCATCTGTGAAATTGTTGTCACTTGTACAGTTTCAGAGCCAGAACGGCGAGGAAGTCTCAGGCGAAACGCCTGGCCCGCCCTTAAATCTAGCCTCGGAGTGCTAAAGGAGAGACGTTATGTATAAGGAAAAGGAATGGAGGAGGAGGAAGAGGAGGAGGAGGAGGAGGGGTCGCCCGTTCAAGATCACAATAACCCCTGCCCTCCTGCCAGCTGTCTGCGGCATGTTGTCGTGGTAGGCGGGCGAGAACTGCACTGCCAGGTCACACGGCATGATGATGATGATGATGATGATGATGATGATGATGATGATGATGTTGAGGATGATGATGATGATGATGAGGAGGAGGAGGAGGAGGAGGAGGAGGTGAGGTGAGGTGGACAGGAGGCCTCCCGCCATAGTGGCTCCTGCGTCTTGCAGGCGACCGCTTCTTGCCAGAGGACACCCTGGCACCCACCGCCGCGGGCGCGCGCGAACCCCCGTAAAATGACAGAGAACGTGCTCTCTTAGCACGGGCCCCCTATTAGTATTTCGTGCCCCCTTGTCTTCCATGCAGCAAGCCCCGTACATTCCACACACTTGCTACCCTAATCGCTTCACCTCCAGCTACCAAGTGACGGCGCAGTACCACATCTCAGTGGTTTGGCGGCCCAGCCATCACAGAGGCGCAATGAATTTGGCACGCAGCACCTGTCAGGACGTCAGACTGGCCGACGCCTCACGGCACGGCTTCGGACCAACCACGCCGACCAGGGTGGTGTTGCCTCTAGCCAGGGCCTACTTCACCGAACCGAGACAAGAGCCTATCGCGCGCCCATGGTCCACCCGTAACGTGGGGACAAGCAGGAATACTGCTCCCTAGGACCTAGGAGTGATGCGGACGAGAACGAGGGAGGGCGTCGGCCAAGGGAGGAGGAGGAGAGAGGAACCGAGTCAGGATTATGCAGGATGAACAGGAGCGAGGACTGGGACGGGGGTCTGCAGGAGTGAGGACTTGGACAAGGAGGAGTAGGAGGAGGAGGTGAATAAGGAGATTGGCAGGATAAGGTATATGGAGAGAATAGAGGAGGGAGGAGAAAGGCTGCTAGACGCGAAGGAGGAGGGACGAGAAGTAAGATCTTGCATCCGGCTGAGATGAGAGAGGGCAACATGGATGCGGGTAGGACTGAAGAGGCAAGGGGAAGGCGTGGATGGGCAGATGGAAAACGAGTGCGACGGCGACTAGTACGGGGATCGGATGAGTGGGGCGCGGTGACGTGGAATAATATGAACAACTATTATATGGAATAGGAAGTACCAGTCGCACTGTAAACCCACAAGCACGCTCGCTGGCCAACCGTGCGCAAGAAAATACGCCATCGTCTCACCCAACCGAAGTCGGCTGGCGCTCAACATTCTCAGGGCGGAATGTGGGTGCCAGCGACAAATTCGCAAGCATGGCCTTCCAACGACGGCTCAGCAAGGATAAGGGCGAGTTGGGGCTCACCGAAGGAAGCAGCAGCGACAGTAGGGACACCCACACCCTCACCGACTCACAGTCCCCATTCCTGCGCGGCGCCACTCAGTTCGTACCTTTTGCAGAACGGAAGACGAATCGAGGAAAGCGGAGAGAGCGAGGCAATTGGGTTGGGAGCTAAACGATCGCAGCATTGTATATAGAACCGGTTCTTGCTGTTGCCCCTCAGGGCGAACATCGTGCATGTCCCAGACGCGTGGCCGATAAACGCGTAGCCATCAGGCTCGCAAGGAGGAAGAGGAGGAGGACGAATGGTGGAGCCCCTTCCTCCGTCAGTGGGGAGGCTGGCAGTTTCCATGAGCCGCGCGCTGGACTCGTGAACATGAACAAACAACTCCGCTCGCATTCTGCGAGCGGCACCACCTGACCACTTCTCGGGCGGCGAGGTCTATACATATCCACTGCTCCCCGGCCAGGCCCATCCTGAGCTCACGAGCTGTGTATACGCCCTCCTGGCCAAGCCAGGAGGGCGTGGCGTATGCACCGCTGCTGGGTTCAGGCTGGGCCTGGCCAGGGAGCAGTGGATATGTGTGGATCTCGCCGCCCTATGCATTTCTCGGCTCTCAGATCACGACGCGGCCCCACCGGCCGTGCGTCCCAAGCGGCCTCCGCGGGGCACCACTCCCGCGCCAGGCAGCCCATCCCCACGCAGGCCAGGGCGGGGAGCCGCGGCCGTGGGACGAGCGGCCGGGGGCCCCCACCGAGCCGCCCGCGGGCGACCTGCCCACCCCGGCGCACGCGGGGGGAGGAGACGGGGAGGGGAGGTGAACGGGGGGATGCGCCTCGGCGGGGCCGCCCACGGCCAGAAGACAAGTGGTTACTCACAAGGCTTCCTCTCCAGGGCCCGAGTCCACGGAGTCTGCATCCGACGGCGGAGAAGTCCCCTCCTTGCGCCGGCGCGCCCCAAGCGCAGCAACCCAGCCTTCATTCTCCTGACGAGGCCTGGAATAAGACCGGGGATGTGGAAGGGAGATCGGGCACGCACCGGGGGAGGGAGCTCCTCGCGCCACAGGCTGCCGTGGCAGAGTCAGGGTGGCGGTGACCACAGGACTGTCGAGCCTGTAGTCTAGTGCAGCATTCCACGCAAGCTGTGGGAGCCCGACGGCCGTCAGGTATACCAAGTAGTAGCACTCAGCTCGAAACATCCCTCTCACCTCCCATGTATCACAGCTTTACGACTCTCCCTCATTGCTCGTGCCTCGCCGAACCCCACCTTTCTGAAGCCAGGGCTGCCACACGCCACCAGCCCCCGCCAACCGTTTGCAACGCCATGCCCGTTCAGCTCACGCGTATCATACGAGGAGGGTTGTGGTAGATTAGGGCTTGGATGGGGGATGAGCCCACGTCGCCACTTGCCCGCTCGCCTCACCGCACCCTGCCTTGTCAAGCCGGGGCTGCGACACGCCACGAGCCCCAGTCAGGCGGTGGGGGGATGGGGAGGTAGCGAGCACACGGGGGAGGCCGGGGAGCTCAGGCCACAGGCTGTTCCTGGCCAGGGCCGGGGTGGCCGTGGCCTCGAGGGCTTCGGCGCAAGCTGTGGGAGTGGTGTAGTCGTAGTTGTAGTCGTGGCCGTGGTTGTAGTCGTGATGGTAATCGTGACTGGAACCGTGATTGAAGTCGCGATTGCAGTCGTAGTCTTAGCCGTGCTTGTATTCGCAATCGCCGTCGTCGTCGTCGTTGCGCGGCGGGCGCCGCTGGAGAAGCCACTACTTTCCATGATTGGTGGCGCCCTAGTCCATCAATAAGGTCGCCGAAAAGGTGATCAGGTTCCACTACTGGGTTTTCTTAAAGACCTATCGAGGTCACCAAATAGCACCGTGACGGGAAGGGAGGCTGGGGCGGAGCCGCCAAACCGAAGGGCCCATGCCGGGCCCAGGCCGCGCACGGCTGACGGCCTGGAGTTCCCTTACCGCGCGCGTCCAGCGCAGGGCGGAGGCGGCGGGGAGAACATTGAAAACACCACGACGGGACGGGGTGGGAGAACTCAGGAAGGAAAGAGGCACGCAGACACGAATAATCGTCGATCCCCGGGAAAATGTGGGACACTTGGTCACGGGAGGGGGAGATGAATGTGTAGAACATATGGGAAACATTGAAGAGATGGGGAATCCTGGGATCTGTGTCTCCTTCCTTTTGTGTCCCTGGGCCCCGTCGATGATCCGCGACGAGCTCTGCACCAGACGGGTGCCCGCCGTACCGGCTCCACGCGGCCATGTGTCGAGGCCGCGGGCTCGCGACCTGCAGCGCCCACGCCAGACGTGCCCAGAGCCACCGTTCTTCCTCCTCCTTCTCCTCCTCCTCCTCCTCCTCCTTCTCCTCCACCCTCCTCCCCCCTTCCTCCTCCTTCTCCTCCTCCCTCCTCCCCCCCTTCCTCCTCCTCCCTCCTCCTCTCCTTCCTCCTCCTCCTCCTTCTCCTCCTCCTCCTCCTCCTCCTCCTCCTCCTCCTCCTCCTCCTCCTCCTCCTCCTCCTCCTCCTCCTTCCTCCTCCTCCTCCTCCTCCTCCTCCTCCTCCTCCTCCTCCTCCTCCTCCTCCTCCTCCTCCTCCTCCTCCTCCTCCTCCCCCTCCCCCACATCTCGCCCTCAACACATCCTATGCGCTGCGGTCGGACCGAGGCAGACGATCGAGGTCGGTTCGAGGAGGGTGCCCGGCTGCCCCAGTGTCCTTCGTGCTTGTTGCGTGTTGTTGTGCATTTTGGGGGCGCACCGGCAGCGCGACCTCGGCGCGCGGCATCAGAAGAGGAAGTAGAAGGAAGCTTCCATGCCGAGCAGCACGGCGCCCAGCAGCGCCAGGCCTTTCCCCAAGAGCCTGCCCCCACAGGAGCACTTCCCCCGGTGGCGTACTCGCGACGGGCGGTGGCTCCCTTCGGAGCTATCGCCTGCACCGACACCCCGGAGGCGTACTGACGGCGGCGCGAAGCAGGAGCCCAGCAGTGATCACGACCGCTTGCAGTCGGGATTCGCTATGGGCTATGGGCGGTAGCGCAGGCTGCGGCGCGGCCTCGGCCGTAGAGCAGCGATGGCCTGCCCAATTGCGTCTGGGTCGTCGTTCCGCCCATCAGCATCTCCGCGTGGCTGACTGGCATCCTAAGTCGAGCACGGTGAGTGCTGCTATCCCACTGCCCTGGAATTCCCTGCCGCCGCAGTCCCAGCAACACCTCCACCATCGCAACGTTCTTCGCCGAAATGGCCGTCCTGCGCGACCGTCGACCCTGGCACGACCCGCAGTGTTTCCGGGCCGGGCGCTGCCGCCGCGACATGCACGCTCGGCGTCGCAGGTAGCGAGCGCGAAGTTGTTTTGCCCGCCTCCGCCGCCGCGGGGAGGGCTTTGAGCGCAGCCAGCTCGCCCTCTATATCCTCGTCGTCGCCGTCGCCAGCTGCCGTACCACGGCCCGATCTCCGTCCCGCTCGTCTTGTGCGGGGCCTGGGGGGGGGGACGGGACGGGCGCCGTCGGCTGCACCAGCTGGCACCTCATCCAATACCAGGCGGCACGCGCGGGCAAGACACGTGAGGCCCTGGCCCCTGCGGCACTCCCCCTCGGCGAAGGCGTGGAGGAATGGCACGGCCACGCGCCCCTCGGCGCGGGCGGTTGGGCGCGGCGTCCAGAAGTCGTGCGGTTGGGGCGGCGTCGTTCCCAGCGACCGCCACCGCCGACAGAACCGCGGAGGAGAACACAGCGGCCCAGTAAGAGGAGGAGTGGAGCGGAGCGCTCCATGGCGCTGGCTTGGCAGCCGAGCCAGGGGCTCGATCCGAGCTGGCGCTTGGGACGACAATGAGGGAGGAGATGAGGAGGAACGGGAGGACGGAGAGGAAATGGCGGAGGGGCAGGGTGGGATGTGTGCGACGACGACGACGATGAGAGGGAGGATGCGCGGCTCGCAGGCGAGCCGGAACGGCGCAGTCATGGTCACTCGGGCGATCGTGTTTCGCCCGCGGGTGCCCCGCATTGCTGCCTGCAGGGTGTGGGCTGGGGGCCTCGGGAGTCCCAGGCCTCCCGCGCGCGCGCGCCCGTTCCTCTTGATCCCCCAGGAGGGCAGGCCGCCGCTGGACGTGGCGGCATCTTGCGACAAGGTGTTCCAGGGCAATTCGCGCGCCAACGAGTACAAGAAGCTGCTGCTCCAGATGTTCGAGATCTTCGAGCCGCAGGCCGTCACCCATCACTCCCCCGCCCCGACACGCCGCCCAACAAGATCTCGATCCTCCTCTCTCTTCCGCCTCCCTCCCTCATTCGATCCTCCTCGCACTCTACTCCCCCTCCATCGCGGGCGGAGAACATACGGTTGGGATCTTTTGGATAGCGTGTCGCTCCGCCTGTTCTGGCCCACCATGCTTCGGCGCGACACGCTGTCCACTGCCCAGTCCCCAGGCTCCATCGTCCCGAGCCCTTCTGAGCCTCCCGCCCCGCGGAGCGGAGCGACACGTCATCCGCTCGCAAGGCATAGCGTGTCGCCGGGGCCGCCGCCGCGATACGCTAAGCAACAGTTCCCGACCGTATCCACATCCACGGCCTCGCGGTCTGGACTCCTCTGACGTACGCGGCCCCGCGGATACGGGGCGGCTTTGCGAGGATGCCCCGCGCAGAACGTATCCGTGGCATCGTGCATCCGCAGGATCGCGCCTCGGCATCCAGACCGCGACGGCATGGACATGAAGATGCTCTCCGCTCGTGACTCCAGATGCTCACGGGCGGATTCAGCGGCTCGGTGGTGCTGCGGGTGCAGCCCTTCGAGGCGGACGGCCGCCCTGGCGAGCCGTGCATCGTCAAGCTCGACAACGGCGAGGCTGCCAGGGACGGCCCAGACAAAATGTTCCTCGTCGTCGGGGGGATCATCCTCGTTCCCACCATCGTTCCCCACCAACAGGTTGGTGTTGTCTGTTTTGAAGAAGGCTCCCGAATCGCCTGGCACACCCTGGATACCGCCAGGCCCCACGTGCTCTGGTGATCCCTGGGGATCTCGCCTCGCGCCTTCGACGAATGAAGACTGCATGCCGCGGCCGCCAGTCCCCAAGTGTCCAGGTGATCCCTGGGGATCCCACCTCGCATCTTCGACAAATGACGACGTAACGAGCACACGCAAGTTTCACACACAAGCAGCACATACATAACAGCGCAGGAGCAGCACACATCATGATCACACATCTACAGCCAGCCTGCGTAGCGTGTGGAAATCACAGTTACCATATTCTGATGCTTTGAACGGTACCCACCGGAATCTTCGGTGTCGTCCTCCCCCTGCCTCTCATCGTCCTCGTGGAAACAAAAGCTTCGAGGCCGACGCCTCCTCACCTACTCGATCTTGGTAGTGGAGCAATCTTCCCCTCCCCCTTTTATTCCTCCTCCCTCTCCCCCTCCCCCAGATGGCCCAGATGAGGCGCCAAGGAACGCGCCACCCTACCATCTCCCACTTCCCCGAATTTCCCAGGTGGCACACTCCCCTCGCCCCGCGGCGGCATGTCAGGCGGCGGTCTTGCGCCCTCGGCGACCGCAGGTCTGCTCCGCACCGTGCAGTACAATCCCATGGTGGCCAACACACTCTCGTGTACTTGACATAGCGACGAAACGTGGCGTTAAGGACATCATAGCGCTGACGGGTACGCATATGAAGTCGAAGGGAGAGCAGAGGGAGGAGACCAGGATAATAGGTGCATACAGCGCTATTGAATATTGATACTCGTGGGGCGCACTCACGTCCAAGGCATGTGGCGTGACCGTGTTGTTGCGAAGGTCCAGATTTCCGATGTCCTCATTCAAGAGAATCATTCCAGCCCCCAAAACCCTATGGGGGCGCTGTCTTGGGTTGCTACTTCGGCGAGGAGGGCTCATGTACGGATTTTGCGTTGTTTATTACCCCCCCACGCGAGACCACTCGAGCTGCCCGTCTTGTTGACGAACGTAGGCTGAACAGATGAACCATTGGACCAGTTGAACAGATGGCCCAGTGAGGCGATGTCCTTGTTTGGTCCAAAGAACGAGGCGCACTTCCTCTGATCTTTACAGGCTTCAGCGGTGGGCTGCCCCACTCCACGCAGGATGGTGTCGCAGGCAGGTGCGGTAGAGGAACAACGACCCCGAGTTCTGCCTGACTTCGGCCTTTTCTAGCACGGTGCGATATGACGAGCGCCAACACCCACATATATTGTCCTCCCACCTTCATTTCCAACACGGGATCGGGGAGTTTCATCGATCACGCCGTTGTCCCTTTCGCCCTTTTTGGCATTCTGGAGAGGGTCCAGGTTCTCACATCGAACGCAAAGAGGTTGCAGATTCCAGTGCATCGAGGAAGCAGGGATCACGAACCTGTCGCCGTTGCCCCTCACGCTCGCCTTGCAGACTCGTCTGGGCCTCACCGAGAACCGCGTCCCAATCGTGAGGCCCTCTACCAGTGTGTTCAGACAGGCTAGGAGCGCACGGAGGTTCTGGAGGCCACGGAATGGCTCGCCGCGGGTCGGATGCAAGAGTTTGGCCAAGCAGGTGAAATCTGGGGATCTAGAGAAGATGAACCAGTTCTTCATGGAAGTCCTCCACCAGGCCACCATAGAGGTCCTCAGCGAGCCCCCCCCCCCCCTGTGCACTGTGAGCCACAAGGAACACCTGGAGTCCCTGAAGAGCCTTTTAGCCGAGCGACGGACCCTACGAGCAGCAGCGAGCGATGATGAGAAGTCAACAGCACTGGCAAGATATACAGACACGCAGATGCACTGAACTACGGCAAGCAGCAACAGCGCATAACAATCATTTAGTTCAGAAGCTTGCACGCCTTGTAGCATGCAAAAAGCGAGGGCCCAGGCAGCGACGTTTTGCAGCAGTTCCTGTTCCAGCGGCGTGTGCAGCCAGTTGGGCGCGCAAGATGCGGTTAGATCTTCCGCTAGGTGGCTGCGCTGCGGTCGTTAAGACACCAGAGCAGGTATCACAAGAGGTTCGAGCCGAATCCCGATCCACCATGGACCCGGCTGGAACGATGGGCGAAGCAGCAGAAGACTAGAACCTCTTGTCTAGGAGTGCATGGCGGCTTCGCTTCTGGAGGACGTGGCCCAAGTGGAGCGCGCAGCCTGAATGCCTTCGCCCCGTGCTTCGCCTTAGATGGATTAGCGAGCGCAGGCCGGCCCAGCTACGCGGTCTTGGATCCATCGATGAGCTCCCCAAGATCTCTCAGACTCGTGACATGTCGCTGGGCCTCCTGCGCGCTTCCAGGTCATATGATGGGCATCCAATTTGTTGGCGCAGCGCACAGGCCGCGCGCGTACCCATGCAAGATCACGAGCCCGACACATAGGGGGGGCGCATCCTCATGGTCATGTGCGCGCTCGGTTGCGCGATGCAGTTCTAGCTCGGATGGGGCCCCAATGGGGCCCGCCCAGTTGGATGCACGGAGGCCTCGGGAGGTGAAGGAGGGAGACGGCAGGGAAGATGGGTGTACAGATGGCGGGAAGTCATAGGATGCAGGCAGCAGACATTTCTCACCTTCAGCGTTCATCAGGGGCAGAAAAGTGCGCGCTACCCTTGTCCAGGAAGACGAGACGGGATCCTTCCGGCAGCAGGGCAAGAGCGGCCTTCTTCCATGGAGACTCGGGGCGACGCAGCTTTTTTGTAGAACCTGTGCAGAGCCAGTTTTAGAGTGCTTCGCGGACCTCGCGGTCATGCAGAATTTGTTTCCCTTTCTGGGGGCGCGGCTTCCTCGGCGCCCTGAGCGGATGGAACAGTTCTCCGTGGCGGGGCGCGTGAGCGACACAGCCAACAAGGCACTGGAGGATGAGCGGGGGGGGGGGGGGGGGGGGGGGGTAGTATGGAGGAGATTTTTAGCAGGGGAAGTTGATTGGAGGACGAGGCGGTTGACAAGGGCCTGAGGAGGGCGGGGACAGGGCAGAACATCAGCAAGCAGGAAAACACTTGTTACCTACGAGGCCGTGGGGCCCACCGGACGCAGCGTAGGCTATGCAGCGGAGCAGTCGAAGGAGCGGCTGGGCGCGCGCTCCATCACTGCCGCTACCTAGGGAGTTTACAGGCGGCGACCTTCACACCAGGCCCCGAGCTTCACATGGGGCTCAACGCAGTGAAGGTGGCGCTTCATAGCATGGGAAGGTTTTCGTATTCGGGAATGGAAGTGGCGGTCCACGGGCCTGGGCCCCTTCGTGACAACGACGTTCGGCACCTCCAGGGCATCATCATACAAAATTGCAGGGCTATTTTATCAGGGGCGTCAATCTGGGACTCGGAGGCGCAGCGCGAGCGCGCGCTGCGCCATCACGACGTACCCAGACGCTTTAAGTTCGCCCCTTCGATTTCTCGAACTACGCATACGCGGGCTGAAGTGTTTACAAGAGATGGCTGCACGCAAGAAGGACAATGCGCAATATCTCGCCACGGTTTTCGGAAGTACCAGGTTCGACGCTCAGATCTTCACTGACGAAGGCCGAGTGGCTGACTCGGCCAACCCCTGGGCGCGTCAGGCCCAGGACGATATTGACAGCCTTCAGGAGTTGGAGGCTGGTGCAGTTCTCTTCTCGACGCACACCCATTTTGAGTTTTTGTTCCAGGGGCCGACCGACTTTTGCAGCGTTGATGTCGGCGAGGTTCGAGCGCGCTTTTTCCTGCGAGATGCAGGGGCTCGCGAGGCTGCAGGGGCTGCGGCCCCTGGCGAGCATCGCTGCCTGGAGGTGTGGGACCGCCGGGGGCGCACGCCACTCGCTCTGGTCTATGTATATATCATCATACCTACCGGTGTGATCTCGCACTGCTTTATTTCGACCGACCGTGTGCCCATAATGCGGTCGTGCTGGTGGTTGTGCTGGCCGTGCTGGTGGTCGTGGTTGGTGGACGTGCTGGTGGTCGTCCTGGTGGTCGTGCTGCTGGCCGTTCTGGTGGAGGTGCTGGCAGTCGTGCTGGTGGTCGTGCTGCTACTTGTGCTGGTGGTCGTGCTGGGAGGTGCTGGTGGTCGAGCTGGTGGTCGTGCTGCTGGCTGGTCGTGCTGGTCGTGCTGGTGGTCGTGCTGGTGGTCGTGCTGGGCTGGTGGTCGTGCTGGTGGTCGTGCTGGCGGTTGTGCTGGTGGTCGTGCTGGTGGCTGGTCGCGTTGGTGGTTGTGCTGGTGATCGTGCTGGCGGTCGTGTGGTGGTTCTGGTGCTGGTGGTCGTGCTGGTGGTCGTGCTGGTGGTCGTGCTTGGTCGTGCTGGTGTGCTGGTGGTCGTGCTGGTGGCTGGTCGCGTTGGTGGTTGTGCTGGTGATCGTGCTGGCGGTCGTGTTGGTGGCCGTTCTGGTGGAGGTGCTGGTGATCGTGCTGGTGGTCGTGCTGGTGGTCGTGCTGGTGGTTGTGCTGGTGGTCGTGCTGGTGGCTGGCCGTGCTGGAGGTGCTGGTGGTCGTGTTGGTGGTCGTGCTTGGTCGTGCTGGTGGCTGGCCGTGCTGGAGGTGCTGGTGGCTGGTCGTGCTGGTGGTCGTGCTGGTGGTCGTGCTGGTGGTCGTGCTGGTGCTTGTGCTGGTGGTCGTGCTGGCGGTCGTGTTGGTGGCCGTTCTGGTGGAGGTGCTGGTGGTCGTGCTGGTGATCGTGCTGGTGGTCGTGCTGGTGGTTGTGCTGGTGGTCGTGCTGGTGGCTGGGCGTGCCGGTGCTTGTGCTGGTGGTCGTGCTGGCGGTCGTGTTGGTGGCCGTTCTGGTGGAGGTGCTGGTGGTCGTGCTGGTGGTCGTGCTGGTGGTTCTGCTGGTGGTCGTGCTGGTGGCTGGCCGTGCTGGAGGTGCTGGTGGTCGTGTTGGTGGTCGTGCTGGTGGTCGTGCTCGCGGTCGTGTTGCTGGCCGTTCTGGTGGAGGTGCTGGTGGTCGTGCTGGTGGTCGCGCTGGCCCCTCCCCCTCCCCCCCTGCGCCCCCCTCCCCTTATTCCGACCGACCGTGGGCCACCCCCCCCGCTTCTCCCCTGCGCCCCCTTCCCATTATTCCGACCGACCGTGGGCCACCCCCCCCGCTCCCTCCCTGCGCCCCCCTCCCCTTATTCCGACCGACCGTGGGCCACCCCCTCCGCTCCCCCCTTGCGCCCCCCTCCGCTTATTCCGACCGACCGTGGGCCCCCCCCCGCTCCCCCCTTGCGCCCCCGTCCCCTTCTTCCGCCCGACCGTGGGCCACTCCCCCCGCTCCTCTTCTGCGCCCCTCTCCCCTTATTCTGACCGACCGTGGCCCCCCCACCGCTCCCCCCCTGCGCCCCCGTCCCCTTATTCCGACCGACCGTGGGCCACCCCCCCCGCTCCTCCCCTGCGCCCCCCTCCCCTTATTATTCCGACCGACCGTGGGCCCCCCCCCCGCTCCTCCCTTGCGCGCCCCCCCCCAAATTCCTACCGACCGTTGGCCCCCCCCCCGCTCCTCCCTTGCTCCCCCGTCCCCTTATTCCGACCGACCGTGGGCCACCCCCCCCGCTCCTCCTCCTGCGCCCCCTCTTCTTATTCCGACTGACCGTGGGCCACCCCCCCCGTTCCCCCCCTGCGCCCCCTTCCCTTTATTCCGACCGACCGTGGGCCCTCCCCCCCCGCTCCTCCCCTGCGCCCCCCTCCCTTTTATTCCGACCGACCATGGGCCCACCCCCCGCTCCCCCCCTGCGCCCCCTTCCCTTTATTACCGACCGACCGTGCCCCCCCCCCCCCGCTCCCCCCCTGCGCCCCCCTCCCCTTGTTTCCGACCAACCGTGCCCCACCCCCCCCCTCCCCCCCTGCGCCCCCCTCCTTTAATTCTGACCGACCGTGGCCCCCCCCCCCGCTCCCCCCCTTGCGCCCCCTTCCTTTATTCCGACCGTGGGCTCCCCCCCCTTCCCCCTGCGCCCCCCTTCCCCTTATTCCGACCGACCGTGCCCCCCCCCCCCCCCTTTCCGCCCACCCCCTGCGCCCCCTCCTTATTCCTGCCGACCGTGCCCCCCTCCCCCCGCCTCCTCCATTCCGACCGACCGTGCGCTCCCCCCGCTCCCCCCTGCACTCCTCTCCTTATTCGACCGACTGCGCCCCTCCCCCGCCCCCCCCCCGCGCCCCGCCCCCTTACTCCGACCGACCGTGCTCTTAGGTGGCCCTGAGGGCGGCGCCCAGGAGGAACACCATCTCTGACCCGATTTGCCCAGGGCTGGCTCGGAGTACTTTTCGTCTGGGGACCCCCAGGGCCCCCCCCGCGCGCGCGCGAATTAAAAATATTCGGAAGCAGTTCCCGGAGATCTTAGCACGCCCGTGGCCCATGGGGCCGGCGACTTTCTTCGCAGGATGCGACAGGGCCCAACGCACCCTTACCTCTGCAAGCGCCGTGGGGGTTTCATAGCCGTGGCGATTCTTTCTGTAGCCGTTTTGGCTCCACCATGCCGCCTTCCGTCGTGAGGAAGCGGCCGGCCGCGGGCTCCGCGCTCCTTCCGCGGCCTGCCCGCAGCGTGGCGCGACGTCGTCCTGCTGCCGCCCCCACTGCAGCCCTCTTATCCGAGCCAGACGTTGCCCCACGCAAGCGGCGCCGCAACGCTGCGTACGCCGCCAAAGAAGCAGCCCGAGAGAAGGCGCGCCGCGCTGCTGCCACCTCCGCGCAAGCCGCGGCAGCTACTGCAGGCGCCCCCGCGCCCCACCCGGAGGCTGCCCGAAGCGCCGAGAGGCGAGCTGCTATCGCCGCCGCGCAAGCCGCGGCAGCTACTGCAGGCGCCCCTGCATCCCACCCGGAGGCTGTCCGAAGCGCCACGAGGCGAGCAGCTGCTCCTGCAACGACCACTGCCGGCGACGCCACGCCGCTGGACTTCATTGAACGACTACATTCTGAATCTGGATACCAGGTGTCACGACATTCTAGACAGCTCCGCCATCGGGACGCCGCGACAGCGCCACCTTCTGACGACGCCCTCTTCGACCAGATAGCCAACGACGTTCGCACTTTCTGTGCCGTTACGGCCGATGACCAACGCAGAATGGTCCGAGCTTACTCCGCGAAGATGGATCATGCCGCTCCTCTCCCTGGATGCGGTTCCTGCGGTCGCCGCGACCCTGCGTTCCCTGCCGCGGAGCGCGTTCGGCTCGAAGACTTGCCTCCCGACCATTGGCTCTTCCTCACGCCTGACGAATGCAGAGACCTGGACGCCATGCCTGCGGTGACTTTCTGCGAGGCTGACGGCTCCACGCGCACCGTCGAGACCAAAAGCATCCGCAGCTATGTCTCCATCGGCGCCTCCGCGAGGCTGCACCTGCACCCGGAGCTCACGCGCACCATGCCGGACGGTGGCCACGAGACGTTTCTATGCGAGAGTTGCGCGCGGCCGCTGTCGGATCCGGCGGCCGCTCCGCCTTCGCGATCCTTGGCTTCGGGGCGGGATTTCGGGCTGCTTTCTCGAATCGGGCTCGAAACTCCTTCCGAGGCTGAAGCCCTTGCCCTCGCAGACGTGCGCCTCTACAGCCTCGTGGCCAAAATACATGTCCCTGGACAGCGCTCCAGCGCAGCATCTAGGTCTGTCCTCAAGGGCCACATGATCGCATTCGTCCACGACGGGCCCACCGCCATCGAAGCCCAGTTCAACGCCGCCCGACTCCGCAACGTACTGGAGCACATCCAGGTGGTCTGCGTCGGCAACACCGACCGAGTCACCAACCTCGAACGCCGCGCTCTTTCCATGAAGAGCGTGCAGATGCGACCCCATGTACTCTACAACCACCTCTCGCTACGCCGCGCCCTCGGACACGTGGCCTCCACAGACGCATCCCCTCCGATTGCGGACATCGCAGCCTTGCTGGCTGACTGGTCTGCTTCTCTGTCAGCTCGCCCCCGTCACGCGGACACAGGCGACGTAGAAGAGGCCAGCCGGCCATCGGATATCGCCAGCGTCAGGGACGTCGCCATGGACGACCTCCACCAGGACGCCTCCACTCTTCCACCGAACCTGCGCGTTCATTCTTCGTTGGCCGCCCGAGCCCCCCCCCCCCCTGGGGGCGGCGAACAACACTGCACTCTCCTGCTCCCTGCTTCCTCGAGCTCCCCCCGACTTCGCAACCTTTCCCTTTTACCACGTCGCCACCTCCGCCCAGTCTCTGCCCCTGGCCCTGCACAATGGGCCCCGAAGCGTGCACGCGCAGATTCAGTGGAATCGTGATCCACAGGATACCGTCCTCGGACAACCTACCGAGCCCCAGGGCGACATTCACGCAGAGCCCACGCTGTCCTTGGACCCAGTTGGCGTCTTCTTACAATCCAGCGACGCCGTGGCTGGCAGTATCTTTGATGGTCTCGTAGACACCCTTCGACGTCCCGACCCCGAGGACATCCACGACGAACGCCAAGAGCAACCGGATGCCAACCCTGCTGGCCCACCCTCTCACGCCTCCGCCTGTGGCCCGCCACCCACGAAGTGCCGACGACTGAAGCGCCCCATGAACGAGTTCACCAACAACGCCGACTTGCTGTACGGCGCCTTCTGGTTCCTTTTTCCGTAGCGGGCCGGCTTGGTTCCCAGGGCCCCTTGAGCATGCACGAGTCCAGACGCATACTCACCCAGTTCCACAACGGCTTCGCCCATTGCCACAATTTCATATTCCTGCTTGCGAACCAAATACAACGCCACGCTGCTGCCAGGGGGGTCGCTCTGCGCGTGAAGACAAGACGGACCCTTTCAGCTTCAAAGCCTTCGCAGACATGGTCGCCGACAAAGATGTCTACCTCGACCGACTGGACCGCGCGAAGGCAGATCCCACCAGTAAAGAGGCCCGGGCGCTACTCAAGCAAGTGCTCGGGTTCGTGACGTCATCTGGTAAGACCATTCCCTGGAGCGGTGAGGAAAGAGCTTCTGAAATCACCAAGCTCTACGCTTTACAGAGGAGGTTCGGCCCCTTCAGCTCCGTCCTGACCGTGGCCCCAGACGACGTGCACCAGCCTACCTCTATCCGCTTGTCTTATCGGCACGCGGGAGACCCTAAAGGAGCTACCGCACTCTTGACCTCTCTCCCCCTGCCCCCTCAGGGAACCCTCCCCCCGCGACTTCTTGCCTGGGCCCTCGGGCCTCGAGCCCTCGCTCCGATTCCTGAGCTTGGTTCCGAAATTTGATTTTTCAAATAAAACTCAGATACCAGCCTTCTCTGGTCCCCCCGAGAGAGCCCAGACCCCCAGCATCTCCTGTAAGAAGATAATCCAGAGAAAAACATTGTGTTTTCCCCAGGCGGACGCTCCCGGACGCACAAAACCCCGAGGGCTTTTCAACATTTTATTCGTCATCGCGGTTGAGAACCGCGCGTCTCTGGCTTCAAACGCGTGCGCCGGAACAGAAAATCTTTCAAAAACCATTGGTTTTCGACGCATCAGGGCCGTCCGGCTCGGGAAAACGCGCGTTTCTGAAACGGTTTCAGCCGGAGGAGCGCGCAGCCTCCACAGGATTCCACCGGAGTCCGCGGGGCCCCCCAGGAGCCCCCAGGATTCACCGGCAACCCCCGGGCTGGGCATTTCATCAGGTGCGAGTCATGCATCTAAGTGTGAGTCGTCTTCCACGACCCCTTCAGGTGCGGCCAGCCGCACCAATGGCCCGCCGACGAAGCTGGCCTACTGCGCGTCCTTCGCAAACAGGGCAACGAGGGGGGCGTCTCCGCGTTCTCCGAGAAGTCCGCGCCGCACTGCGCGGACGAGTCGTACGCGTTCTCCATGGGCGAGGCATTCCTGCAGCGCTTGGCGACTCTGAATCCCGTGGCAACCACGTTGCTGTGGGAACAGATGGCGGAGGCTATCTTCACGGAGCTCGTGGGCATGCCGCCGCACCACAAACGGAGGAAGTCGCAGCTCATCGACGAGAACATCCCCCACCGTGGCATCTTCGGAACCCCATGGGCCTGGCATTTCGTGACCGAAACAAACGGCCGCAAGTCCTTCCACTTCCACGCCGGTGTCATCGCAGGGGCCTCTCCTACATTGTTGGCCGACGTGGCTGGGTACCCACGCTTGGAGGCCGCTGCGCACGCAGCCCTGGACTCGATGCATACGGCCCACGCGCCAGCCGACTTGCGCGCCATCGACGTGGCCCGCCGGACGTTGCGTATACCAGCGGGGCGTCAGACTTTCTTCCAGACCACCGACGCGCCCACCCCAGAAGCCGTCCGAGAGTTTCACATAGATACCGCCATCACAGCTCTTACCATTGGACTACATACACACGCGGCCACCTGCCACAAAGGCAAAAATGGCAGCTCGGGTGCCGCATGGCGAAACCCTCTGGACACCCCGTCCCCCAGTCTCGCGTCCTCGCAATCCTGCCCGACGAACCCGCGCAGGGCACCGTGGACTGGTCTTGCAAGTACTGCACCCCAGGATACGACCCGAAACAACGACCAGCGACTGCACTTTGGGCTCGCAGGCCTCGCCCTGGTGATGGGGCTGCCAACGTCGTCCTCTCCTACGAGCACGCTCGCCCACACGTGGAACCCGATTCAGGCCGGTTGCGCGACATCATGAACATGCCCCGCGCCGATTTGGAGTCACTGGATCCCTCTGCAGCGCACGGGATGTTCCGAGACGTGTGCCGCGAACTCAGCAGCCTTTTGTCCAGACCTACTCAAGGCCGCAACCTGAACGACTGCCTCAATGCATGTAGTCAAGACGACGCTCGTGCCATCCTTCTCGCTTGGCACGGCATGCGATGCCGAAATGCGGCCCTCGTGGAGTTCAGCCCCACCTCTCGGGATGCGTCCGGAGCAACACCGCACCTCTGCACCTCGGTGCCGGGGAGGCTGCGAAGGGAGCCGGCATGTACATGGTGAAGTACGTCGTTAAAGAGGCTTACGATCTGGCAGCCTCGTTATCCGTATTGGCGGACGCTCGTCGTCACATTGACCTCTACCCGTCCTCGGCTGACGACGCAGGCACCGCAGCACGGTGCACTCGCCACTTCCTACAACGAGTTCTCAATTCCAGTGCCGCCGAGCTTGCCCCGACACAGGCGGCTGCGATCGCTCTCGGCGTCGCGTCAAGCGGACATTCTCACGCATACGTCAATGCCTGCGTGTGGGACGCCGTCCACCTCAGACGTCTATTGCCCACCGGGGTCTCCCTGCTGTCATCTTCTTCCTCCGACAACCCTCCGCCCGCCCCCGATCCGCCCGACAGCGAGGATTCGCCCTTGGGCCAACGCGATGCCGACGCATGCACTGGCGACCCTGACGACGTCGACGCGGCAGACGAATGCGACCATCCACGCCGAGGCACCTGCAGCATCTACACCACTTCAGACGGAACGCCGATTGCATTATCGCAGGCTGACCACTACGCGCACCGGTCCCAACAACTCGCCGACCTCCTTTTCGACGAGTTCGTCATGGGGATGCGCATCCAGAAAGTCTCCGCGGAACAGAGGGCAAAGATAGCCGCCGAATCGGGCAAGAGGGGCCGCCCTACGAACCCGAGCTTCGAACTCGAACCGCCGCACCCTTTGGCGGGCCAGTACGTCATCAGGGAAAAATCAAAATTCGACGTGCCGGTGTTTGTCGGAGCTCCTCCGCCCCGTCTGCCCCCCGATTCCGCTCCGCGCAACAAGGCGCGCCAGCGTATGGAGGTGGCCCACGCCGAGTACTTCGCCGCGCTCTTCGCACCTTGGTCCGCGGCCCAACTGGAGACCGCGACCCCGACCACTTGGAGCGCTTATCAGCGCCGCCTGGAGGACGCGGCTCACGGCTCCGCGCCTCCTGCATCCGACTCCGTGCGGCACGGGAAGAGTCAGGGAATCGCGGAGGGCCGCTTGTTCCGCATCCACCATGTGGCGACAGCCCTCACGTCGAATACCCGGAAGACAGATATTATGAGCAAATGGCGCATGCGAGATCGCACTCTGTGGTCCGAAACGACCTCCTGTCCAGACGTAGCCCTTCCCCCTGGCCGCAGCAAGGATCAAGAGACCGACGCCGCCGCAGACATCCGCAACTTACGCGACGCTGCCAGCGCCGACGTCAACTCCAGAGCCATGAAACGAGCTGCTGCAATGGAATCCTGGGCGGACGACATTACCTACAGACTACCACCACTACCCGACGTACCATCCACGCCGGATCCTCGGTCACACTGGCCACGGGGGGCTCCGACCAAGGACGGTCATCCCGTCCACCATTTCCCAAGTGGTTCCACCGACATCGCCTCCTTCCTGGCAGACCTCAAGCAGCCTCGACGCAGGCCTTCCGACGACGCCAACACACCGAGCCACGTGGACCATCCCGTCGCAGACGCCTCCCCGGAGGACGGCGACCCACCAGAGTTCGACCCTATCGACGACGAGACCTTCATGCGTCTCGCACGCAACTGGGAATCAGACGTCCGTAACACGCCACCCGGAGGCTGTCCCCCCCCGCCTCCTCTCAACCCCCAACAGCGTGCTTTCGCAAGACAGCATTTGGCACTACAGCGCCGCCTCGCTGCCGGCCGCCAACGAGGTGACGACCCCCGCGACACACTCGCCACTCTCCGACAGCAAGGGCTCCGGCAAGTGCATCTGCTCCAGGGAGCTGGGGGCGTCGGAAAGAGCGTGCTCTTGAAGGCGATGCACGCCGTCTTACGACGCCTGCACTTGGGACACATGGCCATCACAGCCTGGACGGGAGTCGCATCTGCGCATTTTGGGGCGCCGACGTGATCTTTACTGAAAATTGACTGCGCTTGCCTGGCTGAAGACCGCCCCGTGGACGCTGACACGTTGCAGCTCCTCCGCAAGGACTTCGCCGACGCCATGTGCGACCCGGCCGACCTCGACGAGGCCAGTTTTCTTGTCCCGGCAGCCTTACACCACATCGACCTTCAACTACAACGATTACGCGGTGTCCACGGCGTCCCTTTTGGAGGCGTCGCCCTCATCCTGGCAGGGGACTTTTGGCAGAAACCGCCTCCGAGCTCCACGACGCTCGCAGAACTCCTCGCCAGCGCTGACGTGCCTGGCCTATCGAGGCCAGTCCGGCACTCCCCCATGAGCACATCAGATAAGGGCCTCGAGATATTCCGACGGGCTCGCCGCACTGTCCTGACGCAGCAGATGCGAGCTGCCGACGACCTTGGTTTCCAGACGGATCTGCTGCAGCTCCGGGACACGACCCCTGGCGCCCCGGTTCCAGCGAGGTTGACAGACTCGCTCCGCGAGGTTTCCACCAACGACATCCAGACACATCCTGCGTGGTCTTTCGCTCCCATCTGCGTCCTGTCCAACTTCGAGCGGTACCTTCTCAACGGGATCCAGGCCGAGCGCTTTGCCAGGACGCACTCTCTACCCTTAATCCGATGGCGATACCCCTTACACGGACGCCACTGCTCTATGCTACCAGCTGATGTCCAAGACGGCCTTTACGAGAACGAGCCAGGCATGTGGGGATGCTTCGTGCGCGGGGCCCCGGCCATGCTGCTCGCCAACATCCAGCCCACCAAGTTCTGCGTCAACGGGGCCATGGGTTTCCTTCACTCCCTCAGCTTCGACGGCGATGCACCGGGAGTGTTCTTGGACGCCGTTGCATCTGGCGGCTTCCAGGAGATTATCCTCGAGGAGCCCCCTGCCTCTATCAACGTCCAGATTTCCTTGCCCGCTGGCGAAGACGGCGCTGGGATCGAGACCCTCGTTCCTGGGTCCGTGGTCGTTCCCGTCGCATGCACCTCCCACGTCGAGGACTACGACGCCACCTCGTTGTTCAGCATCCTCAAGCGCGCGCCCAAGCGCATCCGCATACGGTGTCACGCGGTTACGCTGGCGTTCGCTTGCACGGATTATAAGCTACAGGGCAAGACGTGCGACGAGTTGGTGCTCAGCGTGGCCAGGCGACCTTGGCCGCCGCATTTGGACAGAAAAGGCTTCTACGTCGCTGTCAGCAGGGTACGCGCCAAGGCTCGCCCGCGGGTGCTTCGCCGACCGTCTTCGGAAGCCGGGGGACTGCACCATTTGCGCAACTTGCCGCCTGCCCGAGAACTTCACGCTTGGAACGCTGGGTACGATGCTGATGGAGATTGGCAACCCTCCCTCGCCCATGCGGCGGCGTCTGGCGCACCATCTACCCGACAGCGTCCACCGCGCACCCCTGCGCGGGCACCGCGTCCACGACCAATGGCGGGAGGGGCATAATTGGTACGAGTACCCGCACGCCGATGAAGAGCCCTCCACGCGAGGGCCGCCACCTTGGCGCACGCCAGCAGTGTCGCCGCATTGTCCTTGCATTACTTGCGAGCGACAACTGTGCTGCCAATTCGACGCCTTCTACCTTAGCAGATCAGAGTCAGCGCGCTTCCCCAGCATTGCGCGAAAAACAGTGCCCAACATTTCGTCCATCGCCATCTTGATCATAAGGAATGCATTGCTCACCCATGCCAAATATTGCCCCGGATTTTTGTTCGATCTCTTAGCGTGGCAGCATCCCCGCAAGCTCCCTGGCCCCAAGGATACCCGGGCGCACCAGACGCCATAGTGATTCAGAGGCCGCCGCCTGCCTACCAGACTGTCGCTTAGAAATTTGATTTTCCGGACCCGAAGTCAGCTTCTGTGCTCGCCCCGCCCCATCGCCGTCCCACCACATTTCAATATTGCTGCCATTTCTTTGAGGGCCTCGCGCGCAGTGCACCAGCCCAACAGGTGCTTCGCGGCCCCCCTTGCCTCAGCATCAGACTTCTTACGAGAGCTTGAATTGCCCCTCAACCGTCGATCTCGCCCAGCACTCGCTCTCAGATTGAGCCTGCCATGGCGGACAAGCTCGAGACTGTGAACGAGCGCAACTGCGGTGCCAAGACCATGCACGTGCGAGTGCTGGACCCGATGGTGCGCAAGACCACGAAGGACTGCGAGGTCTTCACCTGCAAGCTGATCAGCGAGAGTGGCCTCTATTGCACAGCCGAACATATGATCTTCGGGGACTCGCCGGCGGCGCGCACGAGAGTCAGCAAAGCATTGACGACCAAGTGGACCGCGAAATCCGCGTGGTCTCTCTCCAAGCTGAAGCTTGTGCGCAAGAAAGAGGCCTTCCACGGGAGCCCGCACTCATGCGTACTTCAGCTGAACAACAAGGCCATGACCACGAAAGCATTGGACGCGCCGGAGTCCAACAAGCTGCCGGACGAGCTGGAGCCCCCCGTGGGAGTCCAGGATGTCCTCGACCTCTCGCAGGACCAGGCGATCGACCTCCACGGGTTCGTCTCGGATGTTTCTCCCGAAGCCCAATTCAAAGGCAAGAACTTGGTGGAGGCCACGGTCTGCAACGAGGCCGGAAGCAGCATCACCTTAAAATTTTGGGAGGAGAACGCCCCCCGCGCAGAGCAGCTGCAGAAGAAAGAGCCCATCTACATCTACGGAGCGTACTTGGTCCACCCCGACAGTGGCGGCGTGTGCCTGTCAGTCCGGGAGTCCACGTCCTTCGCCGCGCCTACAGGCACGCGCCCCTAGATATATCATGCTCGCCGGCGGCGTTCGCGACCTCGCCGGCGACCAGATCCAAAGCCTGACCGTCTATGAGGCCAAGGACTACAAGGCGCGGCCTGCCGCCCCCCCTTTATCCTCTGCCTGGCCCCTGCACAATGGCTCTGCCCCGCGGCCCCCCCGCGCAGCACCCGGCCAACCCCCGTCCCGCAACTCGAAACCCCATTGGTGCCCCCCTTCCAGAGTTTGATCCTGAAACCAACAATTTCTCAACGAAAATCTGGCCCCAGCCGGCCGCCCGTCCGGAGCCGTTCTCCGCCCCAAAGTTTCGCTGAGACATGGCGCTCTCGCCGAGCGCACCCCCCCCCCCCCCCGATGCGCCCCCCGGGGTCGGGCCCGCCACCAGCTCCAACGCGGCCGTCCTGGACGCGCTCCTCCAGAGCAAGACGACGCCCCCGGACGCCCTGTTCGAGATCCCGGCAGCGTCATTCTCCCTCAGCGACACGGAGACGTTCTTGACAAAAGATGGGGCCCGCGTCTGGGCATCCGTGCGCATGGTCGACCACACTGGGTCCGCGGAGGCCAAGGTGACGGAGAAGGTCGCCCTCGCGCTGACTGGCTGCAATGACAAAGCGGAATTCCAGGCCGACGTTGAACAGGGGTCCGCGACGTGGGCCCGGGCGCGCGTTCGGGCCACGCTGCGCGCCCCGAAGAGCGTTGATGGCGACAAGACGAGCACGGGCCCCCGCCTGATCATCGCGTGCGCGGACCCCCGGAACTTCGACGCCGTCGTCCCGCTGCCCGCCCCGCAAAGCGACAGCCGCGTCGTTCCCACGAACGCCCGCAGCATTTCCTTGAGCGCCACCGGGAAGCTGACCATCACCATCGGCTCCGCGCGCTTCCTCGCGAGCGGCGCGCTCCTCCTGGTAGAGGCCACGAAAGACCCCGAGACCGTGCCGCGCGAGGGCGGCTTCGCGATCACCAACTACATCGTGGACGCGGCGGAGAGCGACTCCGACCAGAAAGCCGTCTTCCACGCCGTGACTGCCTGCGCGACGAAACGCCCGGGCCGCTACACGCTCGCGAAGAAAGACCAGGCGCTCATCGTGGTCACCCACTTCGACGCCGCGACGTCCGAGTTTACCGTGAGCGACATGTGGAAGTTGCCGCCCAGCATCACGCCCGACGCGTTCAGGGCCGAAATTGCTGCTGCAGCTGAGACTCTGACCAGTCGCCTCACGCGCGCCAAGCGCAAGGCCGACCCCAAGGCCGAGGGCAACTTCGACGAGTTCCTCGGGCCCGCGGTCAAGCGCATCCACGAGGCGTTCGGCGACCCGGCCGCGCCCGCGGAGTGAGGCGACCTCCAGCGCAGCTTTCCTGCGCGCGCGCGTGGCGTCGAGGCCCCCGACCCCTCGGATTCGATGCCGAGCTTCCATGCTGCCCCATGAGGCCCCGTCATCTGTCTACCGCCGGACCAGTGGCCCCCGTCCTGCGCCCGCCCCGCGGCGCAATGTTTTGATCCGAAAACTTGAATTTTCCCCCCAAGGTCCGGTCCCAGCTCGCTGGCCGTCTGAGCCCGCCTGCTACCCCCCCACCCCACACCACAGATTTCCATTGGGAGACGGCCATCTCATCAAATACATCTGGCACCCGCAACTGCCCCCCCCCCTCGCCACCCAGATCCTGGTCTCCTTCCTCCTTGCCAGGCCGACCCACGCATTGAAACCTCCATGTCGTCCGTGGTCCCCACCATCTCAAAGCACCTCCCAACGCCGTTTGCCCCGGCATCGAAGCGCGGCGTCCGCGCCGCATCTTCCCAAACATGGCCGCGAGGATTGCTTGAGATATAAAACGCATCTTTCAGCGCGTTCCCGCTCGGACGCCGCGGCGTCGAGCTGGTGGGATTCGCAGCGCCCTACCCGCCAGGCCGCTGTTCGGACAAAACTCAAGCCCCACTTTCCTTTTCTCCCTGCTCTGCCTCCTCCCTCGTCCTCCTCCCTCCTCCTCCTCCTCCCTCCTGATCCCCGCCCGCTCCCCCTCCCCTTCCCCTCCCCCCCCCCTTTCCCAGCCCCGGACAAAAGGGGAAAGGGGACAATCCTGGAAGCACGCTGGGCCAACAGAGCCCGGGCAGGGACAGCCCGCGGCGAGACCAAGTGCCACAAACCACCCCCACTGCACAGTAAATTGCCAGCGAGGCCCCCGCCTCCTCGCAACAGCAGCAGGAGAAGGAAGGAGAGGCCATCTTGGAGGCCTCGTGGGAGCCGTTTGGGCCCACCTAAGGCCGTCTTGGGTGCATCTTGGGCCGTCTTGGAGGCATTTTGGTACCATGTTGGCCGTCTTGGAGGCCATCTTGGCTGTGCTGGCTGCTCTTATCTGGCTGGTCTGGTTGGTCTGGCTGGCACGTCTGGTCCCAGCTGTTGTGGCTGGACTGGTCAGTCTGGCTGGTGTTGCTGGTCTGGCTGGTCTGGCTGGCACATCTGATTCTGGCTGTTTTGGCTGCGCTGCTCAGTCTGGCTGGTTTTGTTGGTCTGGCTGGTCTGGTTGGTCTGGCTGGTCTGGCTGGTCTGGCTGGTCTGGTCCGGAATCTGTGACGGCAGCGCCCTTGTCCGCAGGCGTCCAGCCTCGTTTCACTTGGAAAAACACAGGAGGAATCGACAAAGCCCCGCCGGAAAAAAAAAAACAGCTAAACCGGTGTTTTTTTTCAAGCACGGTTTTGCGCGACAGCGCTGCGTTTTACCACTGTCCGCGCGTTGCCGCGGCCGCGGGCGGGGGCATTGCCGTCGCAGAGTGTTGGCCGCCGTCCAGACGGCCAGCCCGACGTCATGTCTCGCCGTGTCTCCCTGTTTCTTATTTTTCCATTCAGACCCCACTCCCTTTCTCTCCCCTCTCCCCATTCCCTTCTATATGCGTGCATTTTTTCGTTGACGTCTCCCGTTCGGCAGACAAGGTTATCTTCAGCAACGCTCGGCTACAGGATGTCGGAGGCTGTCTAGAGCCATGCTCGGCTATCTTGGGCCGTCTTGAGACTGTCTTGAGACATCTTCGAGGCCCGCCTCTCTCTGCACATAGTTCCCGCATCGTTTTCACTGCTATCCGAAGAGGAATGGGCGCCGGAATCTGTGACGGCAACGCCCTTGTCCGCAGGCGCCCAGCCTCGTTTTACTTGGACAAACATAGGAGGAATCGACGAAGCCCCGCCAGGGGGGGAACAAAAAAAAAAAAACTAAACCGGTGTGTTTTTTTCAAGCACGGTTTTGCGCGACAGCGCTGCGTTTTACCACTGTCCGCGCGTTGCCGCGGCCGCGGGCGGGGGCATTGCCGTCGCAGAGTGTTGGCCGCCGTCCAGACGGCCAGCCCGACGTCATGTCTCGCCGTGTCTCCCTGTTTCTTAGTTTTCCATTCAGACCCCACTCCCTTTCTCTCCCCTCTCCCCATTCCCTTCTATATGCGTGCATTTGTTCGTTGACGTCTCCCGTTCGGCAGACAAGGTTATCTTCAACAACGCTCTGCTACAGGATGTCGGAGGCTGTCTAGAGCCACGCTCGGCTATCTTGGGCCGTCTTGAGACTGTCTTGAGACATCTTCGAGGTCCGCCTCTCTCTGCCCGTAGTTCCCGCATCGTTTTCCCTGCTATCCGAAAAGGAATGGGCGCCGGAATCTGCGACGGCAGCGCCCTTGTCCGCAGGCGCCCAGCCTCGTTTTACTTGGACAAACATAGGAGGAATCGACAAAGCCCCGCCGAAAAAAAAAAAAAAAAACTAAACCGGTGTTTTTTTTCAAGCACGGTTTTGCGCGACAGCGCTGCGTTTTACCACTGTCCGCGCGTTGCCGCGGCCGCGGGCGGGGGCATTGCCGTCGCAGAGTGTTGGCCGCCGTCCAGACGGCCAGCCCGCCGTCATGTCTCGCCGTGTCTCCCTGTTTCTACGCTTCCCCAGTCAGACTGCACTCCCTTCTCCTCTCCCCATTCCCTTCTTCATGCGTGCGTTTTTCCCTCGACGTTTCCCATTCGGCAGACAAGCGTGTGAGCGTCATGCCGTATGCCATACTTGGGTCAGGTTTTGTTGGTCGATCAGCTCGCGGGAATCGCGATGCTGGAAGATGCTGAGCGACAATCGATACATCGGGCAAGCACGGAAGGCATTGGCGGCGTGAAATGCGACGCGCGCGTCCTGAAGATGTGGCATCTGCTCGTGGCTTTTCGGAATGTTCTTACTTTCGTGCACGTTGCCGGCGTGGCTAAATTTCCCGTGTGCTTCCTGCGCGAACGTGGATGCCATGCGAAAAAGCACGACAAGGCAATGCTTAACAAAGCCGTAGCTTCTTTCAAAAAATCTGGTGGGACACGAAATCATGAATGGGTTGATGTTGAAGGGCTGGCAAAACATTTTCGTTTGGCAGAGCTTGCGGATCAGATCGCTCCAGGAGTCAATCACGACCCACTTGTGCGCAAATTGAACAATTTTAAGTCTTCTTGTGATATCACCTCAGCGACCAAAACGAAGATGTTGCTTGCCCACCCGAGTGTGCCTCTTACCGCGGTTGCCCATTATTGTATATTTTGTTGTTTGTATTGCAATGAAAGCCACTACGTGATGTCGTTCTACGTCGTTTTAGAGCTGGTGTATCGGAAAGCAGCCATTCTTCGCGATACCGACAAATTACGCAAGCATCTGCTGACGCACCGGGAGCGATTGAAAACCGACGGGTCTTACCCCGCACTGCCAGACATCAGCGCATATGACGTTCAGAAATGGCACGAGGCTGCAAACATATGCGTTGATCTATACGGCCGACAGCCGAGGATGGGCTACCACGCCCCGGCGCTGTCGGGCTACGACGACGCAGCCCTCCTGCCAGAGGGCGCGGGCACCCGTCCTCACCGCGTCGCCGTCCGCATGAGGGCGATTGCGGTGAGCCTGCAGGAGCACCGGCACATATTGGACAATTCTGCCTTGCTCACGATTGAGTGCACCAAGTCGCTCTTGCAGCAGACGGATTGCGATTGGATCCCTTACCAAGGCCAGGTCATGCTCAAGCGGTACCTGCGCGCCCGCCACGGGGACCGGTACGAGGGGCACCACGCTTCGACCGTGCCGTACATGGAGCTGCCGGGGGACGGCACGTCATTGTTTCTCCAGAAGCTAGCGCCGGAAGCCCACGACCTCATCCTATCATACTCTTCGGGCAGCGCCGTGGACGAGTCGGCGGGCAGCACGGTGGTGAGGACGACCAAGCCCATCAATTCCCTGAACCACAAGCTGCTGTGGCTCCTGCAGCGCCGTCAGAGTTCCATGCCGCTCCACTCCCGCGTGCTGTCTCTGACTGGCCTCTCGGAGCTGGAGTTCGACGACGCGGAGTACGGCGTCTGCGAGGCCCGGACTTATGTCTGGGGGCACACGTGCCGAAAGCGCTATCCGCCAGGTTTTTCTGCGGACACGGCGGCGGCTCACAAGCAGTGGTACCGCGCCGTGGCGCTGCCCGCGGCGTGGGCCAAGGAACAGGGCCCTGCCGACGACGCTCCTGATCCCAAGAAGCGCAGGTTGAGCTGAGGAAAACGTTGCCGGCTTGTCCGGTTGGCCTGGCTGGTCTTGTCTGGCGGTCTGGTTTGTCTGGTTGGTCTGGCTGGTTTGTCTGGTTTGTCTGGTCTGGCTGGTCTGGCTTAGGAGGAGTCGGCTTGCAGGGGGGGGCGGGCGCGGGGGGGGCGCCAACGACCGCGCCGATTCCATCGCGGCCCGCTGCCCCTTCCCGGGACTCTCAGGAATCCTCCGGGCCCAGTCGGCCTCGCAGTCGGCGCCGGCGTCGCGTCGCCCGCGAGCGCCAGCCGGCGGGCGGCCGGCCTGGTTGCGCATGTTTGGCGCGAGAGACCCGCGCGGGCCTCGCGCTGTGCCCGCGCCCCAGGGCGACGGCCCAGGCCCTTGTAGCCTCCCGCGCTGACGCGATGGCCTCGCGCGCGGCGCAGGAGCGGGCGCCGCCGACCGCTCGGTTCGGTTCCGCGCACTTCTCATGCGAGAACGCAAAGCCCCCCATGCTGCGCGCGCTTTGCGCGCTGAGCAATGCGATGCAGTTGCGACGGCCGCGCGTTCAATGGGGAACCGCGACGCAAGTTTCCATTCCCGCGCGCGGGACGGGTTATGAACTCACAGATGCGCCGACGGTCGAGAACTCGCGCGCGCGCCCGCGCCTGCCATGTTGGGCGTGCGCACTGGGCCCGGAAATCTGTGGCTCGGCCGCCCGATGCGCCCGAAAAATCGTTCCGCCTCCCCCCCCGCCCCCCTCCCCCTCAAAACTCTCCCGCGCTCGTGGAAAAACCATGCCGCCGAGGCGGGAGCTCGGGCCGCGGCCTGACGGTCCCCGGGGCACAGGGGAATCAAAGGAATCAGTACGGAATCAGTACAGAATCAAAACAAAACCGGCGCAACTGCGACCCCTGATTCTAGCGGAATCAAAAGAATCAGTACGGAATCAGCACGGAATCAAAGGAGGAATCGGCGATGGAACCAGAATCGGCCAGAACGGGGAAGTAGGCCAGAATCGGTGCCAGAACCCATGGAGAGAGGCCTTTTTCCCGCGAGTTCATTGCGGCGGGTCCGCGGCGCGGGCGCGCCGCGCGACTTCGCTGGTTCAGCGAGGCGCGCAGTCGGCGTTCAGAGTGAACAGGTTGTTTTCAGGGCGATATCCTGGCGGCGCGCTGGCGCATTGCGCATTTGCGTATTCCTGGCGGGCTGTTTGAGGGCGACCCGGCAGCGTCGGCCGAATGGCCCGCAAATACCGCGCGGCCGATCGCGCGCCCCATGCGGCCACGTCGACCGCCGTGTGCCGCGACGGCCGCGCGCCCCGGACCGCGCCATTGCCGCGTTGGATTGGGCGGCGCAGCGCCCGTCTTCCAAAAGTCGCCACACGCATATCGCGAGTGCCGAGCCAGCAGCAATCGCTCCCAGAAGCAGCCTTGACAGGCGCCCCATGCCCGTTGTCGCCCGCTTCCGATCCAAATCATAGTTTCTTAGGATGCGCTTGCGCGAATGTGAGCGCGCGGGCAAGTAAAGCGTGCGCGCTTGGCGCAGCCTGGGAAATCCAACATGGAGCCCCCCGGGGGCGCTGGGCGCCGGCCACGCCTCCGCCCGCCTCCCGCGCGCCCGACCCCCCCCCGCAAGCCGACTCCTCCTAGTCTGGTTGGTCTGGCTAGTCCGGTTGGTCTGGCTGGTCTGGTCCGACTGGTCTGGTTGGTCTGGCTGGCGCGTGTGGTCCCATGAGTTGTGGCTGGACTTGTCAGTCTGGCTGATCTTGTCGGTCTGGCTAGTCTGGTTGGTCTGGCTGGTCTGGCTGGTTTTGTCTAGTTGATCTGGTTTGCCTGGTCTGGTTGGTCTGGCTAGTCCGGTAGGTCTGGCTGGTCTTCTTGGTCTGGCTGGTCTGGTTGGTCTGCCTGCTCTAGTCTGCTCTGGCTGCTCTGGTTGGTTTGGTTGGTCTGCATGGTCTTGTTGGGCTGGCTGTTCTGATTGGTCCAGCTTCGTCTTTGAGCGGAAGTTGAAATCTTAACTCATCTTGATGCTCTGGCCAACGACGATCGCCGACCGGCGCGCGGTGCAGTGCGACCAGGCCACGCGCCCCGTCAGGCCGCGCCGCGCGGCCGCGCCCGACTGGCGTGGCGGCGAGCCGGGGGGTTGAGGATCGAGGTTACCGGAAGATTTTCTTGGTTCTTGGCGGTTTTCTCAGCCGGCATGGTTTCCAGCGGCTGCGCCTCGCCGAGGGCGTTCCGAGAGTGCCCGTGTCGTCCCGAACGGCCGCCGGAGGCCGAGGCCAGCTTCTTGGGCCGTTTTGGGCTATCTTGAGAGCTGAAAAGAACAACATGCCCAAGTCCTTGAAGCACAACGGAAAATCATTCAGTTTGCCCCTTTCGGGCTTAGAGGGCGTTTTGGAGGGCTCTCGGGCCGTTTTGGAGGAATCCTGCGAGCCTTTTGGGCCGTCTTAAGCCATCTTGAGGCCATCTTGGCCCGTCTTGGGCATCCTGGGGCTATCTGGGCCGTCTTGAACACCATCTTAGCCATCGTGGAGGCATCTTCAGGGCCATCTTGGGCCATCTTGGCCGTTTTGGAGGCCTCTTAAGCCGTCTTGGGGCCCTCTTGGGGCCGTCTTGGGGGCTTCTTGGGCCGTCATGGGGCCATCTTAGAGGCCTCTTGGCGATCTTGGGGCGACCTTGGGGACCTATTGGGCGGTCGGAAAGCCGACAAGGCGCGAATGCACGAATCCTTCAAACACTTAAAGAAAATAGATAAATATTGCCCTCTCGGGCCTTCATGGAGGACCTCTTGGAAGCCTGTTGGGCCATCTTGGACGCCTCGTGGGAGCCGTTTGGGCCCATCCAGGGCCGTCTTGGGTGCATTTTGGGCCGTCTTGGAGGCGTTTTGGTGCCATGTTGGCCGTCTTGGAAGCCATCTTGGAGGTACTTGGAGGCCATCTTGGCCGTTTTGGAGGCAATCTTAGCCATCTTGGAGGCCTCTTGGCCCGTGTTGAGGCCCTCTTGGGACCGTCTTGGAGGCCTCTTGGGCCGTCATGGGGCCATCTTGGGGGCCTCCTGGGCAATTTTGGGGCGATCTTGGGGGCCTCTTGGGCCGTCTTGGACCGTCGGAAAGCCGAAAAGGCGCAAATGACCAAATCCTTTCCAAACCCAAGGAAAATCAATGATTTTGGCCTATTCAGGCCCTCCTTGACGACCTCTTGAAGGCCTCTTGGGCTGTCTTGGAGGCCTCTTTGGAGCCTCTTGGACCGTCTTGGGCCTCTGGGGCCCTTCCGAGGCGACCCCGGCGGACAGGCCAGGCGGCCGGGAAGCTCGCCGCCGCCCGCCGCTCGGTGAGCGAGCCTCGGGCCCGAGGCGAGGATGAGTGGCCTGGGCCAGCCTCGGGTCGGAGGCGAGGACGGCGAGGCGGAGGAGGAAGCGGAGGGGGAGGGGGAGGAGGCGGAGGTGGAGGGGGTGGAGGAGGACGAGAAGGAGGAGGACGAGGGCGCAGCGTGCCCGGCCGCATGCCGACGGCGAGGGCGACTCCGCCGCCACGCGCCGCACCGCCCCAGAAGGTGGAGAGAGGGGGGGGACAAGGAGGAGGTCGAGAACCAGGAGGAGGAAGAGAGGCGGGACAGGAGAAAGTGGAGGTGAGGAGGGGGAGAAGGAGGACGAGACAGAGGACAAGCGACCTTCCTCCATGCCCAAACTGACATGCTTCTAGCCGCCCCTTCCCGTCTTCGAATCTGTCCCTTGCCAACGTGTCGCAGCAATTGCGGCGCGCTTCCCGGCGCCTGCCAAGGACTGCCTCCCTCGCGATCCCTGGTTCTCCATCTCCCATGGGCCCACATCGTCATTGTATGATCCTTGGCGCGCGTGCCCCTTGTATACACACCAAAAAAACGCACAGCGATATGCCCACATTGCATCCGCAATGGGAGGATTACGCGGTCGAGCGAACATTGCGAAATTCGTCACGAATATATACTATTGTGCATTGTGCGAATCGGCCTCCCGAGACACCGACACAGCGAGACAGCGCGTAGCAAGCAGCCTGAGACGGAATTACTGCCCAAAAGGTCGCGCTCGCTTCGCATCGCCCCTCGCCGAGCCGAAATTGGAGCGCGTGGTGTGCCCATCATCGTTCGAGACCGCAGCCGCCTCTCAAGCATGCTCGTGAGCGCATTGCCCCTTACTTGATTCCTTCGTTTCACATTCGTAAAGTTCTGCCGCAGCAGAATAGAGGGGGCGAAGCGGCCTTCAGCACCGCGCCCTCGCGGGTCGACCCACTCCGCAGGGCCGCCCAGGAAGACAGAGACAACAAAAACTGACAAGCAGAGGCAGCGGGCGAGGGCGAGGGCGATGCCATGGACAACGCGATCGCGATAATACAGAGTCCCCTCGTCCAGCTCGGCGGCAGAGCCAGGACATTGGAGAACGAGTCGCACGTTACAATCCTGATCAACACAAAGTGCGACGCCCCCAGTCAGATGCAGGATTGCTTCCAGCAGTACCTCAAGATGCGGAAGGAGGACCCCGACACCGACCGCGAACCCCCAGGGCGCCGCTGCCTTCCAGGGACTCTGAACGCTTTGCTCAGCTTCGAGCACAAGGACACCTCGCCCAGGATGCGATTGATGCTAGGGGGGCCGCAGCGGCTCTACGACATGCTCAAAGCAGGGGTCCCCGACAGCGAACGGATCTGGGTGGTGGAGATGATGATGCCGCTGACCTCCCAAGAGACATGGAAAGAACCCGAGGTTCGGATTTTGTTCAGTTGCCGAGGAGAACTCGCGCTGCCGGAGGACCAGGCGGACCGCGAGAAAGAGATGAAAGCCATAGGCCAGCCCGAGGGCGATCCACATCAGCTCTTTTCCCACGGAGATGCCGACCTCCCATCTTCAAATACGCGGAGCACGGGCGCCCGTGGAAATGACCATAGCCGAGGCCTTGCGCAGAACGGGAGGCCAGATCTTGATCGGTCGCGCACCCAGGGGCAACCTAGTGCGACAGCTTGTCCTGAAGATGGAAGTGGACTCTCTCTGGGACTACACATGCATATGGCAGTGGATGCAACAAGTGGCTATGGATTGTCTACTCCTGAATTTTGAAGTGGGCTCTCTTTGGGGCTGCGCAAGTATTGACGCGGATGCACCAAGATACTTGGGCATGGAGTCTCTGAGAAGCACTATTCTGGGCTAGTCGCTTCTGGCGAATGCCCCGCATCGTCGCCGCGTCCTTTTGCTGTCTTCCGCGGTTTTTTCTGGCTCCAGGGATCTCCTGCTTGGCCGAGGCCGGACGGCCGAGGCCCTCGGGGGAGGATGTCGGGCCTTCTGATTTCGATGGCGTCAGAGAACAGCTTCGCTGATTGTGCATCCAGCTGTGCCTTGATGTGCTGCGCCAAGTTTCACGTCTTCACCTGCTGGATGGACACTCCATGCAGCTGATATCCATAAATTTCCAGCCCTGGAGGGCCACCATCGTGCTGCTTCTTCTTCATCCTTGCGCGAGGCTGGCTTTCGCCTGGGCCGCGCCCCCGTTCTGGCGCCCCGCTGTGCGCATCAACCTTAGCTGACAGACTGCAGGAACTGACTAGAGAGGGTTTTCGAGCTAAGTCTCCAGACCCCAAACCAGGGTCACCTTCTCACAAGCCTCTGCTCGGATTCGGCCTGAATGGGAATTGAGAGAGGACCCCCCCCCCCCTCGCCCCCCCCCCTCGCCCGCCTCCTCTTCCGAAAAGGCAGCGCCTCGCAAACGTGACGGGTCCCTCGTATAAGAATAGCCGGCGACTGCCTCCCAGGAGCTTTACCGGCACTGGGGCCCGCGATGCGACGGCCCTGGAGAATCTGACAACCAATTTGTCGGGTAGGGAACATGTTTGATCTAAGGTGCCAACTTGTTGGGCCCCTGCGCCGCACTTTGCAGCGCGGCTGAAGGAATGAATAGCTGCCGACGCTGATTCTCCCTTCCCCATCCCCCCCTGATTCTCCTCGGATTTTCCCTCCGCTGAGCGTCGACGCTGGTCATGCTGTCGCCGTTGCTGCTGCTTCTGCTGCTGCTCCTCGTCCTCGTGGAATTCCTGCGAAGCGGGCAGATGAGGCAGAGCCAGCCGAACTAGTTGGACCGCTCCGCAGACCAGGTGCAGTGGCGAACCGACCAACCATTTAAGACCAACCAGACCAGGCCAAGCAGAACAGACCAATCAGACCAAATGAAACACTCGACCGGGCAGGCCAGACCAGACCAATGCCAGCTAAGCGAATCGAACACACCATAACAACCGAACCAGCCAGACCAGATGAAGAATGTGCGAGACCACACCGGTAAGAGCAACAAGCCGTGATCGGATCCGAAAGGAATTTGCCGATTCGACCGCGTGGACCAACCAGACCGAGTGGAGCAGCCGCGCCAGATCCAGCAGACCAGCCAACCAGACCAACCAGATAACATAACAGCCAACCCAAACCATGCCAAGCAGATCAGCCGGACGAACTAGACCAGCAAAGCAAACCGAACCAGGCCGACCGAACGAGTCGGACGTACCAGACCAGACGAAACAGACCAGTCAGGTGACTTACTCGACCAACAAGACCAGTCCAGATTCGAACAGACCAGACCAACCTAGACCAGCCAGACAAGTTCGAAGAACCAGCCGACAGCCAGCGCAACGATAAAGAAAGAAAGCGGGGGAGAAAGGGGTGGGGATGGATGGAGAGACAAGCAAAAGCTAGCGCGATGCATCGCAGCACGAAACAGCTGCTCGGTATGCGCTATGTTCTGCGCGGCGCGATAGAGCAGACCAATGAGACCAAGCAGACCAGCCAGCCATCTAGACCGGTTAAGCCGACGCCAGAGTAAGGAGATCAACCAGACCAACTATGCCAACCCGGCTGAAACTATATTGTCACACCTTGCATTACAGAGCTCATTGCAAGGCAAACCACGCGGAATAGGCAGACCATCCAGAAAAGCATGTCAAACCAGCCAAGTAGATCAACTAGGCCAACCAGACCAGCTAGCCAGACGAATCAGCCATACCAGACCAAGCAGACTAACCGGACCAGCGAGCCACCCAGATCAATAAAGCAGTTCAGGCGAATCAGCCAAACCAACCAGAACCGTCTATCAGACCAAACAAGTCAGACCAAGCAACATCAGCCACACTAACCAGACCAAGACTGCATTGCACAAGATACACTGCAATACACAAGAAACGCCAGCGCGAACAAAACATATCAGACATACCAGCAAGACGAACAAGTCAAACCAGCCAAGGTGGGAAAGGATTGAGAGACAAGCAAGGCATGGTGCAACTGCGCGCCGCGCGCTGTGCGCTGTGTGTTTCGCGGTGGAGCAGACTAACCATGCCAACCAGACCAGCTAGCGATCTAGACCAGCCGAGCCCAGACCAGAGTAAGCGCAGATTCACCAGACCAACCACATCAACCACACTAGGATTACACTACAACAAATTAAATGGCAATGAAAAGCGCGGTGGGGAAGCCTGCGCTGGGCACACCATCCAGAATAGCAAGTCAAACCAGCCCAGCACGCCAACTAGACCAACCGGACCAACCAACCAGACAAGTCAGTTCAAACAGATCGTGCAGACCAACCAGACCAGCCAGACCAGCCAGCCATCGATATTAGTTGAGCCCAGACGTGACTGATCAGATAGACCAGACAACCCGCATCAGCCACATTGAAACGCATTGCAACGAAATCCAACGGGGCGAACAACAAACAGCCAACCAGACCAGCCATATCAAAAACGAAGTAGACCATCCAGACCATCGAATGCCAAACCGAATTAACCAGGTCATCGTCAACTAGACCAGACTGCAATGCAAAACAAACGCTGCAGCGGAACCTCTGCGATGCAAAAAGGCTTGAATCAAGCAGACCAGTAATGCCAGCACGTCAAACCAGACCACGCAGCCACCCAGACCAGTCAAGTTCAGACCAGACTAAGAAACTCTTCACCAACCAGATCAAAGTTTCTCTGCACGAGCAAAGGCATGCAAACACAACTGCAGTGCAGAACCCATGTTTTTTATTGACGTCGTGGTTGGCGCTGCGCGCTTCGCGCCTCCATGGGCTTCCTGGAACCGCATTCGGCCCGCGGGCGGAATCGTCAGCCGCCATCAACAAGCGCGCGACGCTGCCAGGTCTGCGGCTGCGGCGCCAGCGGCTGCGAGGGCGCCCAGGAAGTGCGGCGACCGTCGAGTCTACGACGATCCCTTGGCGGACGCGGCGATCGAGGTCGGCGTTGAGGCCTCGACGCCCGTGGGCGCGCCGCTGTGGTGCGCGGTTCCAAACGCGGCCGCCCCCGCCAGGTCTACGGCGGCAGTGGCGGCAGCATTTGGGGCGGCAGGGGGCGACGATTCCGCCCAGTTGCTGAGGGCGTTCCAAGGCCGCCGTGTTTGCTTGAAGCGTTGCGCCGTTCCGGTGCCCCCTGGTTGTCGGTGGCCCGCCGCGCCTACCTGGGTTCCAGTGTCGCTGCGGTCGCTGCTTCGCGCATTCCGCCCCGCCTGTCCCCTGCCCACCCTGGGCCTGGGAGGCGCACTCCCGCCAGTTTTGGTCAGGCTGAGGGGCCGCGCGCCCGCGCGCCGCACTTACTCACCCCCTGGCACCCTCCTTGCCGCGCGCCCAACAGCCGGCTGGTCCAATCCAGCGCCGGCTCTGTGCACGCCCACCCTTCTTTGGGCTTCCCCTTTCTTTCGCCGCTCTGCCCGCCGCGGCCGGGGCGCGCTCGGGGCTTCCTCTTTTCCGTTTCCCCGCCCTGGGCCCTTGCCTGGGTTCGCGGGCGCTCGCGCCCCGCAGCCCTTGCTGGGCCTCCAGGAACGCGGGCCCAACATTGCGGCCGTTGCTTCCCCCGGCGGGCCCGCCCTGCCCGCCCCGGCAAGGGGGGCCATGCGCGCTGTGACTGCACCTGTTCGGTGCCCGCCCTCGCGCCCCCCCCCCCCCTGAACGTGCCCTGTGGGTCCAACGTGTTCTTCGGCGGTTCGCGCGCGCTTCTTCGGCTTGCTGGCCGCCTGCCTCTCCGCCCCTGGCGCCTGGGCTGGTCTTGCCGCTCGCGCCTGCCCCCGCCCCACATCGCCTTTTGCAGGTGGTGGGCTTCGCTGTCCCCGCCCTTGGGGCGCCGGCGCTTCCTTGGCTCCGCGAGACATGTAACCTTGCCAGCTGACCTTTTCGGCATCTGCCCCCGCCGCCGCTGGCCACCCAGCCCTGCTGCTGCTGCTGCTGCTGCTGGCCCCGCGCGGCGGCGACGGCCGCGCCGCGCACTCTGGGGGCGACCTTTTCCCTTCAGCGGCCCCGGCCCGTTTCCTCCTCTTCGGCCGCTGCTTCGCTGTCCCCCCCCCCCCCCCCCTCCTGCGCGGCGCTGCAATTCGCTTAAAAGCAACCCCGTTTTTCTTGTTCGCCACCGCAGTGACTGTGCCGAGCCCCCAACGAAAAAGCGTTTGCTTGAAGCGCTGGCAGTGCGCGGTTGACATCAAGGGCAAGCGCCGCGGGCCAGGCGGTGAGCGGAAGCCCGCGGGCAAGGCAACTGCACAGTCTGAGCGCAAGCGCAAGGCCAACAGGATCACGCTTGGCGTCCGCCCCAGAAAGGGGGGGGGGGGGGGGGCGCTCTGACCGCGCTCCGCTGCTTGTGTTTTCCTGAGCCCTCGCGAGTGCAGTCTTCCTGCGGCTGCGCGGTGGCGGCGCAGGCGTGGGCTGGCGCCGCGGTCCTGTTGCGCGAGGTCGAGGTGGGCGGCGGATCGGCGCGCGCAGCGCGTTCCGCTGCCCCGGGTGACAAAAAAACGCATGTGTGTCACGCACGCCAAGGCCAAACACACCTGCATCGAGCACGCTCCCCAGTGACAAGCGTCAGTTATGATTTTAATATTTCACCATATGACATCCATTAGTAACACATCGGTATCCCGCTTGAGTGACCCTCGTAGCAAAGAGGCACAAGTCATACGAAACACCCCGCACATGCGGATAAGAGTGAGGTGGCGGCGGGGGCGTCGGCAGTTTGCGAAACTCCAGAGAAGTCCGCCGCAGGCGCCAAAGTTTCACACATTATACAGAGAGCCCACCGCAGGTGCCGATTTCGTCGTGATGCCAATGAGGGTAGGTCGCGGGTGGGTCGCACATGTGTCGCGGATGGGCCGCTGTTGGGCGGCGGGTTTAGAGGACAGAAAATCCACCCCATAATAACCACCCCGACAAGCGAAGCCGTTTAGTAAACGCGCGCAAGGGATGAATCGATCATGCCAGGGCTGTTTAGTAAACGCCCAGGGCCGTTTACTAAACGTCAATTGTCGGGTCTGGGTAGGTTTTACTAATTTGAGGGTGGGTTGCGGGGTGGGTCGCGGGTGTGTTGCGGGGTGGGTCGCGGGTGGGTCGCGGATGGGTCGCGGGGTGGGTCGTGGGGTGGGTCGCGGGATGGGTCGCGGGTGGGTCGCGGGGTGGGTCGCGGGTGGGTCGCGGGTTGGTCGGGGGGTGGGTCGCGGGGTGGGTCGCGGGGTGGGTCGCGGGGTGGGTCGCGGGTGGGTCGCGGGGCGGGTCGCGGTGTGGGTCGCGAGGTGGGTCGCGGGGCGGGGCGCGGGGTGGTTCGCGGGTGGGTCGCGGGTGGGACGACGACAGCAACAGCAATCATTCTAAGATTGTTATTTTTTTTGCCGTGTGCCATTCAAAACGAGTTCCCCGCACCCCCGATACCCGCCAGTTTTTGTCTTCGTTCACACCCCCTTGGGGGGGGATTATTCTTCTTTGCGGGGGGCGGCGGGCTTAGACAGGCGGGCAAACCTGAACGGGCGGACAATCCTTCGTGGGCGTACATGTGCCCGCCATTGGAACTGGTGTGGGCCTTGCAAAAAGAGGAGGGGGAGAACGAGGGAGAGCGGGAGGAAGGGAGGGGGAGGGACGAAGGAAGAGGGGCAGCGCCAGGAAAGAAGGAGCGAAGAGGGGGGCGGTTGATTAGAGGCAGAAAGAGAGAAAGAGACAGAGAGGGATAGAGAAAGAGGAAGGCATATAAGAGAGGTCGACCGAGAGAGATAGAGAGAGAGGGGAGAAAGAGAGAGAGAGAGAGAAAGAGAAAAACACTTAACGAGGGAGGGGGGGCAGGAGAGGGGCGGGAAAAGGGAGGAGGGAGAGGAGGGAGAGGGGATAGGGCAGAGAGGCAGAAGGATGAGGGAATGGAGGAGGGAGAGAAAAGGGAGGAGAGGAGGGAGGAGGGAGAGGAAGGATGAGCAGGAATGTCAGAGCGTGAACGTTCGAGGAGGCCCTGGGCGAAAACGCCGTTCCTGAAGGAAGTCTCCGGCGGGAACTCACGACGGGCGGGCGATCCCCTGACGGGCGGGTTGGGCGTGTGGGACATTCAAGCGGGATGCCTGAGTTTGGCGGGAGCGCGATTCCTAAATAAATTGTGACGGCGTCCTTGGCGCAGCGTGTTGCCTGAGCATCGAAGGCGCGATTTCCGAATAATTGTATGGAAGTCACAGGCGAGAGCGCAATTCTTGAATAAAATGTGAGGGGTTCTCTGGCGGGAGCGGGGGTCTTGATTCAATTTCGAGGAGGTCTTGATTCAATGGCGAGGAAGTCTCAAGCGGGAGCGCCGTTCATGAGTAAATTGCGAAGAAGTCTTAGATGGGAGCGGAGGTCTTGATTAAATTGCGAGGGGGTGATAGGCGGGAGCACCGATCCTGAGTACATAGTGATGATTTCTCAGGCGGGAGCGGGGGTCTTGAGTAAATCCGGAGGAAGTCTCAGGCGGGAGCCGTTGTTGCTGTAATCCAGGGGGCCAGGGGTACAGTTTGAGCATCAAGATTTGCCCTGTCAGAAAACAGGGTGCGAGCGTCGACGGGTACATTTTGATTGAGAAAAACCAGCATGCACCGGTGAGGGGGATCAACAATAATTCTTTTGCAGGCATGGGTGTTCAACAACAACCACAACAACAATCATTTTAAGACTGTTCGCTCTTACTGGCACGCGTGTCCTGCATTCCGTATACCCCAACCCTCGATACCCGCCCACTTCGTTTTCGATTGCAGCCTTTTTTCGGCGGGAATTTATTCATGGTCGGCCACTGACTAGAGTGCGAAGAAGTCTCGAGCGAGAGCGCCGTTCCTGAGTTTGGGGGCCTCTCTGGCCAGAGGCTTTCGGAATACCCTTGGATGAATATCGAACGGAAGCCCTTGTCGCCGTGTCCGGGCCTCCACCAACTTGCATGAATTACGGGAAAGTCTCGAGCGAGAGCGCCGTTCTTGAGTTCGGGGGCCTTCTTGGCCAGGGGCTCTCGGAGTAAATCGCGAGGAAGTATCGAGCAGGAACCCTTGTCGCCGTGTCCAGGCCTCCGCCAACTTAATTGAACCGCGAGGAAGTATCGAGCGATAGCGCCGTTCCTGAGTTCGGGGGCCTCTCTGGCCAGGGTGTCTCGTAGTAAATTGTGAGGAAGCATTGAGCGGGAACCGTTGTTGTCGTAGCTTGGTCTCCAAGGGCCCACAGTTAGGGTCAAGCCAACTCTCGAGCGGGAGCTTCGTTTTCGAAGAAAATTTAGCCGGCCTCGAGGCGAGAGCGCGCGGAACCGCTTCTGGAGACCAGCTACATTTATTCTTTAGAAGTGAGCATTCAGCAACAACGACAGCAATCATTTTACCCTCATGCGCGATGTTTCCACACGAAGCATGCGACCATTATGATAACCATCCACATCTTGGGGGACTCTTGTACTACAGCGGGGTCCATTATTCCCAGTTCCAGATCTACCGCCCTATGAGGTCTTGCAAACGCCTCCTCCGCCCGCCTCGAAAACACATGCCCGCGGCTTGCTGCGCCGATGCGAGACCGCCAGTGGAACCCCAGCGAAGGGTAAAGCACAAGGAAGTATCGAACGACAGGATTGCCTTGGTGGGGATGGGGGCTGTCGTCGGTGAGGCAAGGACCTGGCCTTGAATAGAAAGGGAGGAAGTCTCGAGCATGGCTGCTGTTGTTGCTGGGAGCGGCGCCAATGCTGAAGAACGTAGGGCGCTAGTCCAGCGTAAAACGAAACGAAGTCTCGAGCGGGAACTCTGGTTTTGTTGGGACGGCGGCTTTCGGCGGCGAGGAGGAACACCGCCTTGAGCAAGAAAGGAGGAAGCATCGAGCGGGAGCCGTGGTTTTGTCGGGACGGGGGTTGTCGGCGGCGAGGAACAGCACCGTCTTCAGGAAAAGGGAGGAAGCCTCGAGCAAGAGCGTTGTTCTTTCTGGGAGCGGCGCCAATTCAAAAGAGAGTTGGGCGCCAGTCCAGCGTCAAACTGAAGGAAGTCTCGGGCAGGAGCGCTGGTTTTGTCGGAGCGGCGGTTTCCGGCGGCGACGAGGAGCACCGCCTTGAGAAAGAAAGGAAGGAAGCCTCGAGCGGGAGCGTTGTTTTCGCTGGGGCCGGCGCCGATGAGAGAAAGACTAGCGCGCCAGTCCAAGGTAAAACGGGAGGAATTCTCGAGCGGGGGCGCTGGTTTTGTTAGGACGGCGGCTTTCGGCGGCGAGCAAGAACAACAGCCTTGAGTAAAAAAGGAGGAGGTCCCGAGCGGGAGCGTTGTTGTTGTTGGGGGGCCGGTTTTGGCGGTGCCCCAAACCTCTCGAGCGTGAGCCTCATTTTCACCGAAAATGTATCCGGCGCCTCGGCGAGAGCGCCAGGGCGCATGTAAGGGGTCCACATAATAATCGTTTAGAAACTAAAATTCAACATCATAAACAACAGCGACAACGCAACTAGCATAATTCTCACCACGAAGTCCCTGTTCAGCCAAGCAGCCAGGGACAATGAATGACCGTTCGGCCCCCTCATTCTAATGAAGTGATCACATACATCAATCGTCAAACTGTCCGCATGGCTACCGTTGTATCCGCATGGTGTCCTCTGCTGTCCGCGTGGTTTCCTCTGTATCCTCTCCTGTGTCTCTCTAGCGGTTCCCTGCGGCTTTTCGATTGGCGCCCCAACAATCGCCCAATAATCGTCACAGTCAGATCTAAAGCAGATCCGAGGAGAGCAGAGTAGAGAAGAGTAGATGAGCAGGATCGAGTAGGGTAGAGAAGGAAAGAGTAGAAGCTGGTTCGGGCAAGATAGGGTTACATCGAGTAGAACAGAACGAAGGAGAAAAATACTATAGGAGTACATTGCTGTAGGGATAGGAGTAAGGTAAAGGTGATAATCGTGCTTTTATCTTCGAGTGTTCTCGAATGGGGTCAGGTATGGTCGGGTAGGGTAGGGTAAAACGTAGCGGAGCAGAGCAGAACGTAGCAGAGCAGAGTACGGTCGATTGTAGAGTAGAGTCGTGCAGAATAGAGTAGACTTGAGTGGATAAAAGGTACGGTTTAGTTGCGTAGTGTAGAGCGAGTAGAGCAAGGTAGAGAGGAGCATCATCATCGCATCTTCGTTTCTTGCCGGCGACCGGTGAACCACTCATCATCCACTTTTTCGCGCTTCCTTTGATAGACGAAGACGACCAGTGACCGACTTTGCGTCCTCCTTTGCCTACTCCTAGTCCATGCCAAACAAAAGACCAATGCAGACCAGACTTTTCTATTCTAGTCCATCCAGGCCAGGCCAGCCCAGCCCAGTTCTCCAGTACATCAGTCCACTTCATTTCAGTGTCCTGGTATATTTGCAGCCTGCGCTAGCTAATATTCATTTTTGGTTCTGCCATCGGGGTCGCCGTCGTCGCCACGCCTGGGCGCTGTCCGAACAAGTGGCCAGGAGGACTTCCAGGAGGGGTCCAGGGTTATACTGTAGGTCTTGGGCAGGGCGGGGGGGGACGGCTGCACCACATCACCACATGGGGCGCTCCAGAAAGAGCCTGGCCGTCGCGGATCGAAGGAGTTGTCGTCTCTTTCTCGGCGGAAGGTCGGCCGTAGGTGGCGGAAGTAAAACGAGGGCGGCTCCGCCAGCGGAAGCCGGCGGACGACGGCGGAAGCAAAAGATGCGCCCCCAAAGTTTTTGGGCGGCGAGGCAATTTCATGGAGCGGTGCGTTCCGCCGACGCGTGCCTTGGGGCGTTCGGAATCACCCTACCATGCTACGTCAATGCGGTGATCGTCGGTCGACTCCCAAGAGATCCGATGCCTTGGTTGGTCAATACGTGGGCCCCGCGAGTCCCGACCTTCCCCAGCCGTCTTGTTGACGGTCCCGGGTCCCAGTGAGGGCCCCCACAACTTGCAAAAATTGGCAAAGTTTTCCGTCGCCATTTCCTTCGCGACGCGAGGAGGTTCTGGGAGCCATCTGCCCACATCGTGGGCGGAGGCGAAGGGGACGAGTCGTCGCGGGCGGGGGTCGACCGGAAGTGGGCGGTCCGGCCACCCCCGAGGCCATCCGGGAGGAGTACGTCAATTCGGTGAACGTCTTCGAGGCCCTGCCAGACCGGGCCGCCCGCATATTGGGCGAGCCGGCGTACGAGAAGAACGCCGACGGGCAGGAGCTCGGAGGGAGGAGGCCGAGGAGCAGGATCAGGGTCTACAGAGGCACTCGGCGCCGCAGACACATGTCTTGATGACGTGGGTCCACTGGCCACTGCGCCATGTTGGGGGCAAGAGCGCAAGCGGGGTGTGGAATGTCATGGTGGAAGCCGGCTCACCGTGGCGAAGACGGTGAAGTTGCGTCGGGGTGCAGCAGGCTGCGCGGGCGCGGCGAGAGTGGCGCCCGCGCTGGGGAGGTTTGGCGACCATGGGGCGGCTTGGATGCCCATAGGGACACATGAGCGGACGTGGGGAATATGAAATTGTCGCTGGCGAGGCGGGGGAAAAAAACATGGGGAAGTTCAGAAAAGCATTGGGAAGCTGAGCGTGACATGGAGGAGTTCAAGTGAACGGGGAAGTTGAGAATAACATGGAGGGGTTCAAAAAGCATGGGGGAGGTAGACAGGATTCTGTTGAAGGATTCCGTCCTCTCGGGGGCCTCCTTGAGAAGCTCTTTGGCCATTTGGAGCCGCCTTGGAGCGGTCGTGGGGCCTCTCGGAGGCATCCAGGAAGCTATCTTGAAACAGAATTCGCTATGTTAAACAATCTTGGAGACCATTCTGGCTGCCTCGGGGAACCTCTAGGAGCCAGATTGGACCTTGTGCCATCCGACCGCTCGCGCCCCCCCATCGAGAAGCAGGGGTTGGATGAGGAAACGCGCTGAGCTAACTACGCCCAGAGGGCTGGTTGGAGTTCTTGATCTCCCCCGAAGGTAGCAGGAAGTGCCACTGGGCCCCCCTGCTTAGGGTGGATGGGCCGCGCGAGCCCCGCAGGCTTAGCCAGAGGGGCCCTCGGGCACCCCCCCGCTTTCTTTGGCCTGGACGGGCCGAAACCTCATTTCCTTGGGCATCCTGGCACCAATCCTCCATAATCCTAGGTCCAATGCAGTTTGTTCGCACAGGCCCCTCTTTCATCCCGCGCAATCCGGTTTAATCTCGCCCCCGAAGATTTCCCAGGAGTTACGTCCGAACGAGTAGGTTACGTTGCATCTTCGAGGTGGCCTTGCCTGTCCTGCAAATTGGGGCTTTCTCTTGTGCCGGACGCGGGTTCGACGTGGGTTCGACGCGGCACGGGTTCGACGTGGATTTGACGCGGATTCGACGCGTTCGACATGGATTCGGAGGCGGCTTCGACCTTGGACTCGACGCGGAGAGCGGCCCGAGTGGACAAACAAGGTTCCCCAAATATGCAGTACAAGGCAGGAGTGAAGATGAGGGGGAGGAGGGGGACCAGGGAGGAGCAGGAGCAGCAGGAGGAGCAGGGAGGAGGAGGAGGAGGAGGAGGAGGAGGAGGAGGAGGAGGAGGAGGAGGAGGAGTACGAGCAAGGAGTTCGGGGCGATGCGCCTGGAGCTCGCCGGCGCGTGCTGGAACGTGCCCGAGCTGGCCCAGGGCTCCGCCAATCTCCTGTCTACCTTCAAGGATGCGCTCGCAGCCAGTCGGGAACGACGCAAGGTTTCTGAAGTGTGTGTCTCGAATGTGTGGTTTCATGTTTAAGATATCTGCTGTTTTTTGCTCGGAATGTTCGACTTCGCGGGCGCTGTTTTTATCTGTTCCGTAGTTCGTGCCCGAGGCCCCTGGCCAAGGGATGGATGGTGACAGCATGACATCGAGCCCATCCATCACAAAACAAAAAACGCAGCTGTGTGGTGCCAGCGTGAACACCAAACAGTGTTTTTGTTGCACGGTGGGTGTGCAAGCTAAGTGGGGCAAGTTGTGTGTTGTGAGTTGTGTTGCGCGAGCTGTGCGGCGTAAGCTGTGTGGCGTAAGTTACGTGGTACAAGCTGCGTGGTACAAGTTATGTGGTGTATGCTAGGTGGTGCAATATGTGTTGTGCAAACTATGTGGTGCAAGCCACGCGGTGCAAGCTACGCTGTGCTTGTGTAGTGCAAGATCCGAACATAGGATGGCATGCGCCCACGAGGCGCCCACGACCGGCCACAAGCGGCACCATAGTGAAACCTCGGCACACTTATCCCAGTCACGAAGCGACCACGAGGCGCCCATCGGCAGCAATGGGTGGCAACCTGGCGAAACCTCGGCGCACCCATCCAGCACACAAGGCGCCCACGGGCGCAATGAGCGGCAACGTGGCGAAACCTCGGTACACCCATCCGATTCCTTGGGTAGCACAAGTAAGAGCCCTTAGGTGCATGCACAGTTTGGGTTTAGTGTTCGGAGGTCCGCGCAGACTTCGTGGATCTAGCGCGAGTTGGCAGCGCCCGAGCGCTCGGGGGAAGGCTCGCACGTCCATCAACGGAATGATTCCGACGTCGTGGCTTCGATCCGCGAAGGTGATGGCGCCTCGTTGTGCGACTGGACGCGCGCGCGCGCGTGTGCGCGGATGTTTTGCGGATGCGCCGCAAACGCGCCAGGCCACCGCGCCGACTGCGGATTCTCGTTGGCCTTCTGTTGCTTCCTGATGACTCCTGTGGCTCCCCTAGGGCATTCCTGGGCCTCCCCTGGGGCCTCCCAGGGCGTCGTTTCCTGGTGCCTCCTCGGGTTTCCTGCGGCTTCGCGGGGTTTCGTGGGGCGTCTGGGGGCGCATGGGTGCGTCTGGGACGCTTTGGGAGCGGCTGGGGGGCGCCTGGGTGCGCCTGGGTGCTCCTGGAGCGTCTGGAAACGCTTGGGAGCACCTAGAAGCTTTGAAAGTGTATGGGGGCGCTCGAGCCGACAGGCGGCGCCTTCTGTGGCCATCGCGGCGCCGCAGACCCCGTGGTCCTTCCCCGCTCAGCAAGCGAGGTGTTCGTATCGTCGGTCAGTGGACTTCTTCGAACGTGTTTTTGTTGACATCTCGCTTCCACCGATCCGCTCGCCCCCTTCGGGGCTAGCGGCTTCCGTGCTCGGTCAAAACCAGTTTCTTTCGGCGTTGGGCATCCCGCTCGGCACAGTCGCCCCTGGACTGAATATGATCCCTGGTTGTCTGCGGGAGTCAGGTGCCACTGACTTCTGCAGGCTGCAGAGGACGCCCCTCGCGTCTTCTGGCGAGGTAAGTGGCGCCAGCGAGCCTCGAGTGCTGAGCGCTACCTCCAAGCTGCTGCTGCTTCGACTGTCCTTGCGTCTCTCTCCGATGCAGCCGGGGCTCAGGTGCTTTTCTTCGCCTCCCGCCAGCAGTCGCCTGACTGCTTCCTTCCAGCGTGCTGGGTCGTCAGCCTGGTCAGTCCAACTCGCGGCCGCCCGCCAAAACCTTGTCACTTCGCCAGGGCTTTGAGCCTGGGCACGGCTGCACCGCCTTTCGGCGTCCAGGGGCCCCGCTCCTGAGCGCGGCGCGTCAGCCCCCCGCGCGCCCGGCGGCGTGTCTGCCCCGCCGTCGCGCGCGAAGGCGCCGGCGCGCGCGCGCGCGGAAACCGCGCGCCAGGATGGAGCGAGAGAGTGCTCCCTCTATCGTCTGCGGCTCCAACCCCGCGGTCTCCGCAGTGATTCGGCCCCCCTCCCTGCCCTCCCGGCCTCGCTGAGGCTGATGGCGCACGCGCTGCGCGGCCGCCTGTGCGCGCTGCAGGGACTGGGCTGTCTTGCCCCCCCGTGCGCTCGCTGGCTGCACCGCCTTTCGGCGGCCAGGAGCCCCGTTCCTAACCGCGGTGCGTCGGCCCCCTCGGGCCCAGCGGCGGGTCTGCCCCACCGTCGCGCGCGGAGGCGCGGGCACGCACGGGCGGAGACCGCTCGCCAGGGTGGAACGAGAAAATCCTCCTCCTTTTCCTCTTCCTCCTCCTCCTCCTCCTCCTCCTCCGCCTCCTCCTCCTCCTCCCTCCTCCTCCTCCTCCTCCTCCTCCTCCCCCTCCTCCTCCTCCTCCCCCTCCTCCTCTTAACCTGGCTGCGTTCTCATGCCGCTACCCTCATTCACTTTGGTACCCCTCTCGCACGTTTCGTGGCGCCGTAGGGAGTTCCGCCTTAGGCTGGAGCGGCTATTTTCACATGCCGCCACCCCCGCCACTTTGGCACACGCCTCGCACGCTTCCTGGCCCCATCGGGAGCTCCACGGAATGCCCCAGTGGTTGCGCTCGGTTGCCGCCACCCTCCTCTCTTTTGTCCACCCTTCGCAGGTTTCGTGGCCCTACAGGGAGCGCGGCCGCAAGCGCAAGCGCCACTGGCTGTGTTCGCATGCCCCCCCCCCTTCACGTTGGCACACTCCTCATGTTTTTCGTGCCCCCATGTGGAACTCCACCGATTGCACCCGTAGCTGCGTTCGTAAGCCGCGACACCCTTCACTTTGGCACACCCATCACACGGTTTGTGGCCCCATAGAGGTCTCCATCCGAAACCCCAGCGGCTGAGTTCGCATGCCGCCACACCCTCGATTTTGACACACCCCTCGCACGCTTCGTGACCGAATTGGGGGTTCCACCGACAGCTCCAGTGGTTGCGTTCCGTTGCCACCACCACCCGCATGTTTGGCACACCCAACACACGCTTCCTGACCCCATGCGGAACTCCACCGGAAGCGCAAGCGGTTGCGTTCGCATGCCGCCACCCCTCGTCACGTTGGCACACCCCTCACACGCTTCGTGGTCCCATCTGGAGCTCCGCAGAAGGCCCCAGTGGCTGCGTTCGCATGCCGCCACTACCCGCGTTTTGGCACAGCCTTCGCACGAGTCGTGGCCCCATAGGGAGCTCCACCCAAGGCCACAGTGGCTGCGTTCGCTTGCCGCCTCCCCCCCTCATTTCGGCATACCCTACTCACGCATCGTGGCCCCATAGGAAGCTCCACCGAAGGCCCCAGTGGCTGCGTTCGCGCGCCGCCACCCCAATCACTTTGGCACAGCCCTCATACGTTTCGTGGCCCCAGAGAGAGTTCTACTCAAACCCCAGTGTCTGCGCCCGCATGTCTTCACCCGCTTCTTCCAGTGCCTGTCAGCCGCAGCGTGTTCTATCAGCATGTAGCCCGCTTCGCTTGACTTCCGCGCCACATGCGGGCGGCCCCATCGGCAGCGCCCGCATGCCGGCCCCACCCCATTACGGCGGTCCGTTCGCGCGTTTCGTGGCCCCGTACGGAACTCCACCGAAGGCGGTTTTCACAACGGCAGTACCCACAACAGCATATGGTTGGATCACTCGCCAGGGTAAAGTTGTACCCTTATTCATGGTTAATGTTTGGCCAGGCTCCTCTCGCCCCGTGGAACCTCCATAGATTGAGGTTGAGCTTGTGGTGCCCGCGTTCGACTTCAAGAATTCCCCCAAACCCCAGATTCGATCCAGAGAGGGACGGCGTGGCCAGCCTTCCCCACCGCTCGGAGGCGGGCGAACTGCTCTCGCCCGCCGGCGTAGTGCATCTGGCACTCGGCTGAACGCTCCGACCACTAGTCGCTCGCTGCCTGTTGATTGTCAGGACCGACGCTCACTCGGGATAAATATACATATATATATTAGAGAACAAACAAACCTTATAAACATCATGTGCTGATTGATTCATGAAGCATATTTGCATGTATATGTCTTTCCTGATCCTCGTCCCCCGCTCGCTGTTTGATTTCATACAGGAAGCGAAAGGCGCCCCCATCTTCCGAGACGTCAGTGCTCCATCGGACTTGTCACGTGTGGGTGCGTTTGTGCCTGGCAGGCCGCATGCTTCTGGAGTGCGGCGAATGTGTTTGGTGGCAGTGGGAAGTCTAGCCTTTCGCACTGCTCCGCCTCTCTCGTGCATCCCCGCGAGCGCGCGGGCCTGCAGGCTACGTGCAAAGAATTTCCCGTCGCGTTCAGCACGCAGTGCCCTTCTCAAGATGGGCTGGTCAGACAGCCACGCCTCACGTGCTCCTGAAGCAACATGGGGGGGGAGGGGTGCACCCACAGGTTGGCCCCCGTGCTATGCCACGCTTGACCTTCCTCGGTGACGCGGTGGTCCCCTCTTTCCCTCTTGGCCCATCCCTCCCGTCCACCCTCTCTGCTTCCTCCAGGATCTCCTTATTTACGAGAGCGAGCAGACGATGCTCTCGGGGAGCGTGGCCGCTTCCGACGACTCGAGGCCGTTCGGGAACGTGAACAGCATCCTGGCGGAGACGTTTGGTCCTGGCGGCGTCGTGTCTTCCCTCCGGAAGGGCGGGGCTGGACTGCGGCGAGCGGAGAAGAAGCCTCTCACCAGCATGCATTGGTATTCCCTGAAGGGCAAGGCGACAGCGTTCAGCGTGTTCGAGACGGACAAGAAGACGTATCCCCCGGGCGATGCCATGAAGCGGTTGTACAAGGAATTGTTCAAGACGGATCTGCCGAAGCTGAAGGAAAAGGTCCTGGGGCCCAGGATCAATTGATCGTCGGCTCCTCTAGCACTCAGAGGTCCCAAGACAATCTGGTGACAGATGGTCCGATGACTCCAAAACGCGACGACAGTTATGTTCCAAGCTTTCCAGGAGACGTTCCAAGTTTTCCAGGATTTCCCATATGTCCTAACGATCCGCACGCGCTGCAGAAACGAGAGCCGCTATTAGATACTCTGGGAATCCTGGCACGTATCCTGACCCAGTCCTATCGTGACATCATTCCCGTCCTACTATGACAAGTTTGCCAATTGGGTGTTAGCATGGTAGGTGCATGTTGAGCTGTCTTTCAAAGTTATTGGGCCTTGGGAGGAGGCGCGCGGGCCGTAGCAGAAGGCAGCTACACTAGTCTCGGGACTTTAGAGGAGCCATATGCTGGAGGAATCTTGGGATAACGTTTGACTCACCGGACGGCACGGTCACCGAGCCATTCGAGCCGTTCGAGGACCCTGAGGTACAGCATCATCCTTCCCTGTGACTCCAGTTTTGATTCTGCAAGACAAATATCCTGGCGACGGACGAAACCACATGTAGTTGTGAGTGGCGCAGTTGTGATTATCATCTTCGGTGGAGCTCCCGATTGGCGTCACGAACAGTTTGAGCGGTGAGCCGACATGAGAGGCGGGGGCGCATGCGGGTGGCGCCAGTGGGGCCTTAGGTGGAGCTCCCTATGGTGCCACGAAGCGTGTGAAAGGTACGCCGGCATGAGCGGCGCGGACGCATACGGGAGGCGCCATTGGGCCTTTGGGTTTGGCTCTCTTTGGGGCCACGAGCGTGCGAAGCGTGTGCCGACATGAGTGTGGGGGACGCATCTGGACGGTGCCATTCGGGCTTTCGGTGGAGTTCCCAATGGGGCCACGAAACGTGTGAGGGGTGTTCCAGAATTGGTGGCGTGGACGCATGTGGACGGTGCCACTGGGGCCCTGAGTGGAGCTCCCCATGGGGCCACGAAGCGTGTCAGGAGTGTGCCGAAATGAGTGGCCCGGACGCATGCAGACGGTGCCACTTGGGCTTTGGGTGGAGCTTCTTTTGGGGCCACGAAGCGTGTGAGGGGTGTGCCGAAATGAGTGGCCTTGGGTGGACCCTCCTATTGGGCCAAGAAGCGTGTCAGGGGTGTGCGGAAATTGGGGGTGCAGTCGCATGTGGACGGTGCCCCTAGCGGCCTTCGGTGGAGCTGCCGATGGGGCCACGAATTGTGCGAGGGGTATGCCGAAATGGGTGGCGCGGAAACATTTGGATGATGCCATTGGAGCCTTGGGTGGAGTTCCCTCTGGGGCAGCGGGGCGTGTGACGGGTGCGTCGCGCGGACGCATGTGGACGGTGCCAGTCGGGCCTTCGGTGTAGCTCCTTCTGGGTGAGGGGTGTGCTGAAAGTGGTGGCGCGGACGCATGTGAACGGTGCCGTTGGCGCCTTGGATGGTGCCCCCTATTGGGCCACGAAGTGTGCAAGGGGTGCGCCGACATAGGGTTCGCGGACGCATGTGGACGGTGACGTCTGAGCTTTCGGTGGAGCTCCAAGCTCCGTATGGGACCACGGAACGTGTGAGGAGTCTGCCGAAATAGGTGGCGCGGACGCATGTGGACGGTGCCACTGGGGCTTTGGGTGGAGCTCCCTCTGTGGCCACGAAATGTGCGAGGGATCTGCCGAAATGAGTGGCGCGACGCATGTGGACGTTACCACCATGGCCTTGGGTGGAGCTCCTTATGGGGCCACGAAGCGTGTGGGGTGTGCCGACTTGGGTGGTGCGGACGCATGTGGACGGTGTCTTTTGGGCCTTCGGTGTAGCTCTCTATGGGGCCACACAACTTATGAGGGATGTACCGAAATTGGTGGCGCGGACGCATGTTAACGGTGCCGTTGGGACCTTCGGAAGAGCTTCCTATGGGGCCACGAAACGTGTGATGGGTGTGCCGGAATGTGTTTCGTGTACGCATGTGGACGGTGCCATTCAGGCTTTTGGTGGAGCTCTCTGTGGGGCCACGAAGAGTGTTAGGGGTGTGCCTGAATAAGTGGCGCGGACTCATGTCGACAGTGCCACTGGGGACTTCGGTGGAGCTTTCTATGTGGCCACCAAACGTGTGAGGGTTGTGGCGATGATGTTGATGATGATAGAGATCATAGATAGACGATGAGGATGATGATGATGATGATGATGATGATGATGATGATGATGATGATGTTGCTGATGTTGATGTTAATGATGATGATGATGATAATGATAATGATAATGATGTTGATGGTGATGATGGTGATGATGATGGTGGTGATGAAGATGATCACGACGACGATGACGATGACGATGACGATGATGATGGATGATGATCATTATGATGATGATGCTGATGATCATTGTGATGATGATGATGCTGATGATGATGATGATGATGTTGGCGATGATGGTGATGCTGATGATTATGATGATGATCATTATGATGATGATAATGATGATGATGCTGATGATGATGATGATGATGATGGCGATGATGGTGATGATGGTGATGATGGTGATGATGATGGCTACAGCGTGTTCTACCGCTGCTGGCGGAAAACCGGGGGGGGGGTCACTGGGGGTTCCCAACCCGTCCCCCCCCCTCGAAAACCGGTCACTACCGGCTCGAACCCCGCCCCCAGTGCATCATAAAAAAGGGGGGGTCACTACCGGTTCGACCCCCGCCAGCAAACGATTCCCGCTCGCTCTTCGGGACAGTTGAACAGTGGTGGGGATACTGGGACAGTGACAGGGTTTGGGAAGGTGGTGGTGGGGACAGTGGTGTAAGGACAGTGGGACAGTGGTGCGGACAATTGTGCGGACAGTGGTGGGGACGGTGGCGGTGGGGACAGTGGTGGGGATAGTGGGACAGTGGTGGGGACCGCAGTGGTGGGGACAGTGGTGAAGGCGGTGGTGAGGACGGTGGTGGGACAGTGGGGACAGTGGGGACAGTGGTGGGGACAGTGGGGACAGTGGGACAGTGGTTGGAACAGTGGGGGCAGTGGGACAGCATAGTGGGGCAGCGTCGGGGACAGTTGGGACAGTGGGACAGTTGTGGGATCAGGGGAGACAGTGGGACAGTGGTGGGGACCGTGGGGAAAGTGGGGAAAGTGGGACTGTGGTGGGATAATGGCGGGGAGAGTCGGGACAATGAGACACTGGTGGAGGCACTGGTGGGGACGGCGGGAACAATGGTGGGAACAGTTGGGACAGTGGGACAGTGATGGGGACTGTGGGACAGTGGTGGGGACGGTGGTGGTGGGGACTGGTGTGGGGACAGTGGGAATGTGGTGGGAACAGTGGGACAGTGGTGGTGACAGTGGTGGTGGGGACAGTGGTGAGGGCGGTGGCGAGGACGATGGTGGGACAATGGGACAGGTGTACAGTGAGGACAATGGTGGGGACAGTGGGGACAGCGGTGGGAACTGTGGGACAGCTCAGTGGGACAGCGGCGGGGACAGTAGGACAGTGGGACAGTGGGGACAGTAGGGACAATGGGACAGTGGTTGGGACCGTGGGGAAAGAGGGGGGAGTGGGACCGTAGTGAGAACAGTGGTGGGGACAGTGGGGACAGTGCGACAGAGGTGGGGTCACTGGTGGGGACGGTGGGGACGGTTGTGGGAGCAGTGGGGACAGTGGGACAGTGGTGGGGACTGTGGGACAGTGATGGGGACGGTGGTGGTGGGGACTGGTGTGGGGACAGTGGGGACAGCGGTGGGAACAGTGGGATAGCTCAGTGGGACAGCGGCGGGGACAGTGGGACAGTAGGACAGTGGGGATAGTGGGACAGTGGATGGGACCGTGGTGAAAGTGGGGATAGTGGGACCGTTCTGAGAACGGTCGTGGGGACAGTGGGGACAGTGCGACAGTGGTGGGGGCACTGGTGGAGACAGCGGGGACGATCGTGAGAATAGTGGGGACAGTGGTGGTGGGGACAGTGGTGCTGGGGACAGCGGTGGGGGATGTGGTGCGGACGGTGCTGGGGACCCGGGAGTCGTTTGCTGGCGGTGAGTGTGGGTTGGGGGGGGGTCGAACCCGTAGTGACCTCCCCCCCGGGTTTTCTGGAGGTGGGGGGGTTCGAACCGGTAGTGACCCCTTTCGGTTTTCTGGAGGGGGGATGGGGGGGGGCAGGTGTTGGGGGGGGGGCCGGGGGGAAGGGGGGGGGTCCAGCAGGGTGGGGGGGATATTCGAAGGGGGGTGGGGGACCCCCGGGTTCGGGAGGAAGAGGGGGGGAATTTTCCACAGTAAAGCTGCGGTGGATCACGCTTTCTCTGATGATGATGATGATGATGATGATGATGGTGATGGTGATGGTGATGGTGATGGTGATGGTGATGATGGTGATGATGACAATGACGATGATGATGATGATGCTGCTGATGATGATGATGCTGCAGATGGTAATGAAGATGCCGATGAAGATTTGGATGACGATTCTTTATGACAATGATGATGACGATGATGATCATGATGTTGCTGATGATGATGGTGATGGTAATGGTGATCATGATGATGATGGTGATGATGATGCTGATGATGATGATGATGATCATGATGATGATGATGATGATGATGATGATGATGATGATGATGATGATGATGATGTAGATATGAACATGTTGATGAAGATGTTGATGAATCTTTTAATGGTGATGATGATGATGGCGATGCTGATTGTGATATTGCTGATGATGATGGTGATGGTGATGATGATGATTATTATGGCGATGGTGACAATGATGGAGGAGGGAGAAGGGGAATGAGGAGGAGTGAGGGAGACGCGGGGCGCTGTCTCTTCAAAAGGAGGACCGGACAACACAGGATGGTTGAGAATGAGAAGTGCGGGAAGCAGGAAATCAGGCGAAGGGGGGCAGGAAGACAGGGCATGGTTTCGGTTGCGGCCGACATTCAGGGTACCCGAAGGTGATCGGCGAGATCAAGCCGACGCTCGAGAAGCTGGAGAAGGTGTCTGCCCGCGAGCTGTGGCCCCTGGTGGGCTTGGCACACGGCGATCTGAACGCCGCCAACATCATGATCGATGCCCTCGAGGCTCGGCGCGAAGGTTGCCAGACCCTCGCCTTTGCCGCCACGGATCGAACATTTACGTTTATGTATCTCCACATGTACTATGTATGTCTATTTCTTAATGTTCCATGGCCCCGCAGTTGTGGAACAGTGGATGAGGGGTCGGGAGGGGGCGTCAGCAGCTTACGAGGCTTGATCCCGAATGAGAAGAAGCCCGCTGCAGGGTCCGACTTTCTCAAAACAGTGTGGACGGGTGATGGGTAGATCGCAGGACGGGTCGCGGTTGGGTCGCGGGATGTGTCGAGGGTGGGTCGCCATTCAGGTCGCGGGTGGTCGCAGGTGGGTCGTTGGGCGGGTCGGGTGTGTGTCGCGGGACGGGTCGCAGGTTTGTCGCGAGGTGGGGTCGGCAATAAGAGCAACAATTCGCACCGCGGAATTGCATTTTAGCCACGCACCCAGGGAACGTGCAACACCGCTCGGCACCGTCTCTGTGATATTTACTCTGGTGGCTTACGCCTATCCGCCGACCCCGAGCGGAGTAGAGACGTCCATCGCGTTTGGTAGACTGTGTTGGAACTGGATTGGATGAGTGTTCTTGTTCACGCTCGCGAGGGCTGATGGGGGCATCTGGTTGGCGTTTTGGGGCTGAGGGCCCTGTGGGAGCTTCGGGGGGTTGCCTCAGCGGTTTCTGGGGGGCTTCTGTCGAACATGTACGCCCTCCTAAGAGAATGGGGCGATTTCTCAGTCGTGTGGCCCTGTCGGCGGTCCTCTGGAAGCACTGTTGCGCCTCCTTGGGGGCTTCGCTCGCTGAAGCCATGTTGGATAGCCACGGGGTTACCCTGAACCGGCTCGACGCTCCCTTAGACCGTCCCGGCGTTTGGGCCGTCTTGGGGTTTTGTGGAGGCTCTGGGGAGCCCCCGGTGTGCGTTCAGGAGCTCGTCCCCCCCCCCACAACAGGATGTTGGACCCCTAGGGAGTGGGAAAGGTGGATGAGGGACAGACGAATGTCTCACGCGCCTTTTACCCGGGCAAGCGGGTGTCGGCTGATTGATTTACATACATTCAGAATGCACATAGATTCTAAGCAGCTCGCGGCGAAAAGTTCCCATGCTCCAGCTCCTTACTTTTCCCTGGGGCATAAGAAATGACATGGCTGCTGATGTTCCATCAGCCAGATTTGACGTAGCACCGCTTTCGGTCCCAGTCCTGGCTGCGGCGACGCGTGGGGCAGGACGATGACGACGACGACGATGACGACGACGAGGAGTTGGAGGGCGAGGACGAGGACGTCGACGACAACGACGACGACGAAGCAGACTAGCCAAACCGTCCAGTCAGACCAGCCAGGTAGGCCAACCAGACCAGCCAGTTAAATTAACCAGACCAACCGGCCAAACTAGCCGTTCGGACCAGCGAAGCACAGACCAGGCTGAGCAGACCAACCAGACCAACCTGCCTGCACCAAGCAGACTAGCCAGACCAGACCAGCCAGACCAAATACAACAAACATTGACATTCAAAACAAAACTGCAAAGCACAATGAAATTCAATGGAACAAAGTAATGTGTTTCTCTGGTCGTGGTGGTTGGCGCTGCCTCCCTCATCCTGCCCTAAGCCGCTCTCGCCCGAATCCTAAGCAGAGGCTTCGGGACTAAGCTTAAACGAGACCAGCCAGACAAGCCAGACCAGATGCAAAACGAACTGCAATGCAAACAAAGCTGGGAAGCACAAACTGCAACGCAAAACAAACATCCGAAGATAAGGCTTCAGTACTTAGCCCAAACCACACCAATCAAACCAGCCAGACCAGATGCTAAACATACTGCAATGCAAAAGAAAACTGCAAAGCAAAACACACTGCAATGCAACAGCAACTGCTTTGTTGTGGTCGTAGTGGTTGGCGCTGCCTACCTGGAGCTCCCCTACACCACCCTCGCCCGAATCCTAAGCCGAGTTTCTGGACTAAGCTCAAACCAGGCCAAACAGACCAGCCAGAAAGAATGCAAACCACACTGTTGTTCGGTGATCGTAGTGGTTGGCGCTGCCTCCCTGGACCTCCCCTAAACCACCCTCGCCCGATTCCGAAGCTACGACTTCAGGGCTAAGCTCAAGCCAGTTCAACCAGACCAGACATACCAGATCTGAAGCTTCAAGCTCAAGCGTAAGGCTGAAGATTCAAGCTTGCTCTGTGCAAGCTTTGCGTCAAGACAAATGTTTCTCCTCCGCCGTCCGTCCGTCGGTGGCTTGAGCGGTGTCCCGTGGTGTCCGCCTCAGCTATAGCGAAGTCAAGACAAATGTTTCTCCTCCGCCGTCCGTCCGGCGGTGGCTTTAGCGGTGTCCCGCGGTGTCCCGTGGTTTCCCGTGGTGTCCCGCCGTTGCTAGGCCGAAGTCAAGACAAATGATTCTCCCCCGTCCGCCCGTCCGTCCGTCCGTCCGGCGGTGGCTCGCGGTGTCCCGCGTGGTGTCCCGTGGTGTCCTGTTGAGTGAGGTCGATAGTGAGATCGACAGATGTCCCGTGGTGTCCAGTGGCGTCCCGTGCTGTCCCGTGGTGTGCCGTTGAGAGTGATGTCGATCGTGACATCGATCGTGATATCGATCGTGAGATCGATAGTGAGATCGACAGGTGTCCCGTGGTGTCCCGTGGTGTGCCGTTGAGAGTGAGATCGATAGTGATATCGATCGTGAGATCCATGGTGAGATCGATCGTGAGATCGACAGGTGTCCCGTGGTGTCCTGTTGAGTGAGATGGATCGTGAGATCGATCGTAAGATCGATCGTGAGATCGATTGTGAGATCGATCGTGAGATCGATAGTGATATCGATAATGAGATCGATAGTGAGATCAGTGAGATCGACAGTGAGATCGACAGTGAGATCGATAGTGAGATCGCTGGTGGAATCGATTGGGTCAGACGCTTACTCTCCCCCACACAACCTCCTTATCACCCGAAGGGTGGTCGTATAGGCATACATAGACATATAGTAGGTGTACACATCATATATACACGTGTGCCAGCAAATGGTGCATGCACGCGTGTATCTACACCCTTGATGGCATGCGCACCTCAGTTTGCCAGCGTGGGCCCCCCATGGAGCGACCGATTTGGGCCCCGGGTGGTGCAAGCTACGTGACAAGACACCGTGTGGCGCAAGCCACGTGCTGCAGTTCATGTTGGGTAGACTACGGTGCAGTCCGGATGGAGCAATCTGAGCAAGCTGTGTGGTGATATGTCCTGCCAGCTATGTGGTGCAATGTGGAGATAGTTTCGTGATGCGCGCCAGGCGGTGTGATCGATGCTGTGTAACGTATGCGTGCGAGCCTTTTGGTGTAAGGAATGTGGTGCTAGCCATGCTGTGCATGGTATGTAGTGTAAGATATATGGCGCAAGCTCTGTGGTGCAATATACGGTGCAAGCTACGCGGCGCACATTGAAGCTTACTATATGTGTTGCGAGCTATGTGGGGCAGGATACGCGTTGATCTGTGTAAGCGATGCCCTCCTCCGACAAGCGGGGGTCGTCTGGCTGATGTATAAACATTGTAACACAGATGTATATATGTCATCTACACAAACGTACGTACAAATCATGATTTTCATTTGAATCTCTATTTGCCAGCGCAGCCCCCCATTCGGTCACTTATTGCAGTCTGGATTTGAACACCTTGACGGTGCAAGCCACGCGGTGCAGGGTACGTGATAATAAGCTCTGTGATGCAAGCTACGTTGTGCACTTTATGTTGAGTGTATTGCGGTGCAGGCTAGATGCTGTAAGCTCTCTGTTGCCAGCCAGGGGATGTAAGCCATGTGGTATAATGTGGTGGTCGCTGTGGAATGCCCGATCGAAGGTGCGCTCGATGCATAATGCATGTGCGCGAGCTATGTGGTTCAAGTTATGTGGTGCTAGCTATCTTGTGTAAGCTATGCTGGGTAAGCTACGTGGTGCAATACATATATATATATATATATATGTATATATATATATATATGTGTGGTATAAGCCATGTGGAGCAGGCTATGTGGTGCAATAGTCTGTGCAAGCTACGCGGCGCAATTTCAAGCTGAATAGTTGTGCTGCAAGCTATGTGGGTCAAGCGGCGCACTCAGTGCGGTGCAAGCTGTGCGGCCCACGGCAAGGCACGACCCGAGAACACGGAAGGCCCAACCAGCGAACGAGGCGCCCACGGCCGAGAGTCAGCCGAAAGCCACCTGAGCAGCGGCATTCCAGGCAACACAGCAGGTGCGCGGGTCGAGAGCAGCTGGCATTGCCGGTTGGAGAGGTTTCCCCATGCTCTTCGCATCTGGTCGCTCCGCCTCTGAGTGTTCTCTGTTCTCGAGCATCGGGTCTCCGGGCGACGACGAGGCTAATGTTGTTGACCCGCGCCCTCGTGGCCATGTTACGACTGGCGAGCACCAGCGTTTCACCCGCCTCCTCTTGTATCGCTCACACTTTCCATCCGGGCACCGTCGGCAGCTCATTAGCGGACATCGTATCTAGCAACCTCCCTCCCCTGTACTGGACATTGGTGCTGCAATTGCTGAGCCTCCTTCGTGGGCGAGAAGCTTATTCACATCCGCAGCATCGCGTGCGGCGTTTGTTCGCGGATGCCCCACGCGTGACGTATCCATGCGACGAGATCGTGGATTTCGATTTGTTCGCCGCTCGTGACTCATTCCCTAGTGGTCTTCACCAGCAGTGTCAACTCGAGTTCTTCTGGGAACGGAGAGTCTTGCCCGGTTGTCTCCGTCTCTGGCTCCCAGAGCGGGTGTGTCGCCAAAAAACGGCCCGCTTCCCATCCGCGAAATTGCTCAACATTTTGGAGACTCATGTGCGCAGCGCGAAAGCGAGCGTCACAGTACGAAAATGACCCGCCCACCATCCGTGAAACCTTCGTTTCATAAATTTCGGTGAAGTCTCAGGCGAAAGTTCCGGAACGCCCTACGGACATGTCTGGGGACGCGACAGGGAGGAGTTAGTTGCAAGGAAAAGTGATGGAGGAGGAGGAGAAATACAGTAGATGTGCGCCGCGTTGGCACGGGGGGGCGACCCAGGGAGGGAGTCTAAAGTTGAATGCTACCAGTGGTCTCGAGTCGGCCTGTATTGGAAGATCTGCGTTGTCGGGAGGCCGCGGCCGCTCAAGGTTGAGCTAGCCACGCGGTGTCAGAAGTCACCGCGCGCTTCGGCACGACAGGGACATGCCGTGCGGTGCTCCAGCGGACCCAGCAGCTGTGTGGACCTCTGGGCCCCGCAGAGACGGCCACCAGCGCCATGGGAAGGGAGGGCACGATCTGGCTTGCCTTGCGCTGGGCCAGCCCGCTGGCCAGTTCCCACGGCAACCCGCCCGAGGCTTCGCGCGAAGCAGGGAGGGAGGAGAGGGGGAGGATGAGGAGGAGAGGGAGGAAGAGAGGTAAGAGGGTGGAGGGAGGAGGAGGTGACATGGATGAATCAGTTATACCCTCATCACCCCTCGCGCCTGGGGCTGGGCTCTGCTTCTGCACCATCATGCCATCATCGTCCGCCGCCGCGTTTGACTGCGGTTTTTTGGTATCTTGGGAGGTTATTAGTCTTATCTCGACACGCTCGGGAAGGCGATGGCAGGAGGGGGACAGAGGAGGAGGGAAGAAGAGGTGGAGCAGGGAGGAACGGGACGAAGGAGGAGAGGGAGCAGGCAGTGCTGTGGTGTGGGAAGGGGGGGGGGGGGGGGCGATGTTGTTCCGTCTGCGCAGAGGCCTCGCGCGCGTGGAGGAACCATCCATTCCAATTGCGCTGAATATGTTTCTGTCCGCCGACCAGGGCGTTCCGCAGGACCTTGCTTGATTCTCAGTTTGGCACTGTCGCGTGCTACGGCATCAGGAAAAGGCCCCCCTCAATGTGAATATGACTCCGTCCTCTTTCCTTTCTTCCCTTTTCGGGGTATGAGTCTGACTATGATTGGGAGGGGGAGAAGAGAGGAGGCGGACGGAGGAGGCGGACGGATGAGGAGGAGGAGGAGGAGGAGGAGGAGGAGGAGGAGGCCCTTCTGGAGACGTCTCAGGGGCCCCTTTTGCGCCCTCTTGGGCCTTTACTTGCTCGTCGCCCTCGTCCTCGTCTCGTTGCCTGGTTGCCCGGCCTGGTCGGGACGACGGAGGAGGAGGAGGAGGAGGAGGAGGAGGAGGACCACGACGACGACGGAAGGAGGAGGAGGAGGAGGAGGAACATAGAAATGAGGAGGAGGAGGACGAGGAGGAGAAGAGGGAGCAGGAGTGAGGGAGTGTGATTGGGAGGAAGGATGAGAAGAAGGATGAGACGAAGGATGAGAAGAAGGATGAGAAGAAGGATGAGGATGAGGGTGAGGATGAGGGTGAGGATGAGGGTGAGGGTGAGGAGGAGGAGGAGGAGGAGGAGGAGGAGGAGGAGCAGGAGGAGCAGGAGAGCGTCGGGCTGGACGAAAGGGGGGAATCGGGAAAGCGCCCAGCGCTCAGCGGCGGTGCCCAAGCCAGTGGCTGCGTGAGGCCTTTTTCGGCCCCGCCGCCGGGTGCTGGCCTCGATGCGTTGTCGCCGCGAGGCGCCAGGAGGGCCAGCGGGGTGTGCCCTCCCCTGTCGTCCGCCCCAGGAGGAGGAGGAGGAGCGGGAGTTGGAGGAGAAGGCGGAGGAGAAGGAGGCGGCGAATCTCACGAATGACTGCGAGAGGGGACAGGAGGAGTTGGAGGACAAGGAGGAGAAGGAGAAGGAGAGTGAGTTCGAGAGGGTTAGCTCATCCTTGCTGGGAGGCGGTGTGGGTCATCGATTTTGCGACCTCCGTCGAGCTGCCCCTCTTCACGGACATGTGCAAGTTCGAGATGGCTTGTTTGTTCGAGTACTCCATCATCCCCATCACCCCGAAGCTTCTCGTGGAGTTCACGTCGAACTCGGAGCAGCTCTGGAATTCAATGAACGTGAGGTCGAGGGCCACCCAAACGCCCCCGACGAGGGAGGCGAGGGGAGGGGGGCAATGACTTCGAGGATGAGCACCGAATGACCATAATAGTACGTATCACCCCGCAGTTGCGGATCAGAGTGAGGAGGCGGCGGGGACCTCGGCAGTGAGGCTCTGAAGAAGCTCGCCGCAGGCGCCCTATTCTTACAAGTAATGCCACAAGCTCGCCGCAGGCTCCGATTTTTTCGTCAAGCAATGTGGGTGGGTCGCGGGGTGGGTCGCGGGTTTGTCGCGAGTGGGTCGCGGGCCAGGTTGCGGGTGGGTCGCGGGTGGGTCGCGGGCCGGGTCGCAGGTGGGTCGTGGGTGTGTCGCGGTTGGGTCGAGGGGTGGGTCGCGGGTGTGTCGCGTGTGGGTCGCGGGGCCAGTCGCGGATGGGTCACAGGTGGGTCGCGGGCCGGGTCGCGGGCCGGGCCGCGGTGGGGACGGCGACAACAAGCAACAAACAATGAACGACAACCTCAACAACAGCAACAACAGTAACAACAATCATTGCAATATCAACAACAACAACAGTAGCAGCAGCAACAACAACACCAGTAACAACAACAAACAGTTTTGAATAGTTCGGTCTTATCTGCTGGCGTGCCATTGGGCACGTATACCCCAAACCCTCGATACCCGCCCTCTTTGTCTTCGATCGTACCCCCTTGGGGGTACATCTTCCTCACCTGCAACGTGTATTTCGTGCAGCCCCCCTGAGGCAGGGGAAGAGAGGACGGATGGAAGGGACAAGAGCGAAGGAGGAGGATGGAGCACGAGAGAGAGAGAGAGAGTAGCTGAAGGAGAGCTAGGAGCAGAAAACACGTGGCAGAACCAGACGGGCAGATCGGGCGGATAGACCCTCACGGGCGGGTCGGGAAAGCGGGCCCAGGTGGCCAGGTCGAGTTGGCGGGTTGCTGAAGCGTGCGTCCTGCATGAATCGCAAGGACGTCTCGAGCGATAGCGCGAATCCCAAAGAAATCTGGCTGAAATCCACAGCGAGACCGTGATTCCTGAGTGTCGAGGGCGCGGCGTCTGAATACATCGCGAGGAAGTCACACGCGACAACGCGATTCCTGCAGAGATTGTGACGGAGTCTCGAGCGAGAGCGCGATTTGGGATTAAATTTGGAGGACGTACTAAGCGGACGTACTAAGCGGGGCCAACCCCACAATTTTGATATCCAAAGTGTTCCCTGATAAAAACTGGGTGCGAGCCCCAGGAAGGGCACTTCAATTGAACAAAACAGAATGTGCCCTTGATTGGGGGGATCTACAATAACTACTGATTTGCGTCAACAACAACAATAAGAACAGCAGCAGCAACAACAACAACAACAATCCGCACTGCAGAACCTCACTTCAGCCACGCGCCAAGGGAATGTGAATGACCGTTCGGCCCCCTCTCTCTGATGAGTAAATCGGAGGTCCGCTGGTCTGCGCGATGCCAGGCTCGATGGATACCCTCGTGGGCGTCCAGGAAGATGGTGAGGACTAGGGTGAGGGGGATCTCGTGGCGGGGGCCACGACGTCGCTCAAGAGTCATGGCCCCCTCTTCTCCTTTCGAGACGTTCCCTGGGCCCCACTCGTCTGCGCACGTGCCTCGCGCCGTGATGCGCAGCTCTCTTTGCCTGGCCACCCTCTCCGTCGCACCCGAGAGGGAAAGCTGCACGGCCGTTATTTCTGCCATCTTGGGCTTCTGGATCGGAGGATGGGGTGGCGATCCCGATGAGACAGGAAAGGCTCAAGCATCAGCTTTCGAAGGTCCGTTTGGATTTCCTGGATCTACGCGGGCCCCCTTCTGGCGGCGCTTCCGGCGCCGCCCCTGGCGCCACGGGCGCGCCAGGGAGGAGGATCCATGGCCGATCCAAGAAATCCGCTCGGAACTCGAAAGTTAACGTCATGCGGTTCGTCTTCTTCCAGAGAAACCGCCACCAGCGGGCCACCTCGAGCGAGGAGGTCCACGATGCCTCCCATGGCCGGAGGTTCGTCATTTCTCGATCGGGACGCCGCAGTATAGGTGAGGACCATACCACACTTCCTGGCTCTTGCCCCTGGTGGTGGTGCCGTCTTTCCTCGCTCCCTCCCATCAGTAGCATCCCATCGGTGGCGTTCCCTTCGGCGGAAGCCAGGGGAAGGCCTGTGGAAGTAAAGCAGCATCGGGCCCGCTGGTGAAAGGTCAGCGGAAGCCGGCGGAAGTCAAATTGAGACGTCAACATGTTTGGATCCAAGGGTTCCAGAGCCGGCCATCTGGAAGCCTGTCCCGAGCGATTTCTGGACTTGGCCGCACCCGGTGAGGGACTGGCTGGGTGTCGACAAGGACGTGTGCATGCACCTCCTCCACAAGTTCCACGGCCTGCCATCCGATCGGCTGCGGGGGCGCACGAGCATGAATCACCCACACTCGCACACCCCGCCCCCTCCTCCCTCTCTTCTCGAGTAGCGCAGGGGTGATGATTGTATGGGAAATGATTGGAGGTCGTGTTCACGCCGTGGCGCCTGATGACAATTCGAAAGAGAGGCCTCGTGCCATGAAGCTATTTGCTTATTCCCTCCCGCCTTCGGGCGCGCGCCTAGACAGTCGACGGGCCAAATGGAGTCGAAACCAAGCGGAAGCAGCATATTCGTAAAGTGTTCTGTGAACCGCCCCCCCACATTATTTAACGCATTGCCGTCTTACATCGAAGACTGCACACTCAAATTGTCGGAGTTCCGCGCGGATGTCTGCCCAGCTCTGAACTTCGATGCTTACGCAAGCTATGTTTCTTCCAAGCTCGGGCCTCGGAGGGACACGCCATTCGTTCGAGGCGCCTGGGCGGCGTCGTCCGAGCTCGAACCTGGGAAACCAGGGAGGAGAGCGAGTGCGCTCTCCCATCTTCGCGGCGCCCTCCCCTCCGAAGCGGTTGGCAGGTGGGGATCCGCAGTGGCAGGGGCCCTGCGCCTGGACGTGTGTTCTCTCAGCTGCCGTTGCTCCTCGTTTTCCAACGCACGGGCCACGACCATTGGATCGCAGCGTCCTCCTCGAGCTCGACTGGTCTATGGCACCGCGGGGCGGCGATGCGCATGGGGGCCGAGTTCCAAAAAAGACACGGGCGCAGTGGAAGTGCACGGGCAAGTGCGGCGGTCGCCCGAACTACACCTCGAGGGCGGAGTGCAGGGCCTGTGGGGCCCGCGGTCCGCCCAGTGCCCTGGCGGCCATCAAGGCGCGAGGCACCCTCAGCCTCGGAGCGGTTCCTGGGCGCGGCGGAGCAGGAGGAGGCACGGCCGAGCCGCAAGGCAAGGCCCAGGCCAATCCTCAGTGTCGCGCGCGAGGTGTTCATTGGCCCGGCGGCAGGGACCGGAGCGCCCACTTCAAGACAGAGTCCTCGCAGGGAGCTGGCAAAAGGGAAGGCGCAGGCCGTGGGGAGCCGCACCCTGGCAGAGCTCCTCGAGGCCACCAGCAAGGCGCTGGTGGCGGCGGCCAAAGATTCGCTCACGGAGGGGCAGATGTCCGTCGCGGCCCCCCAGCCGCCCAAGCAGGAGGTGGTCGACCTCTCCACGCGGCCGCTGGCCCAGGTGCTCCAGCGGAAGGCCGGCAAGCAGAAACAGGTGGAAAAGGCCAAGCTGCGCGTGGCGGAGCGGGCACAGGAGCTAGCGGACGCGCAGGAGGTCCACGATGCGCAGTTGCGCCAGCTCCGCGAGCACGAGGCGAGGCTGGCCGAGCTGCTGGTGGCCCTGGAGAATAGGAGCAAGTGTGCGGAGGCGGCTTTGGGGTCGGCAGACAAGCAGTCGGTTGCCTCCTTCGACCAGCTCGAGAGGCTCCTCGGCGCTGTCGGCCAGATGGAGGACATAAAGCAAGGCAATGGGAACCTAGATTCTAGACGCCGTCAGCGCCCAGGCTGCGAAGGTGCGCGAGAAGCTCCACGCCGCCGAGAGCGAGGCAGCTGCCGCCAATAAGGTTGCCCCTCCTGCGGCTGATCCTGGCGCTGCTGGCCTTGGGGCCAGTGCAGACGGCGGCGCAGTCGGAGAAGCCATGGACGTGGAGGTGCCCGATCTCGACGTCGACCAGGACCTCGCCAACCTGGTGGCCGATGAGGTCGAGAGGCTGGGAGGCACCAGGCCAGCCTGCGATCTGGAGAAGCCATGCGCGTGGCCTGCAGGTTCGTGGACGTGCAAGCCGTGGCTGCCAAGCGGTAGCGGGTTTGACCTGCTGGCGGCTAGAGCTACCTGCCCGCCAGACGTGACGGGCTGGCCCCCTCGCCAAGGGGAAGTCATCGGCATGGCGGGCCTCGGCATATGCAGGGGAGCCAACGCGTTCGACCTGGGGCGGCCAGTGCTGGGGCCCGTGGGCCGTCCGGGCGCCGCGGGCCCGAGGCTTTGCCCGCGGGCCGCCGCTGGCGCAAGGCTGGGGGGTCGCGCCGCGGCTGGAGGGGCAGCGCGAGCGGGGCCTCGGCAGCCCGGGGGGGGCGGCGTGCTGGCCGGGGGGGCAGGGGGCAGCTCTACGGGCACCCCGGGGCCTCCCCCGAGGCAGGCACAGCCGCGCGACCGTTCCACGGCGGACAGGATAACCAGCGGCGGCCGACCCGCGCCCGGAGGAGACAGCCAGCAGCGCACCACTGCTGGCCAAGACCTGCCCGAGAGGATGATGCTGGTCACGGCGAATGCCAACTCGCGGGCCAGTGGGCAGGTTCCCCTGGAGTGGTGCTGTTACAAGAAGCTGAATTTTGACGTATTCGGCCACCTGGAGCACCGCCCCGAGCACCCAGCGAGGGTGGGGTCGGCGCCAAGCTGGGCGCGGCGTGCTCGGCATGAGCTCTTCGGCGCGCCGGCCTTGGAGACAGGCCCAGGGCCTCTCGACAGCTCCGGTGGCGCGGCTGCCCCGACGTCGATGGCAGCGGCGAGCGAGGAGAGGCCCAAGGAATGCAGCGCGCTGAGCCCCCACAGAGGCCAGGCTGCCAAGCTCAACGCGAGGCTCGGGATCCCGATCTTCGCGCTTTCGGCCTACCGAGTGAACAGCATCGGGGTCACTGGCGACAACCTGGTGCTGCTCGAGGCTCTGCAGGCCCGGGCGGGCAGCCTCGCCTGTCCGCGCGTCATCCTGGCAGACTGGGACATCGAGCCAGAGGACCTCGCCAGTGGGGCTTGGCAGGCGGCGGGAGTCCTGGCCAGGCCCTGGGGCCCGACGCACGGGCGCCGCACTCGCCCGCCGCCATCGAGCTAAGGGGCCTTCACAAGCGGGCCGCAGTCACTAGAGCAGCCCCCCCCAGCCGCTACCCGCTCGCCCTGCCGCCTCCTGTCCAGGCCGCCCCGCCTGAGCTCGGCGAGGCGGAGTGGCTGTGGCGGCTGGGGAGCGGGCCAGGGGGCGTCGAGAGCGCCCTGGAGTTTTGGTGCGCCATGGCGGGGGATTACCTGGACAGGCTGCGCCTGCTGGACAGGCCGCTGCGGCGCTGCAAGGGGGCCAGGGATTTCAGCTGGCGCTGGAGTGGGGGACCTTGCTGCAGGAGACGACGAGCGCGGAGTGCCGCGAGTGGGCGGGCACCCTGGCGGCCCGCAGGAAGGCGGCCGCCCTGCGGGGCCACTGGGGGGGCATGGGTTGGCGGAGGTTCGCCCGCTTCGAGCGCCAGGTGCGCGTCATCAGGGGCTTCAACTTCAGCGGCCGCGCCTGGCCGTCGAACGGGCCTCCGGCGCGCTGGGGCCACCGCGCCATTGCGAACGCGTTCGAAAGGCAGGAGTTGCACGCGTGCCACGGGCTGCTAGTGGACCCCCACAACTACACGTCGGCCCCCCGGGCACGTGACAAGCGAAGGCGCGCTGAGGACTGGGCGGGGGCGAGCGCAGGGAGGGGGCGCCAAGACTGGGGGGCAGCGCGCCTGCCGCTCCATCAAGGATGGCAGCCGAGTCCCATCGACGGCGGCGGCGCATGCAGGCGACGAGCACGACCCTGACCTACCTGTCGCAGGCGACGCTGCCAGGAAGGTGCTGATGCAGGAGTGGGGATCGCCGTGGCCCCATGCTGACCGAGCTGGGGACACCGCCCCCCTCTGGCGCCCATGGCGCGTGGGACGACTTCCCGCCCATCGCCGCGGACGCCCTCGACCGCGTGCCGGCCTCGCGCGGTGAGGGCACAGGCCTCGGGCGGGATCGCTTGCGCCCGCGGCAGCCGCGCTGGCTCCCGCCCTACTGCCGCGTGGCATTCCTGGGCGTGGTGCGCGCTTGGGACAGGGGCCCGACACGTTGCCCGCTGCGGCTGTTATTGTTCCCCCCCCCCCCCGAGCCTCCGCCTGGAGTGCCGAGGCCAACTGCGAGGGGGGATGTCGGAGGATGGCCAGCAGTGGTCGGAGGGGGATAGAGCACGCCATGATTTGCCTCATTGTGTCTGCGGCGGCTGGCCAGGGCATGTGCAATAAGAACCTACGCCCCTCGGAATACTGAGGTCACGGCTCGACACGCGTCTCGTCTCGATAGGATATGTCGCGGCGCGCCGTCTGCCATTGCGGGTGATCTGACGACCGCTGCGACCGTTCATGGGACCTTCTTGCATTGCCCCTCGGACCATCGACCCCTCAGCCTTCACTTTGCTCGATTCGATCAGCGTCGCAATCGTTGTGTCCCTGCATTCCCTTGCCGATCTGAGGAGTATCAAGCTGCAGCTTCGCAGGCGTTCGCAAGTGTTCCCGCTCGCCCCACGCCAACGGACAACCGTCCCAGGCCAAAGAGCTCCCGCGGGCCTGCCTTTCGGAGGCAAGGCAGCAGGCGGCCCAGCGTCCCGCGAAAACAGTGGCCAAGAATTACTACTGGACTATGACGGCGGTGCGTGGCGCTCGGCATCAGCAGTTTACTTTGCGCGCCCGTGCCCGTAGTTCCCATGTCCGCCTCGAGCAGTTTTTTGCTCTTGGGGGCATGCAGTGCACGGGTATAATTGCCTTCTGCTTGCGTGCCAGTATGGTCCGACTACAGCGCGTTGAGGAGCAGGAAGCGGCTCTTGAGGATGAGAGAAGGATGACTGGGGGGGGTGACGAGGCTGGGGCGGTTGCTAGAGAGCGGGCGCAGTCACGTCTGCAGCGAATGCGAGCTTTCTGGCGCCAGTTCTAGGCGACGTGCCCTTCTTACTGGTGCGAGGGATGAGGAGGGAGCTGCGTGCGCCGCGTTTGAGCAGGCCAGTCAATATCTTGCTGCGCATTGGGGGGGAAGGGGGGTCTTTCGCGAGCGCCAGATCGACCGCGCGCTTTGGCCACGGATCTTGAGCCACTGCCAGAAGTTGGACACCCCGCGGCCCGAGTCGAGATGGCAGCTTAGTTATGACGACTTTGCACGGAGGGTGAAGTGGAGGAGAAGCACCGCCCCTGGGAAGGATGGGTCTCCATATGCCGCTTGGCAGGTGGAGGGCGGGGCCGAGCTTTTGCAGTTGGTGCACGAAGAACTCTACTCGAACAACTGTATGACGTTGCCTCCAAACATGCGTGAAATGTTGTTATTCCATTTGCCGAAGGGCTCGGGCCTTTCGGGCGGATGCGCAGGCGTCACGCGCGCTGCTGATGCCGCGAGACCGCTCGCCCTTTGCGATGCGTGCGCCGAGATAATGTCGCTCGCATTCGGGGCCCCACCATATGAAGTATCTACGCACACGGTACACCAAGATCAGCGTGGGGGTGTGAAGGGCCGTCAGATATCACCGAACATCGTGATTGCTGACAGGTGGGGCTTCAGCAGCACCTGGGAGGTTCGCCGCATCCCCTGCAACTGTTGGCGGATTTTGCTGCCGCGTTTCCTTCGATCTACATTGCGTGGACCTTGCCAGTCCTCAGCGCGATGGGGGTGCCAGCACCCATCGCTGCCTTTTTGGCCGCGCTGTATGCCATGAACTCAGGGGCGATTATGATGGGAGGGCCGGTGACGGATGTGACAATTGACGTTGGGAGGGGAGTAAGACGAGGTGACCCGTCTAGCATGTGCTTGTTCGCGTTGGCTTTGGATCCTGTGATGCGCTGGTTACTGCGCCGCAGCAGTCAGCATGTGGAACGTGCACTAGGACACTGGCGACCTGATGTTCTTTATTAATGCTCTTGGTGGTCTTGGGTAAACTCTGGAATTGCTCTGGAAGCTGGAGGGCCTTGTGGGGCTTTCTCTTTCTTAACATGAAGAAATGTGTGCTGCTGGTGGTTGGCGATGCATCGTGTGCCGGGGTTCGGGAATTGGCGGGTGCCCTGGGGCCCCGCTTTCGGCATCTGGTTACCCCACGGAGGACGCAATTTCTTGGGGTTACTATTGGCCCTGATGGGCCTGAGCATGCTTGGGGCGACCGTAAACCGAGACGCCTGGACCGCTCGATGGGCGTGAAGCAGGTTGGGCTGGGGCTCCCGCTTGCGATCTGTATGTTTCCAAACGTTGTGCCTCCCGTTGCTGCAATATGTTCTGCAGATGTTCCCACCGGCTAAAGCGTTGTTGGACGCGCATCGTGGGTGTGGTCAGCTACTCAAGAACGGCCCTTGGAACGCCTTGCCGCATGAGCTCCTAGAGAATCTTCGCGTGGGCGGCGGAGGGGCTGACCGCGAGCATTTGCCAGATGTCAGTATTGCTGCTCGTGCACGGCGCGCCGCGCAATGCGATGCTCTTAAGACGGAGTTTGGCGAGGTTCGGGGCTGTATTCGCTCGGGCGGCTGTTGCATTGCACGCTCGGTTAGGGGATGGTGGGAACAGTGCTACTTACCAGATGGCTATGGCGCACGGGGGTATGCTACCCGTCCTCCTCACTCTGCCACCGCCGACGCCGCGTAGGGCTGTTCAACGTAAGTTGTACCCGAGCCTCCCGAAATTGCGTTAGAGGGACGGTCGGTCGGTGGTTGACGTTTTCAAGGCCCGCGCTGATAGGTGACCCCCCCAGGTCCCCGAAAGTGGTATCCTCAACATGCTTATGAGACTCCAGGTGGCGAGTAAGGCCGCGGGGCCATTCTTTGCCGTCAACCAGGTACGACTGGCCAGCAGAAGCCTGTGCACTGCTGCACGTTTCAGGTATGCGGCGAATTATTGTCTTGTTGGGCGCAGGGGGCATGGGGCAAATCATTTCTTGCGACACAACTCGGCACGTCCGAAGATGCGGGGCTTGCTGACACCGTGGGTTCGTGAGGGGCTCCCTCCACACGGCAGTGGCTGGTGCTCTGATCCTTTTTTTTGACGCTTCGCCTCGGTCCTTAAGTGGATTTAAGATTTGCTACCCTCTGCGATGCTTTCTAGTTATTGGACAACGCCCGGCGACTAGGCGCACGGCTCGAACCGAGACTGATCATTGAAGGTCGGCTGCGTTCTATCTGTCGGAAGCACAGCAGAGTGCAGGCCGTCTGGAACCAAGGCCCATTTGATTTTGTTGCAAGGAGTCCCATACTCCCGAGCAGGCTGGACTTACAGGATACCAGTGGCTCGGAGGTGCTCCCGCTGGCGTCTGCAGCTGGGGAGGTCGCTTCATCGCTGAGCGCGAGCCCTGGGGCCCCAGCCTCGAGAGCGCCCTGAAGGCCCCCCAAAAAATAAAACGCGCGCGATGCGATACTGGACGTTCCCGGGCAGATGACAATCAACTCATCGAGGGCAGGTTGGCGGCAGGGGCCTGCCTCGCCTTCGGGGCGCGCACCATGCAGCGCGCGATCTTCAGGGGCCCGTTCGCGGTGAACGCAGTGGAGGTCGCCGAGGCCTGAGCCATCGGAGTGCGAGACGGGCTTCCGCATCAGGAGGTTCTAAGCACGGTCCGCGCGGACGCGCTGCAGCTGCTGAGCGCGGAGCGGCCGTGGAATCGGCGCGCTGACCCAGCCCGGGCCGCAATGCTCAGCTTCGCGCGCGCGGGCTGCCAGCGAAGCATGGTTGCCTGCCCGGGCATCGCCAGCGCGAGGTCGACTTGCATTTTTTCGCCGGGGGCGGCCTGCCGGGTCGCCCGCGTTGCCGCGGCCACTGCCTCGGATGCCGCAGCTCTCAGAAGACTCGGGGGCCCTTGGGTTTCGGATGTCCATTGGGGGCCCGTTCTGGCCGTCTTGTCTCGCGCCGCGGAGTTGCGGGCCAATGGGCGCAATATTGCGTTCAGATCGGCCAAATGCGGGGCGCCCTGGACCCGGGCCAGATCGCATGCGAAAGGCAAGACTGCGCGCCCTACTGCACGAGATGTGGGACCCGAGGCACATTGTGGCATCGGTGTGTCGAGTGCCCCGCAACAGATTTCCCCCGTCGAGAATTTTGTCCGCAGCTAGAGTTGTTGGGCGCGAAGGAGAGCAATGCGCCCACCTCTTTGCGAGAGGCCCGCTGCCCTCGCCTGCGCACGCCTTTCAGGGGCCTGATACCCCCGAGGAGGACCAGATCCGACTTGCGGGGCGCATGCCTGGATGGCTGTTCGAAGGCGAGGTGTTTGTGGACGCATTTGCAGTTTTTACTCAGCATGGCGGGTTGCGCCGTGCGGGGTGGTCAGTGATCTGCATCAATGATGAGTGCCTGTTTCGTTGTCGGATGTATGGCGTTGTGCCGCTTGCGTGGTCCTTCACGAGGATCTTGCGTTCTGTATGTTAGCCAGGTGTTCTGTTGACCCTGTCACCGATGGAGCGCTCACGGGTTTCTCTGGTTGTGCAGGTGCGATCGCCTGCGCGAGGAGTGCCCCCAAAGCTTCCAGCCTCATGAATACCAACCGCACTTTTTGGGAAGGTACGTGGGAGAAGCACGATAGCAGTGCGTCGGTGAAAAAATGTCCGAGTGCATGCCCGAGCGTCCAGCGATGTTTCGTTTCACGACAACTGGTGCAGACGTGGCAATGATTTAGCAGACCGCTGGGTTAGAAAGGGGTGGCAGCTCTGGAACATCCCACCCCAGAGGGTCCTCTTCACGGAAGCATTCGAGGATTTGGTTTGCCAGCCTGTGTTCTGGATAGGTCAAGTCCATGCCTGGATAGGAGACAGCGAGGCCTGGGACATTGAGGGAGTGGCAGGCACCCCGGATGTTGCCCGAGGCCAGGAACGCGCAGTAGATGACCCGGATACTTCGCACCTAGCGGCAGCACTCAGGACCTGCGAGCTTCTAGGATGGAGGTAAGCGTCCCCTCCCCACCGCCGCTGGAGCTCGAGCCCGTGCCGTCTGTGGGGGCGGGGGTGGATCTGGGAGTCGAGCTTTGCAGGCCGTGGCCGTGTCAGGGGCCCTTGGCGGGGAAATGCGAGGTGGGGGGCCCTGACAGCATGTTGATGATTTGTTATTCCAAATTTTGTCAGAGAGCTTCCCCTGGCGAGGGCCTTGCAGGGGCCTGTCTGGGACTTCGGCACCCAAGGCTCAAGACCCACAGTTCCGGTCTTCGTCGGTTCCTCCACCCCTCAGCCCCCGTTCCTCCTCCTCCGTTGTTTGCGTTCAGGGGCCCAGAGGAGGCTGACACTGAGTGGCTGCAGGGGAAGCTGATGAGGTCCAGCTTGCGTGTTGGGTCTTCGTCGGCTGGATCTGTCGCGTCGGGGCCCGCTGGCGGGCCCCCTGTGTGTCCCGCGGCCGATGGTCCCTGTGGCCCCGCCAGCTTCCACCAGTACGGGGTGTCTGTCCCCGTCCTGGACCTGGCCCTAGTTGTGCGCCTGCACGGTTTTGTTTCGCCCGATTCTGCGGGTGAATGGGCAAGGGAGTGCAGGCGCGCTAAACAAGAGGCCCATGCCACGGAATTGTGGGCATTCGTAGACTATCAAACCTCAATGCCGCCGCTGTGTCGGCAGGTGGACCTGGTCCGCCCTACCCCATTTCCATTTCCATCTCCTCCTCCTCCTCCTTTTCCTCCTCCTCCTCCCTTCCTTCTTATTGGGGAAACGTAAGGCTCTAGTTTGCAGGAGCTCGGTGTTGTCGCAACGTTCCGATGTCTTGGCATGAGCTTGGACGGTCTGGTTGTTCGTGAGATGTTCGTACTAGATTGGCCAGGTTTCAGCACGGATGAGTCCCATTCCTATCGGTGGGGAAGGTGGCAGTTCTTATCAGCTCGCACTTCGTCCTGAAGGCACGCTGTCCACGAGTGCGGGTGTGTTGTTGTCGCCCCAGGCTGAACTCTCTGAGCCAGAGCGACCTCGACGCCCTCATCGAGGAGGCGGTGGGCAAGTGCCCGAAACCCAACAAGCAGCGGAAGTACGAGCGGTCCCTCAAGGCACGGCTCACCGCGGACGAGGCCATCACATGGTTTCTTCTGTTCCACCTCCGCCGCGTCTTTGTGGTTCTTGGAGGTTTCCTCGCCTCGGGGTGTTCTCCAGCAGCTGCACCTCACCGATAGCGTTCAGGGTTTCTCGAATCGCCCCCAACGACGGGGCTCCTGGAGTTGTGGCCCGAAAGCCACTCGGAGCCCAGACCCTTCCCAGGTTAAGATTTTAAGCCGATTGCGCTGATCGACTCGGGCCTGCGGGCGTGACGAGGTGCGTATCGGATGCTTCCAAGGGTCCATTTCGATCCGATCGGTCTGGTCCGACTCGACTCCAGTATTCGGGTAATCCGACGCGGCCGGGTGCCAATCCGATTCCACGCCGACTCCGATTCGATGCGGCCCAATCCGACGGACGTTGCGATTTTATCGGGTGCCCCGATTCGGTGCTGGCCGGTCCCTCCCTGCCTCTCGTGCTCCCCCTCGCCTCTCAGTGTTAAGAGGCTGTCACGACCACGGCGTTCCAGTACTGCATGAACATCTCGGACACGCTGCTGCAGGGAGACAAGCTCGGCCAGACGCTCGAGATCAAAGGCCCGGTGGGCGCTGACCTTCCGCCGTCACTCGAGGGGGGAAGACGTGCCCACCGCTCTTGCCGGCCCCCTGCCACCCGCTCGGGCAAATCGCGACCTTGGTGGGGGCGTTCCAGGCTGAACGCCACCGGCGGGGTGCCGCGACCTCCGTCTTCGGCAAATAACCGATATCGAACAGTTTGCGCCATCGGGAAGCCGCGAGCGCTCAAGGCTGCGGTTCACGTGGTGTCACAGTCCAACGCACAAGCCGCCGTCACATGGACGTGCTGTAGCAGAATGGCCAGGAGATGGGTATATACTGGGTGGATGTGGGAGCATGGGGCACCGGCTTCCCTTCAGATCGCTAGGTTCTGTGTGTGGGCATACGCATGCAAGGCAGGCCTGCCAGCAGGTGCACCACCGAAACGTTCGATTCAACGATGGCCCGTCTGCGACCCAAGCGGAAAATTGCGGTACTTCGATAAATTCAAGGTCTAAGGAAGATGTGGCCTGACTATTACAGCGATATGTCTTATCGTGTGGGCATGTGTTGCATCGAGTCAGCATTAATTTGCTCGCCGGCGTTCGGACGACCACAATTGTCTGTTCACTGGTTGTGATACCCTCTGCTTGTGCCAAACGATTCCTGGATTGCGCTGGGACGTTTGTGGTGTAGTCTCATGGAGGGCACTCAGCGTCTTTGCATTCGACTTCGGCCTCCAGCGACTGCGATGCCAAACGGTCTCTCATCATAAGTAGTTACACAAGAAGCGCAATCGAGTACGTGATATCTGCCTTGATGCGACTTGGCAGCGAGGGCTAGTCTGCGGACAGCCAGCCCTGCGACCCCGCACCAGCTACATGCCAGGGGGCAATCAGACATTAGGGCGAGGGGCCACGCGTGTTGCGCGCTCTTGTCGCACACATATTACGGCACATAAGAATGATGATCGGATGGTTGTCATGGCGATGGATGGTATTTGTGCTCGTTTGCCGATCGGCGGAAGTACGAAGGCCACTATCGTGCGTGATCCGTCCCTGCTCGTTCGGAGTCTCGGCAGCCTGGGTGAACTTTGCGATCGCCGAGCTGCTGCAGGGAACTGGTGGGTTCGTTAGTTGGGAGAGCGGGCAGCAATGTTGCGGCGAAATGCATTGTGTCCCGAACGACCACGCACGACGCTGCCGCCAGGACTGGCAAGCCTTCGCAAGGTCTAGCGCGAGGGATGGTTGAAAACAAACCTGTAGCCGCTGTCCTCGCTTGACGGGTCCTCGCCCATGCTGGCATCTGCTGAACGCGTGCTTGCCGCTGTTGCGGGTGCGGGAAGAGGGCCACCCAAGCTGTCCGTGCTGGGAGGAGCGCCTGGCGGCGATCTCAGCGGCGTGCCAGGCGCGTCGGGCCCCCACTCGTATTGTGGCTTAGTGGCACGGGGCAGCTTGATCTAGGCCCAGGTTCTACTGTAGCGGAACGAACAAGTGCTTGCTAGTTGACGGGCGCCACCGTGTGGCAAGTCCACCAAATTAGGTTGGACCCTCCTGTTTGGGGGAGCGTCCACGAGGAAGGAGAGAGGAGGGAGATGGAGGTAGGCAAGCTATGCGCGCTCGCGTCGTATTTGACGTCCTACCCCTCCCACCCATCCCTTGACATTGCTTTGAGCCCCTCTCTATTCGCACAGTCAGATGCCGAAGTGGACAATGACCCCCAAAGTGCGCGCGACGCAAAGCATGTTATAGCCTGGCGTTGGAGAGCATGGCATACCGTAACATAGCAAAGCATGGTGTGACAGTTCATTGATCAGCATTGCGTATCATTTCATTTAAGCGCAAGCCATGGCGTGACATCGCGGTACATGTTTGCATGGCACCAGCACGTTGCAGAGCTATTCATGGAATCGCATTATAGGGGTACATCGCACAGCACTGAATTGCATACCAGGGTTGCATGAACGGTGCATCCTGAAAACCATGTTGGAGAGCCGAGAATCCGGGGTGTGGCCAGTGCTGCAGCGAGAGTCACATTTCCCAGGACCGACAACGCGGAAATGAGGCCAGCGCTGCAGCGGGAGCATGCGGGAGGGCCGAAAACGAGGACACGAGACGGGCTACGCAGTGGGAGTACGATTTTGAAGGAATAGAGTCGCGGGATTGAGGCCAACGCTGCAGCCGGAGCACCATTCGTAAGGACCGACAACGACGGGATTGGAAAAACGCGCTCACCAGACAAAACATCAATGTTTGAAGTCCTGTCCGGGAAAAGAATACGCGGTGAGAGCAGAACATCTTCCAGACAGAGTCAGGGGATAGAGGAGAGCAGTGTTCATGCTTTGCACTTGTGAAGGATGTCCATGTGTTCTGCTCGTCTTGGCCTGGCTGTTGCGGGGGGGGGGGGGCAGCCTGAAACATGCTTGACATCATCCTCTCATTATGCCGATCTCAAGGGTTCTCTGCGTTTCCGAGGGCGCGCGCATCCCCAAGATCGCCATCGCCATGCACTTGCCAACTTCAGGGGTAGAGGGATACGAGATCGAGGTTGGTTGTTCAAGAGTCTTCTGCAATTCTGCCGGCCCACCGACGAGGATATGTGCGTCGTCCGATTTCGTGTCTGTGTGTTGTTTGCCATTTATCGTCGTCCTGCCTGCGTGTAGTTGTTGCTGGTGCGTCTTCATCTTTGTCCGCGTTTGTTGCGGGATTTTTCCTGGTGGCTCTTTGGAGGCCTAGAGGGCCGCTTCTAGGAGTTGTTTCAAAGCTCCCTGGGTTTTTCTGGGGCCCCTCTGAGGGCCTCCTGGGGTGCTCTTGGGGCCATGTCGGGGGTCGTGGGTGCCATCGTGTGGGGGAGGGCTCCCTGGGTCCATGCGGGTTCCCCCTCTCGAGTCTCTCTTGGGTCCTTTTTCCGGCCTCTTGCGGATTTTTGTCCGTGGGTGCTCTTGGGCCGTCTGGGTGCCCTCTTGGTCCATCCCCAGGCCCCATTGGGGGCATCATTTTCCGTCTTGGGCCAGTCTGGGGGGGCTCTCGCACCGTTTTGGGCTTGCAGAAGCCCGAAAGGCGAGAACATGAACATCTTTCAAGCACGTACAGAAATCTTGACACCCTCTTGGACGTCATCTTGGGGCCCGGCCTGGGCGGTCTGGAGACAATCTTGCGTGTTCTTGGGGCCTTTCTGGCGTGTTGGAGCAGTTTGGAGCCATCTTAGAAAGCATCTGGGGCCTCTTGGCGGCCACAGGGGCCTGATTTTGAGGCTCCGAGGGCCCCAGAGGCGCGCGGGGGAGCTCGAGCCCCCGTCCACCCCTGCCCCCCTCACCACCCTCCGCTCTGACTGGATTTGTGACTCGAGCGAAAAGTTGGAGGCACCCTCGGCTAGGGGCACCTTTGGCAGCCCCCGATGGGTTGGCGCGCGTGGAGTCTCCGTCTGCTCCTCCTCCGTGCGTGACGCCGGTGCCGAGACACCCGAGACACCCACGTCTTCGGGAGCCGTGGCCTGCGGCTCGGCGTCGGCGCGCGACGGCGGGCGCGCGGCGCTTCCCCCGCCCCACTCCCTCCCCCGGCTGCAGGGCTCCCCCTGCCGGACGGTCGGGGCTCCCGCGGGGCACTCGCGCTGCGCTTCTTCATGGAGATCTGTGTGAGCATCCGCCGCTTCATGGCGCAGGAGCCTGTCCATCGTTGTTTCTCAAGTCGGGACGATCGGAATGGGTACGGAGAGACAGAGAATGGGTGGGTACAAAGATCGACTGCAGTTCCTGTTCATTTTGAACCGGATTCGCTGTTGGCGTCGCCGCGGATTGTGTCCATTTGAGACAGACGGCCGCTTGCCCAACAGCGGCCACTGTTGGTTCTGGACAACATTTGTTGGTGGGCATTGTACCCACGTGTTTTACGTACCCATTTCGGGCGTCCAAATCAGAGAAGGAAAAGGCACCGACACCGCCACGTGTACTTAATTTTTTTGTTCCCAAACCTCCTTGATTGGGTATTCGTTTTGAATGGAGCACCGCGGTCGCGTCTCCCTCCTCCCGCCTCCTCCCGCCTCCTCCCTCCTCCTGCCCTCTCTTCGCCGTCGCTGGGGGGCTGCGATCTGCGAAACTGTCGCCACTTTCGAGGGCCGCTGGTGGATCCAGCGGAGTGAGGCACCGCGCAGACCGCAGGTAGACCTCGGTTTCCCTGGGGGGCGTGCAATCTGCGAAACTGTCGCCAGTTTCGAGGGCTGCTGGTGGATCCAGCGGAGTGATGCGCCGCGCAGACCTGAGGTAGACCTCGCCGTCCCTGGGGGGCGTGCGATCTGCGAAACTGTCGCCACTTTCGAGGACTGCTGGTGGCTCCAGCGGGGTGAGGCACCGCGCAGACCTGAGGTAGATCTCGCCGTCCCTGGGGGGCGTGCGATCTGCGGAACTGGGTCCAGCGGAGTTATGCACCGCGCAGACCTGAGGAAGACCTCGCCGTCCCTGGGGGGGCTGCGATCTGCGAAACCGTCGCCACTTTCGAGGGCTGCTGGTGGCTCCAGCGGAGTGATGCACCTCGCAGACCTGAGGTAGACCTCGCCGTCACTCGGGGGCTGCAATCTGCGAAACTGTCGCCACTTTCGAGGGCTGCTGGTGGGTCCACCAGAGTGCTGAACCGCGCAGACCTGAGGAAGACCTCGCCGTCCTTGCAGGGGGGCTGCGATCTGCGAAACCGTCGCCACTTTCGAGGGCTGCTGGTGGGCCCACCAAAGTGAGGCACCTCGCAGACCTGAGGTAGACCTCGCCGTCCCTGGGGGACTGCGATCTGCGAAACTGTCGCCACGTTCGAGGGCTGCTGGTGGCTTCAGCGGAGTGATGCACCGCGCAGACCTGAGGTAGACCTCGCCGTCCCTGGGCGGCCATGCCATGTTCTTGCTGCCCCGCCGGCGTTTCAAGCTGCCCCTTGCCCGCAGTCTCCTTTTGGACCTTGCGTCTCCCTTGGTGACTCAAGGGGTCACTTGGTTACTCATCGCTTTTCCCTTGATTGGGGACCTGCGAACCTCCCGAATGTCGCTCGCAGAAGTATATGCATCCATGTCACGTCGCCGCCTTCTCGTCAAATCTCCCAAGCTACTCCTGCCCCGCATTGCGCAGGGGTTGGGTACGTCGCCAGGGTGATTGGGGCCTCCTTGCAGGCCCTCGTCGTCACCGCTGGATTCGCCTCGAAATTCAGGTCAGGACGCACTCTAGGAGAGGTCCGGGGAGTAGCGGTATCGGTCCTTCTTGGCTTCCCCAGTTTCTTCCCAGCACTCGTTGGCGATGACCGATGGAAGAGAAGTTGAATAAACAGACAAGTTCGGAGGTCCGCGGCGGAGTTTCCTGCGTCGGCGCCACGACTTCCTTGTTGGTGCAGCCTCTGGCGCTCTCCGAGCGCCAGGGCGGGCGTCCAGCCCCGATCCAAGAAATTCGCACTGACGGACTCCTGCAGATATTTCTTTCTAGCTAGATAACGGGTTTTCCAGGGAAAAGAACAGGGGAGGGGGCAGTTAATTCTTCACGATCTGTGCCGACGCCAACGCGAGTCGTGACGCTACCAGGGGGACGCTCAAGGGCGAAGAAAGAGGGATTACCTCAAGGAGGGAAGCATCGACGCCCAATCGCCTATTCATCGACGAACGAGGCCTGGGTGTCTAAGCTTGGCCAGAAACGTGGGCTTTCCCAATCGGGAGACTGTCGCCGATCTATCGGCGATGTGTCGTCGATTCCAGGCCATGCCTCCCACCCCATGAGCCTGTGCCCCACCCTTTCGGCTCCCCTCAGAGGTCCTCGGGTGGGGGGGGGGGGGGCGGCCCTGTTTACGGGCGTTCTCGTGACTAGGCTTAGACACGAGCTCCAGGAGCTTAGGCATCGTCGCGCCCCGAACCATAACCGCGTCGGAACATTTTCTTGTTGGCAACGACTCGGGGGAATGGAGACCAGGGATGTGCACCTGCGTCGCAGTCGGTTGCGCTCGGTCGGTTCGGCTCGTTCGGTTGGTGTGTCGTTGTTGCGTCGCGGCGTCTTGTTCTGGGTGTTTTGGGTTTAGCTCGTTCTCGGTCTTGGAGACCTCCGTGGGTCCAAGGTGTGAAGAAGAAGAAGGAGGAACAAAAACGTCGCCGAGGGCTCTCGGAGCGCAGGGTTGTGCCGCGAGGAGCCTCCAGACATCGGGCGCCGAAACCTATACACATCCATTGCTCCTTGGCCAGGCCCATCCTGAACCTGGGAGTTTTGCCCACGCCCTCCTGGCCACGCCAGGAGGGCGTGTCGTACACACCGATGCTGGGTTCTGAACTTCAGGATGGGCCTTAACTTCAGGATGGGCATGGCCATCCTGAAGAATCATGCCTGCCCATGCCCATCCTGACTTCAGGATGGGCCTTAACTTCAGCACTGCTCCTTGGCCATGCCCATCCTGAACTTCAGGATGGGCATGGCCAGGGAGCAGTGGATCTGTACGGATGGCGTCGCCCCCAGACGGGCACTTCTGGCGCTGGTCGAAGCGTCGGCCGAGGGCCCCCGGGCGGAGCAGCTGCGCTTTGGTGTTCTCGGGAGAGCGCGCGGAGCTCGGCCGGATCTGCGGCCCCGGAGGGGCCTGGAGCCCTGGCGTGTCCCGCTTGCGCCCCTGGCTCCGTCGTCGAGTAGTACAAAGGGGGGGGTCTCCTTCTCCTCCTCCTCCTTTTCCTCCTCCCCCTCCTCCTCCCCCTCCTCCCCCTCCTCCTCCTCCTCCTCCTCCTCCTCCTCCTCCTCCTCCTCCGCGAACATCAAACGACGCGAAGATCGGGACAAAATCGGATCGGGATAACTCGAAATCTCTGAGAATCGGCGGGTTTGGAGGATGTATTGGGCGCCGCGGCCGCTCCAGAGAGTTCCGGAACGCTCTGAGAGCGCTCCGGAACGCTCTGGAGCGATTTATCCCGATCCTAGCCCTGTTTTAGAACACCAGTGTCGACGATCCATTCCCGAGCGCAGCGAGTTGCAGACAGCACAAACGTCCCAGACCAAGTCCAAGGACCGACCCGAACGCTGTGGTGCTTGGCTGTGGCGATATGGCAGTTGTGTGTCCAGTTGTGCGTTGTGGTTGCGTTTTGGTGTAAGCGCGTGCTGTACTCTCGTTCGGTGTTCAATCATATTTGCTTGACACGTGTTTCGTTGCGCATGTTGTTTGACATCGTGTCGAAGGGTGCAGTTATATGTTGGGCTCGTTGTCGCGTTCTTTCGGTCTACAATTTGGATTGCGCAATTGTTGTGTTCCGATGATTTGATTGCGCCCGTTAGCGATACTAAGTATTCCGTGTGCACAAATGCTCGTAGCCTTATTTCGTTATGCAGGCCTTACCGTAGTATTGTTGCACTGTTGTTCGCCATTCTAACGCGGCCGCTCTATCAGTTGCACGCGCAGCACATGTAGTTTCGTTGTGTTTCTCGTTTCATATACAGTTTGGGGTAACCGTCTGTGGGTAACCCACATAATGAGCGCACCATGCGGGAAACGGATTGTGAGGCAAGATATAGCCGCACGATTCAGGCTACGAATGCAAGTGATGCATTTAGCTTTTCCAACACAGTCGTCTGGTGTCCCGCCCGTGAGTGGGTCACCAGTGTGGCGAGAGTGCCATACGGGATACATATTGCGCGCCCGACAGGAGACGGTTCGCGTGGCAGTGTGTCGTCTCACGTTGAAGCCCAGATCGCAAGTGAAACATATGCTTTGTCCCACCAATTGTTCGGGAGAAGACCCACCCGTAGGAGGGTAACCCGTGTGGCGCGCGCGCCATATGGGAAGCGCATTGCACAACAATGTTTGGCCTCACGTTGAGGCCACGAAGCAAGCCCGACGCCAGTCAATTGCCCGTCCTGGTCTCGGGTGACGCACCCATGGGTGGGTCACCCGTGTGGCGAACGCGCCATATTTGGAATACATTGCGTGGCAATGCGTCGTCTTGAGGCCCAGGATGGAAGAAGCAATTGCTTCTCCAACCCAGATGTCAGGTGACACGTCGTGGGAGTGTCAGCCGTGTGGCGAGCGCCAGATGGGACACGTTTCGCGTGACCCTTCCAGTTTTCGCGTGACGTTGCCGTGTGTTGGTCACCAGGGTGGCGACCGCATCGCTTTTGTCGTACCTTTCAGCCTTGCGGGGCCTGCCCTTTAGCCGTGTCCATGGCCCCTGCGCAAGCATGTTGCCCATGCCCCAGCAAGAGCCTCAGGCCCCCAGTCCTAGCTGCAGCCCGAAGCCTCACTCTGAGCCTCCGCCATCCTCAGCCCCTGGCTCCAATCCCTAGTCTCGATCCTACCCCTTAACCTTAGCCTCAGCCCGTAGGCCATTACCTCGGCCCTACAAAACTGTCCCTATCCTTGGCCATGCAGTCCAGGCAATCGATGTGGCCTCAGCCCGAGCATAAACTACCCCCAGCTATAGATTCCGTGTTGTTGGTGTTGTTGTTGTTTGTGTTTTTTGTTCTTGATCGTCTTTCCTGTATCGTTGTCAGTGAGAGGCAAGGGCTTAGGCCAGTGGGCGAAGGTGAAGCTTGCCCTTCAGCCTTGTCCATGGCTCCAGCACTCCTCAGCCCGTGGGCCATAACCTTAGCCCCAGCATCTGCCCGAGTCCCAGCCTTAGCTTCCTGGTATTCGTTGTTTGCTCGTTTCGCATCGAGCGCTGTCTGCAGAAGTGAGTGTGTTGTTCGTCTTGATGTGTTTTCTGTCAGTGGCTTGCAGTTCGACCCCGTATTGGAGTTTGTGTCACTCGATCGCTCGCTCGCTCGTTCTCTCCCGCTCTCTCTCTCTCTCTCTCTCTTTCGCTCTCTCTCTCTCTCCCTCCCTCGCCATGTCTCGCTCTCCCGCTTTGTGAATCTGCATTTATCTAACGTGCTCTCCCTCGCAGTATCTCTCGTACATATTGTCTTTATCTCTATCTCTCTCTCTCTCTCTTTCTCTCTCTCGTTCTCTCTTTCTCTCTCGCTCTCTGTCTCTCTCGCCCTCTTTCTCTCTCTTTCTCTCTCGCTTTCTCGCAGTCTGTATCTGAATATCCTTCGCGTTATGGTTCGTATTGGTGGTATTTCTGTCCGTCGGTGTTCCGATTGTCATCCTTCGAATACCCTTTCTGCGATTTGCCCACAGAATGCCGAAGGTTCGCATTGTATCACAAACATCAGTATCATGTGTTGATTCTCGCGAAATGTGTTCCCATAGCCCTCCTACGCCCCGCAACAGCTACGTCGTGTGAACATTCATATTGAATGAACGGAATGCGCAACTCCCCCACCACATGCACGTGTGGTCGACAACGCAGCGAAACGATTCGTGCCTTGGCCCATGCGAAAACAATGACCTGGCATGGTCTCGTGTGGTTGCCGTTTCCTGTTGAGTTTGTGCATGTATTGTTGGCTATGCCAAGTGAATTTGTCTTTCGTGCCTCTCCGCCTTGAGGGTGAAGGCTGCCAGTTCTTATTGTCAGGATCCGGTCGAGAAGTTCGCTCGGCCTCGACGTCGCGGCCGCAAGTCTCCCGAACTCCTGATTCTCCCCAGTGGCCTGCCTCGTGTCCTAGGTAAGACACGTCGGAAAGAAACCTTGAGAGGCCCTCATGCGATACAAAGAAACCTTGACAGGCCCTCAGTCGCGCAAATGTAGTATACACCAATGGCAGATCTGGAGGACTATACGAACACGAACAATACAAGTACACACCTTAGACCAGCACATGGACACGGAGCTGACACGGATAAGACACATAAGCAACGTCGAGGTGCAACGTACATATAGTTGACACGCTTTAGTCATGCATAACATGCAGTCGTACGTTAGGTAGTAGCAGTCGTGAAGAGCAACCGGGACGAACCTACATAAAGGGCGGGCGTGAATCATAGGCCACACATAAGATACATTTCCCACCAGCATCGCCATGCTTTGCATTCGCATCAGGGGAGCATGTATGCGGACATACATCCATACCGTTATTCATAAGAAGTTCACGTGAATGTCGACTGCGACTAACACATCAAGGCCAGGCAGCGCCGCAATGGTACGTACAAGCGTGGACAACACCCGAGCCGACCACTTAAACCGAAACATCATGCATAGCACATCACATTGGGTTGAGACCATGCTTGAAGACCCCACACCACTGTGATGTCACAAATCATGCGCAGCATACTCACGGAGCGCGCGCACATGGCCACATGGCATGCACACGCGCTACGCAAACAGGACCAAGTTGCCATGCACACATTACAGGAATCGAACATGCATGGCGCACATACGCAGCGAAAGTGCATCATGCCGAACTTTACTTGGGATGATCGAGCGACCGCTGGGTTGTTCTGGGATGGGGGCGTCGGTGTTCCCCACATTGACACATAACATTGCATCGGATCCCTGGGTCAGGGGGGAGCCCAAGAGCCAGTTTCAGTTTCGCCAGGACATCATGGGCTGCCTCCGGGAGCAGAAGCAGGCGGGCGACTTGATGGCGGTAGATTGGCTTTCGCTTCAGATGTGGCTCCCGATCTTGCGAGAGTCGTTCCGCATCGTCGGCTACAGGGACATCGGGGAGGGCAGAGAGGCGCACATGCATAATTCGAGGCGGTGATTCATACATAACCACCGCCCAGAGGATCAACTTTCGCGGACCTCCAAAGTCGTTGGATATGGATATATGTTGGCCCCCGGCGGCCTAAATATATCCATATCCACCGCCCGCTGTGTCCCAGGACGTCAGGTTCCAGGCGGTGGATATGGATACACCCCTACTTCTATGGTGTTCCAACTGACTTTAGCTTTGATCACCAGACTGAATTTCGAGCACCAAGAAAACACTCCCAAACCTGAGGGTTTTCACGTGTCGGGCCCTGGGGGACACGCTTTCGATATTGTTCTGACACTCTTTCGACACTTTTCTGGGTGCTCGAAATTACTTCTGGGATGTGGTCCTTAAGTACGATGGGAGCAGCATAACCCTACCTCGCACAGAAGTTCCGGACGTCCACCGACGGCCCAGCCGCTCTCTCCCCCTGTCTCGGGCGCTGCCTCTTCCGCGCCCGGCTCCTCGGGCGCGCCCCAAGAGCTCCATAAGGGGGTGTGGGGATGGGCAGCGAGCCTTCTTCTCTTCCTTCTCCTCCTCCTCGGGCGCGCCTCAAGCTCCAGGAAGGGGTGTGGGGATGGGCAGCGAGCGAGGGTACGGGGCGTGAAAACGATCACAGCCACTGCTTTCCTTTTGTTGCCGCCTTCCAGCCAGCAGAAACAAAGCAGTGGTTGGGTTCATCTTCGTTGAGCTGGGCACCCAGGAAAAGACCACAACCACTGCTTCTTTTTCGGCCGGCTGGCAGGCGGCGCAGACAAGAAGCAGTGGTTGTGGTCACTTTCCCGTCCCGCAGAGGGGGGGAAGTAGTGAGAAGAAGAGGGCTTTTCCAGAAGGCGGCGGGGCCTTCTCAGAATCCCTCTGCCTTCTGAGAAGTTTTCTGTGTCTCCGGGGAAGGCATAGAAAACTTGTTGGGAGGCCAGGGGACTTCCGAGCCTTCTGAGAAGGCCTCCTCCTTCTCACTTCCCCCCCTGGGATCGCCTCCGAGGGGAGGTGTCCGTCTCGGTGGAGATTCTGTATCGGCGGGTGTCCAGAACTTTTGCTTGTGCACCTGTCTGCCCTCCAGACATCGCACCACAGTACAAGATTTGGGCCATCTACCACTGCCAGAAGGTATCCCAGAACGTCCAGCGGATTCTCGAGAAGATCCAGAAGAATCTTGGCAAGCTTCACACGACCGACATTCTCTCGTCGCTGCTGCAGGAGCTGGAGCTCGGTAAGTCCACCATGAGACGCGAGAAAACCGACTTGTCCATGATGGAGAAATCGGATCTGCAGCACCTGCAGACCACGTCGCACTGGGTCCGGCACTACCACAGCGCATTCCCCCAGAACGCCCCTAACACCAGCATTGTGCGTAGCGTGCACAAGGAGTGCGCCATCTTCGGGTCCCAGCCCGGCTTCTTCTCGCCCGTGTGGCAGGTGGTGTCGGCCGGGAGCGAGGACGGCCAGGTCGAGCGGTAACGCAATCGGCCTCGTCCCCTGGGAAGAAGAGGGGGGTGAAGTCGAGATGGGAGGAGAGAGAGGAGAGGATTAGGGGGGCGGGGCAGGAAGGAAGCAGCGGGAGGTGAGGGCAGAGGGGAGGAGGCGAGGAGAAGAGAGGCAGGAGGCAAAGCTGCGGGGAGGAGGGTTTGAAGCAGCGGAGAGCGAACGAGCGGAGGTATGCTGGATTGTGTCGCTCGATGTGTCGCTGCATGTGCCGCCAGATGTCGCTGAGTTCCGATAAATGTTACCATGTGCCACTAGATGCTGCTGGATGTCACTCGATGTTGTTGATTCTTTGTCGATGCCTTGTCTGTGAGAGAATCGCGAGGATGTCTCAAGCGGGAATCCCTCCCTATGGGGACCAGACTTCACGTTACTAATTCATCGGCTTACTTGTAACTGTCGTCAATGTGGGGTTGTTGGCGCCTGGTTCAGGAGGAAGTCTCGATCCGGAGCCTCGTCTTTGAGTGAGATGTCTGGAAGTCTCGAGCGGGAGCCTCGTCTTTGGGCTGTGTGCGGGGAAGTCTTGAGCGGGAGCCTTCGAAGTGTCTCAGATGGCCACGGCCACAAGAATCACCAAGAGATTGAAGGAAGCCCGAGGAACTTTCAGCCTCAGCACCCTGGGAGGCACCAGGAGGCCCTGGGAGATCCAGGAGGCAACAGGACGCCCCGGGAGGAGGCAGGAGGCCCCATCAGGAGGAGGAGAAGGAGGAGAAAGAGGAGAAGGAGGAGGCGGGAAGAGGAGGAGAAGGAGGAGGAGGAGGAGGAGGAGCTTCATCTTCTGGTACAAAACTGCAATATCAGAGTACCGCTGCCGAACCAAACAGGCGAATCGGAGTGCAGCCCCCGAAAGCAGCGACATCAGAGTGCCGCCGCTGGAAGAACGCCCCAGATGGTGATGATGATGATGATGATGATGATGATGATGATGATGATGATGATGATGCTGATGATGATGATGATGATGATGATGATGATGATGATGATGATGATGATGATGATGATAGAAGTGGTGATGATGTTGGGTGTGATGGTAAGTACTATGCTGGCGATCGTGATAACGTTGATGCTGTTAGTGCTCATGATGGCGTATATGATATCGGTGATGACGGTCATGATGACGACGAGCACGAGTATCTTAATGATGGTGGTGATGGTGATGGTGATGATCATGGTGATGGTGATGGTGATGAGGACGATAATGATGGTGGTGGTGATGATTCGAAAGCGCCTAGCAAAACATACGTTTCTCTTGCGAGACGCAAGATATGTCGCGACAGCTAATCTAGCGACACGAGCAGGCGCGTTGAGTCTTCCAAGCTTCCTGACTGGGAGTTCATTAGAAGCCTCCTGGGGGGCCCTCTTAGCATCTCAGGGTATTCTCCGGCGCCTCCCAGCCGGCCGGCGGAGCCCTCGACATGAGGTCTTCAAGCTGGAGTTTTCCACCGGGGAGGCTGGCGTCCTACAGAAGCACCCGTCCGTCAGGGGGGGGCAGCAAATGGACCTGTGCGTCGTCATCCCCAGCCAGGCTCGGGGAGGAGCGGGAGGAAGGCAAGGACGGAGATGAGGAGGAGTATGAGCGGGAGGAGGGCAGGGACAGAGCCATTGCGGGGGAGGAGGAAGAGACACAGTAGGAGGAAAAGGAGGAGCAGGCGGAGGTGGTTGACGACGATTAGGAGAAGGGGGAGGAGAATCAGGAATGAAGAGAGGAAAAGAGAGAAAAGGACGAGAGATGTGGAGAAGGTTCTCGGGTGCGAGCGATGAGGGATGATGGGGAGAGGGGCTTGAGGATGGGGAGGAAGAGGACCAGAGCAATCACGGGATGCAGCAAATATTTTGTAACATTTGAGCGTCGCGTAATGAAATGGCGATAAATGGGGGGGCCGCGAAAGATGTAGGAAAGGGGCCCGTTAGGTCCCAAGAAGTGCACCTTTCTTCCCCCAGTTCTCTTCCCCACATTGAGCGACGCCCAAGTAATGTACCTTCCCCGTCCAAGTCCATTTTTCACGCATCCCTACAAGCCTGCTATATCACGACAGGAAGCGCCCCCTGGGAAGACGATCGCCCCATGAGCTTAGCAAATGGACGAGAACAGAGTTTTGAAAGGGAAGGACCCTGCGCAGAAATGGGATTATTAAAACGCTTCGCGTGTCCCCACCAGCCCACCCCGGAACGATGCCCAGGCGAGCTGCCTTTATCTGGAGCGCGTGGCACCATTTGGACACCTCGGGGAGCCCTACTGAACTAGAGGCCTCTTGGATGCCTCTCGGAGTCGCTTGGGATGACTCCTGGCCTGGGGTGCTTAGAACGCCATGGGGACCTCTTGGGGACTCTTGGGGGCCTCTTGGGGCGTCTTCGAGGACCCTCGGGGACCTTCAAGGGCCTGTTCGGGTCTGTTGTGTGCCCTCTTGGGGCCCTCTTGGGGACCTTGGGGCCCTTCTTGGGATCATCTTCGATGAAATCGATCGAAGAGGAGGGGGTCCCCAATTTGGTTCCCCCCCTCTGGAACCTTGAAAGTCGTCTCTTGATCCCCTCTTGGGGCACTCTTGTGTCGCTCGTGGGCGCTCTTTGAACCATCTTGGGGCCCTCTTGGGGCCCTCATGGGCCATCTTGGATCTATCTTGAGGCCTTGGAGGGCCACTAGAAGCGTAAGTATAAGAAGGCAACAAGCATTGAGTCTTCAGGTTTGGAGGAGTTTGGGCTTCCTTGAGGCGTCCTGGGGAAGCACCGGAGGAATATAGGGCCGCGGTCGGTCATCCCAAGGGACTAATGAGCGGCGGCAAGCAACTCCTCAGGAATTGTGGGCCGCGGACGATAACTCCACAGCAATGGTGGGCCGTGGCCGTTATCCCGCGGGAATAATGAAGCGCGGTCGGCGACCCCCTGGCATTAATGGACGACGGCCGGCAAGTCCCGACGAATATGAAGAACCGCGAAAGGCAATTCCCAAATAATAATGGACCGCAGGTGTTGCCACGTTGTGATACAAGTGGAGTCGTTGTTTCGTTCCCCAAGCTTTGCCACGTGGCGAATACAGTGGGATAGTGTTGTTTTCAACCCCGCAGTTTGGCCACGTGCCAGGTGGACCCACGAGGGATGAGAGAGGAGGAGGGAGGAGGGAGGAGAGGGGAGGGAAGAACGGGGAGGAGGAGGGCGAAGGCAAGAGAGAGGAGGAACAAGGGAGGCGTGGGCAGGAGGAGGATGAGGAGGAGGAGGCGGAGAAGGGAAAAGGAAGGAGGCAGGAGGGAGGAGCCAGGAGAAAGATGAGGAGGCAGGAGGAAGACGGAGGATGGAGCAGGGAGCGGAGGAGAAGGGATGAGAGAGGGGAGGGCAGAGTAGGAGGCGTGGGAGAAACTGCGAGGAGATGGTGGAGGAGGAGGCGGCGCAGGAGGAAGAGTAGGAGGAGGAGGGGCGAGGTGGGGGAGATGGGAGGATCTGAAGGTGGACGATGAGGACGGGGAGAGCAAAAGAGGAGGGGGAAGGGGAACAGAAGGAGGAAGAGGAATGCAGCGCAATGCAATGCAGATCAATGGAATGCGTTGCATTTCATTTGCAATGCAACGCAATGCAATTAAATGCCGTGCGACGCATTGCCATACATGTCTCTGCAACGCGGTAGATTGCAATGCAATGAACCACAGTGCCTTCCAAGGCCCTGCAACGCAAGGCATCGCAATGACACACGCTGCAAGGCATTGCACCGCAATGCCTCCGGATGTGCGCACGGAGTTTCTTCTAGTCAATGTTTGGTCCTGATGACTATCTTGTAAAGCGGGTTGCTGCTCATTATTCCTCAAGAGCCACCCGTTGAATTGTTCTGGGATGGACGACCGTTCTATGCCTTACACAATCGAGATAGATCAACGGTTCCTGAATAACGAATCGCGCTTCGTTATTCTTGCAAAAGAATCGTTGTCTAAGATTTCAGAACCATCCACCGCAAATCCATGCGAGGCCTCGCGGATGCCTGGGGGGCTGCGAATTGCGCCATTGTCACCCTTTTCGCGGGCTCCTGGGAGGCACAGCGAAGTTGAGGGCAGCGCAGATCCATTTGAGACCTCGGGGCTCTCCTGGCGCATGTGAAGAGCGCAACAGTCGCCACTTCCCTGGACTCCTGGGAGGCACGAAGGAGATGAGCGCCTCACATATTTTGCATAGGGTTCACAAACATGTTCGCCTCGCGTGGAAAAGGGTTGGGTACGTCTTAGGTAATTTGTTGGAAGGGATGGTGGGGAGGTTGGTAGTGTTTCGAGTGTGTCACCAGTCGGGTTGGGGAGGGGGCGTTCATACGCAAGGAAAAACGATGAGCCATTCACCGAAGGGGAATAAGGCGGTTGGAAGGGGAACGTCTCCAAACCACCTTCCGTCTAAAGGTTGTTGCGACTGCGTTCATCGTAGCCAGCGAATGCTCGTTTTCAAAAGGACCTTCCGAGGAGGTCTCACCCGAGTGCCCCACGTTCAACAGGAATCACCCTCCATCCTTGCAGGTGGTACATGTGTTCCAAATAGGGCCCCATCTTTAAAGAGCACGACCTCTTCCCTTGAAGTCTGGTTCCAACAGTCTACAAGAATGCACACGGCGCTGGGGCGGGAGTCTGATCTCGAGAAGGCACTTGTTTTTTTGACACGTGCAGGTGCTCTGGACTTTCAGGTCAAACCCGCGCGGCGGCAAGGCCAGTAAGGCTTGCGTTGTGATGTCGAAGGACGCAGCGCCGATGGCCTGACCTCGCGAGTTTGCCACTGCCGCCGCAGGGCGTGGCGAGCCCCGCCGTGCCCCTCTCTCCACGATCCCGTTCCCCTGGCCCGTGCCCCCTCGCCACGATCCTGGCGAAGACGGCCCGCCTCCTCCTCCTCCTTCTCCTCCTCTTCTTCCTCCTCCTCCTCATCCTCCTCTGCCTACTCCACGTCCTCGTTTTCGTCCTCGACCTCCTCTTCAAGCTCCCCCTCCCCCTCTTCCCTCCTCCCCATGATCCTCCTCCTCCTCCTCCTCCGCCTCTCCCCCCCTTTTCCTCCTCCTCGTCCTCCTCCTCCTCCTCCTTTTCCCCTCCTCCTCCTGCCCCTCCTCCCCGGGACGGTGAGGACAGGAGCGCGAGGATGTGAACCGTACCCCTCATCATAACAGTATATCTGACCACCCCCCACAGCGCAAGATGCATCATTTTATACTTTGCGATCGGGGGGGCTGAGGGGGTCGGCTGTGCTACCTATGATGTATGTCCTGAGAATCATGCGCTCCTCGCTCTTCCGCCCGGCCCAGCAGGTCGGGCTCGGGAGCCTTAGGCATTAGGCTCGGGCTAGCGGCTCAGGGCCATCGCACCCCATGCGTAAGGACCTCCTGCGTGGTGCTCGCCTCTCCCGCTGGCGACCCCTGGACGAGTTATTACACCCTAGGCGATGCTTAAGAAAACTACAGTTTTCGGCCAGAGTCCCGATTATTCTTAATGTTTCAATGTGAATCCTAAGATTTCAATCGAACTTCTGGGTTTGTAATCAAATTCTGAGACTATGAATTTCTTAACCCATGATTTCTTGAGCATTTCGCAGGGTGTACACCTAAATTTTCGCTGCTCCTCCTCCGCCTGTTCCTGCTCATCATCCGGCTGCTGTTGCCGCCCTCCTCCTCTCAGTTCCCCCGTCTCCTCCTCGTCCTCGTCCACCTCCGGCTCGTCCTCCTTCTGCTCTTCCTCCTCCTCCTCCTCCTCCTCCTGCTCCTCCTCCTCCTCCTCCTCCTCCTCCTCCTCATGTGCCTCCCTATCCACCATACTCCCTTTTGTTTGCCTCCTCCGCCTCCGAACTCGTCCTCCCGAGCTACTTATCGTTGTCCTCCTCCACCTGCCCCTCCCCCATTCCCTTTTCGTCGCCCCTCCCATGCTCTCTCTTCCTCTTGTCAAATCCGCCCCGCCGACCCCTGTCCTCCTGGTCATCTTTTCCCCCTCCTGCTCTCTCCATGTGCTCGTTCTGGATCCCATCTCCGCGCGGCGTGTCGAGAGCACAGTTCTCCGCCACCGAGCCAAGCGACACGCAAGTGATTCCCAGTCGATTCCTGAAACGGATACGTCACCGAAGAGTGCGGCCGTTCCTGCGCGGTAGCACCGTGGTATGACAAGGAGGGTCCCGTGCGAGTCCGTGCTCTCCAAGTGCGGGGTCCGCATTGCTCTTCGTTTTCGGGGATCCTTACAGTGGAAACTCATGCCAAGAAACACCCTGCTTGTCTCCAGGGTACCATGGTGTCTTGGGTCTCGAAGCGCGACGTCCCCACGCCAAAAATCAATGGATGTCCTGGGGTCTCAGGGCTGGGTTTCTTGTGGAAGGCTTCTTGTGGTCGAGCTCCTACTGTAGGGTGGGCAGCAGGGCCAGGGCTCGAAGCGCAGCAGGAGCTGCACACATTCACAACGACCCTGGCTGGGCCGAGGTCCTGGTCCAAGATCGGTCCTAGGTCCTAGAGCATGCGCCAACCCTGGGCCCCGTGTTGGCCTGGCCAGAGTCGGTGTACGTACGCGTATCGCTGGCGCTCTCCTGCGGGTATATGCAACCCTTCCTTGGGAGCCGACGTTCCAGTTTGAGCCATGGGCCTCGCGAGTTAGCGCCCTGTGCGCTGTTCGCCAGGCCTCTGGCTCGGCACCCGGCAGCGACGTCGCGCGGGCGCGTGCGTCGTACTGGTCAGCCGCGATGTCGCAGCCTCGCGCCGTGGAATGTAGAACAAAACGACGGAAGAATTCGGGCCGTGTTCGACCTGTGGGTGCTCCTTGCTGGGGTTGTCAAAGAACTGCGGCATGGAAAGTCGGTCCCGGGGCTGGCATGGATTCAGGCCGTTGCGGAGATTCGTTGCCAAGCTCCTCGCTCGGACTCCGCCGTCGCCTTCCCCCCTCGCCACTCCCCCCTCCTTGCCCCTTCCCTGCCCTACTCACGCCATTCTCGCTTCGCCGCCCCCTTCTCCTCACCTTCCCCTCCCCATGTTGGCCTCCTCTTTCCGTCCGCCTCCTTGCGCCCACGGGCCTACCCGGAGGGCATCGGGTTGTCGCCGCAGCACATTCCGATCGGCACCGTCCACAGGGGCAAAGGCGCAGAAGACACGACCGTGGCACTGCAGAGCAGGCTCCGGGACCGTTCCAACTCACGCGCTCCCACGCGCGCTGTTCCCGACCAGCGTGCCGCTGTGACTTCAGCGGCCGAGGAGCGGTAGAACATCGCTTTTCCTTCCGCCGGGGATGCTTGTCCCGGGGCGGCTGGAAAGTTCGTGCCCCCATTTGCCACTGTTGGTGTTTAAACTGTCCAGCCGCCCTGGGACGGGCGCCCCCGACGGCGGGCAAGTCTGTGTTCTACCGCTCCTCGCCCTACTTGCGAGTCTTGGCATCGCTCGGACGTGTGCGTTTTCCTTCGGCGAGGACCATCGAGGAGCATCCTTGATCATTTGGCGAAAAAGCCACGCACGAAACCAAACAAATACAGGAAATGGACGTCCAAGCGATGGCCAGGAGTTGGCTTCCACAGACCGGGCAGGCCCAGGACGAAGACGTGCTGTTCCACGGCTGTCGGGGGCTCCCTCAGAGTGTCGTGGACACGAGGGAGGCTCTCTGGAGCGGCCGCGGCGCGCGATGCATCCTCCAGACCCTCTGGCTAACAGAAGTGCCCTCCGCGTCTCCAGCCCCGTCTGTTCGAGGCCCCATACCGTCAAGGCGCTCAAGTGAGGACCGCTTTGGGTTCAGGGCGAGCTCCGAATTCGGGGCCGTCCCTTCGGTCTAGGCCGGGGAACTGGATCGTGGACGAGGCTCGCCGTGGCCAGGGAAGCCGCTTTGTTCCTCATACGGCGCGCCCTCCGGCAGTGCCATGACTGTATCAGGCCAGCCAATTGGGGGAGTTGTGGTCCTTCCCCCCAGGGGGACCCATCGATTTCGACACCCATCTTGAGAGATCGTCGATGCGATGGGTTCCCCCAGGGGGGTAAGGACCACAGCTCCCCCAGTTATGGCTGGTCGGTGTATTGTCCCCGTGTGAGCACTCTCCGGGGGGACACCTGCTGCTGCCGTCGCGTGGGTGGCCTGCGCGGTCCTGGCGCGGTCCATTCTCTCGTGCCCGCTCGAGGATGGTCTTCACCCTGCCCAGTCTTTGATGTCGTGCTTGCTCGTCCTTTCCGAGTCCCCAGAGCTCTCGAGTCGGCCCGTCCCCCACGGCAAGTTTACATTCCAAGTCGTGTTCTTACGGTCCATGGGTCCTTTGGTGGGCAGTCGGACGCAGAACCCGAAGAAATACCGTTTACCAGTGTGGACCCCAAACGCTGGGTCATTGTGTTGCCGATGTGCCGTCCTGATCGTGCAACCAGCGTATGGTGCAACTTGAACGTGTGGTGCAACACACACATACACTCAGTCATATACATTTATGTATAATATATATATATATAGAAAGAGAGAGAGAGAGAGAGAGAGAGAGAGGGGGAGAGAGAGAGAGAGAGAGTGAGAGAGAGAGAGAACGCAAGAGTGGCATTCAGTCTGTCCCACCACTGTACCCTGGTTGAGGGTCATCGGCCTCTAGGATGTTTTGTTTTATATGTCGCGGGAGGCCTCTCGGGGGCCTCTCGGGGACCGTTTTGAAGCCTTATGGGAGGTGTTTTAGGGGCCTCTTGGGGATCTCTTGGGGGCCTATTGGGGCCTCCTGGGGGCATCTTGATGCGGAAGAATCGGATTGTCGGTCCCTTTTCCTATTGGTGAGCATTCTTTTATTATTTGTTTTTGCTTTCGGCGGAACGCCCCTCCCCCCCCCCTCCCCCCCCCCCCGTAGAGAAGTTCCGGGCTGATTTTGGCACCTGCTTCAATCGATCGGACGAACTACAGGGGCCGGCGCCCCCCCCCCCCTCCCCCGGTAGAAACTCGAATCGCTGATGTGTGCAACTGTGCGCATTTTATCGTGCTACTCTTCTGGAACCACAACGAAAGGGCTCAGGGGCGCCAGACCCGATCGCCAGAAAGCATGCCTCCGGCTGGGCCCTCCCCTGTTATGCCAGCGACGGCCTCGTGGAATCATGAATAGGTGATCCCTAGCAATTCTGGCACAGGCTTGCCAAATCACGCATAGCCTTGGCGCAGCCCCGCGCAGCCGCTGCGCGATTCCCCCATGGGGGGTCTCCCCTAGGATTCCCTCATCGGCATCTCCCACAGGATTCCCCACATGATTCAATCGGAGGCATTGACTACGGGCCGAGAGCCGGACCCCCCCCCCCCCTCCCCCCCATGCGCCTAAAGCCGGAACCCAGAATAGAAAAATGCTCACTTGGGCCTTTCTTGGTATGTTTTTGGGCCGTCTTGGAGCCGTCTTGGGGCCATCCTGTTGGCCTCTTGAGCCGTCCAGGGGCGGTCTGGGGTGACTCTTTGGGCCGCCTGGGAGCGTCGGAAGCTCGAAAAGTCGAGGGCCTCCAAAACACTGAACATTCAAAATGACATTCATTATAACAGAGAAAAGCCCCAAGCATAATATGTTTTGGGCTATAGGGCTATAGGGATACAAGGCCATAGGGCTATAGGTCTATAGGGCTATAGGGCTATAGGCATATATAGAGCTGTAGGGTTGTAGGGCTATAAGGCTATAAGGCTGTAGGGCTGTAGGGCTATTGGGCTACAGGGCTACAGGGCTGCAGGGCTATAGGGCTAGAACGCTATTGGGCTATAGGTCTGTAAGGCTTTATGGCTGTAATGCTATGGCGCTATATGGTGATAGGGCAATAGGGATACAAAAGTATTGTGCTATAGGATTATAGGGCTATTATGCTATAGGGATATAGGGCTATAGGTCTATGAATATGGGGCTACAGGGCTATCAGGGCTATGTGGCTATTGGGCTATAGAGCTATAGGGCTACAGTGCTAGAGAGCTACATGGCTGGCTCTTCGGGCTCTCGAGAGTCGCCTCGAAGGCTTCTTGGGCCGTCTTGGGGCCATCTTGGGCGGCTTGGACCGATCGTGCGGCGATTCGGGACCACCTTCGACCGTCTTGGAGCCCCCTTGGCCCCTCTTGGAGCCCTCTTAGGCCGAACAACCTTCGCGAGATGCCGCGGGGAGCTCAAGAGGCCACGTGGCACGCCCCAGAAGATTTTGCAATTTCGGCTCCGGGACACCTTTAGGATTCCTCAGGATAACGGACTGAGGCTTCAAAGGATTCAGCACTTCTTTGAGGACTCTCCAGCTCGTGCCTCGAGGGCACGGAGGCGGATATTGACAACGAGTTACCTATGCCTATACGTATCTATGTTCATATTGCGTTCTGAGCATCGGCACCACTGCAGTAAATGTTTTCGATGTGTAGGCGTGACCACAGACCTGGTGTAGGACAGATGACTCTCGCAGAAGATCGTGGTCTGATATGCGCTCTCCAGTTGCGGAGTCGGCCCGGTGCACCGTTCCAGTGATGGGATCGGTGCGTCTCGTGCCTGGTCCTAGTGCTGTCGGAGCACGGAGTGCTGTTGGAGCACGCAGTGGCGGCGCGTCTGGCTCGTTCAAGATTCTCCAGGATGTCTTCCTACTCCTACGCCCTGCCCCTCTTCCGCATCATGATTCTCTCCACCCTCCCCCGACTTTCTCGCTCCTTCTCTGCGAGAGGTCCAGACCAGGGCAATCAGAAAGCCGTCGCGGTCGCCCCCCCCTGCCCTTGGACCGGCGGAAAGTCCGGCCGAGCTCTGCATGGGCGTGGTTTAAGTTTGGCCCAATGCTGCCACTGCGACGCGCTTGGCCACGATGCAATGGGGTGTCGCAGGATGCAGGCGAACACAAGATTGTCCGGTGTGAATGCCACATTGAGGTTTCGACAGGAGCAGCAACATACACCCATCACCTACTTGAACACAGCAGCGCATCGAGTTCGAACCTGGTCCAAACGTGGTTCCAGAGGAAGTCCCTCACGAATCGCATACTGTTCTATGGGTTCGAACCGAATTCGGACCCGGCTCAAACCTGCTTTTCGAGGAAGTACCGCGGGAACCGCTCATTTCTCTATTGTTTCGAATGTGGTTCGAACCTGTTTTCCGAGCAGGTTCCAGCACAAAACGCTTACGCTTTATTGCTCCGAAGCGAATTCGAACTTGGTTCAAACATGCTTTTCGAGGATGTCCTGCACGAAACGATAACTTTTCTACTGTTCGAACCTGCTTTCCGAGGAGGCTCCAGCACGAAACGCATGCTGTTCTATTGGTTTGAACCGATTTCGAACCTGCTTTCCGAGGGAGTCCCACACGAAACGCTTATGTGTAAATTGTTTCCAACCGACTACTTTTATTCAGAACCGACTGTCGATCCTGGTTCGAACCTTTTGGGGGAGTACGCGGTTCGCCGTTCTGGAACCGACGCCCCGTTTAGCCTTATCAGAGTGAGGGGGCTGAACCGAACGGTCATTCACTGTCCCTGGGTGCGTGGCTGAAGTGGAATTCCGCGATGCTGATTATTGTTATTGTTGTTGTTCTTGTTGCTGCTGCTGCTGCTGCTGTTGTTGCTGTTGTTGTTATTGTTGAGTTCTCAATTCTGAAGAATAAGTATTGTTGATCCCCCCCGACCGGTGCGTATTGTTTTTTCTCCATCAAAGTGTGCCCCTCCCTCGACGCTCGCACCCTGTTTGTTGACAGGGAAAGTCTTCCTACTCAAATTGGGCCCCTGGCCCCCAGGCTACAACAACAACGGCTCCCGCCTGAGACTTCCTTACAATTTAGTAAGGACCCCCGCTCCCGCCCGAAAGTTCCTCGCATTTTATTCAGGAATCGCGCTCTCGCTTGGGACTTTCTTACAATTTATTAAGGAATCGCTTTCCCGGCGCTCTGGAGTCGCGCTCTCGCTGGAGACGTGCTTGCAACTTCCTGAAGAATGGCCTTGCGTTGGAATTTCCTGCAATTTGCCAAAGCGCCGCGCTCCCGACACCCAGGCACACAGGAGTCGCGCCCGTTGTGGCCCCATGCGCATGCCCTTCGTGGCCCCGCTGTCGCCATTTGTGTCCCCCTCACTGTCCTACGTGGCCCAGCTGCTCCCCTCAGTGGCCCCATAGTTGCCTTCTGTGGCCCCGCATTACCTGCACTTCGTGGCCCCCGCTCGTTCGCGCTCTTCGTGCCCCCATACGCATTCCCTTCGTGCCCCCGCTGTCGCCCTTCGTGGCCTACTTCGTGCCCTTCGTGGCCCTGCTGTCGTTCTCTCTCGCTCTCGCTTTCGCTCGTCGTCGCCGACGTCATCGTCGTCTCCGTCATCTTCGACGTCGTCGTCGTCGTCGTCGTCGGTCCCCTGTCCGTCCCCTTAGGGGTCGGGTCGACGGTCCGCGGCCGCCCCGCCGATCAGCGCTGTCGCTGGCCAGGCCGACGGTCCGCGGCCGCCCCGCCGCTTGCCGGGGCCCGGCCTGCAGGGAAGAAAGGTATACCCCCCAAACGGGGTCCGATCGAACACGAAAAGGGCGGGTCTCGAGGGTTTGGGAAATACGCGTTATTGGACATTCGAGGATATAAGGGCGAACAGTCTTAAACTTATTGTTGTTGGTGTTGTTGTTGAACATTATTAATTCTAAAGAATAATTATTGTTGGGACCCCTGGTGCACGGCCCCCCTGCGCCGCCTAGGCCGCAGCTACATTTTCATCATTTTCGTGAGGAAGCCTCAGGTAATACGATGTCATCAAGATCCGGTTGTTTTGTTGTAATCCGTTTTCCCTTGCAAAAAACACTATAAAATGACATTTCTTGTTCTAATATAATCAAATTTCAAGAATCCCTTGCAAAAAATAAGGTAAAGTGGACATTCGCGCGCGCAAGACGAAATCCTTCCAAAACCTTAGTGTTCGCAGCGATTTTAACATAAAAACATCAAAAAACCAATGGTTTTTCAACAAAAAATTGTCAAAATCTCATCCCGCGCGCTCTTGCGGATTCGTAGGAAACCCAACACTTTTTAAACATTTCTGTCAAACGGGCTTTTGCGAGCAACTTTTTCGAACTTCTGCGACAACGGTTGCGCACCTGCCAGGGCCATCATCCCTGTCAAATAATACCATGCGGGACACATTCGTTTTTTCTTCGCGCGCGCACGCCGAAATCTCCATCTTGTGAGTACGTATCATGTGTATCATGTGTATCATGTACCATATGCATCATATGCAACAGATGTTCTGTGGAAGGCTTAACAACTTCTGTGGGTTAACAAGGCTTAACAACTTCTGTGGGTGTACGAACGTAGGCTTAACAACTTCTGTGGGTGTGTACTCCACGCCAGTGTAGTAGCCACGGTCGTCCGCAGGCCACGAAGTGAAGTGTCCGAACGTCATAGGGCGGGAAGCTGGGTGTGGGTGGTGGCGAAGAGTCGTGTGGATATTTGGTAGAGCTTGCACTGCCCCCCCACAAAGTGGGGGTATTGGCTGGCGTCGCATGAAAACCCTGGCACTGGTGAGAACACTGAGCGTTCGGGTAAAGTGATTGTTGTTGTTGTTGTTGTTGTTGTTGTTGTTGAACATTATTATTCTAAAGAATAATTATTGTTGGGACCCCTGGTGCGCGGCCCCCTCGCCGCGCCTAGGCCGCAGCCTCATTTTCATAATTTTCGCGAGGAAGTCTCAGGCAAAACGATGGTCCAGATCCGGTTGTGTTGTTACGATCGGTTTTCCCTTGCAAAAAATAAGCAAAGTGGACATTTCTTGTTCTAACATAACCAAACTTCAAGAATCCCTTGCAAAAAATAAGGTAAAGTGGACATTCGCGCGCGCAAGACGAAATCCTTCCAAAACCTTAGTGTTCGTAGCGATTTTAACATAAAAACATCAAAAAACCAATGGTTTTTCAAAAAAAATGTCAAAATTTCATCCCGCGCGCTCTTGCGGATTCGTAGGAAACCCAACACTTTTTAAACATTTCTGTCAAACGGGCTTTTGCGAGCAACTTTTTCGAACTTCTGCAACAACGGTTGCGCACCTGCCAGGGCCATCATCCCTGTCAAATAATACCATGCGGGACACATTCGTTTTTTCTTCGCGCGCGCACGCCGTCGTCGTCGGCCGCGGGGCCCTGAATAGTAGCCACGGTCGTCCGCATGCCACGAAGTGAAGTGTCCGAACGTCATAGGGCGGGAAGCTGGGTGTGGGTGGTGGCGAAGAGTCGTTTGGAAATTTGGTAGAGCTTGAACCGGCCCCCCCACAAAGTGGGGGTATTGCCCGCCTCCTATGAAAACCCTGGCACTGGTGAGAACGGAGTGTCCCCACGTGCTAGTAATTGTTGTTGTTGTTATTGTTGTTGTTGTTGTTGTTGTTGTTGGTTGTTGCTCGTTGTTTGTCGTTGTCGTCGTCCCACCCGCGACCCGCCCCGCGACCCACCCGCGACCCACCCCGCGACCCACCCGCGACCCACCCGCGACCCACCCCGCGACCCACCCGCGACCCACCCCGCGACCCACCCGCGACCCACCAGCGACCCACCCGCGACCCACCCCGCGACCCGCCCGCGACCCACCCCGAGACTTGAGACCCCCCCGGCGACCCACCCGCGACCCACCGCGACCCACCCCGCGACCCACCGGCGACCCACCCGCGACCCACACGCGACCCACCTGCGACCCACCCGCGACCCACCCGCGACCCACCCCGCGACCCGCGACCCACCCGCGACCCACCGACCTATCCGCGACACACACCCGCGACCCACACCCCGCGACTCACCCAAAATTTTCGGCGTTTGCGGCGGGTTTCTTTTGCATTCGTTCCAGGTGGGGAACCTGCGACCCACCCGCGACCCAAACCGCGCCAGCGACCCACCCGCGATCCACCGCGACCCACCCGCGACCCACCCGCGACCCACCCCGCGACCCACCCAAACTTCTCGGCGCCTGCGGCGGGCTTCTTTTGCATTCGTTCCAGGTGGAGAACCTGCGACCCACCCGCGACCCAAACCGCGTTCAGTGCAAAAATCAAAATTATCGGCGCCTGCGGCGGGCAATTTTTTAATTCCTTCCAGGTGGAGGTGGAGAACCCGCGACCCACCCGCGACCCAAGCTACATTCACTGAACACGGAACAAGCCAAAATTTCGGCGCTTGCGGCGGGTGTCTTTTGCATTCGTTCCAGGTGGAGAACTTGCGACCCAAACCGCGTTCAGTGTACAAATCAAAATTTTCGGCGCCTGCGGCGGGCTGTTTTTTAAATTCTTTCCAGGTGGGGGTGGAGAGCCCGCGACCCACCCGCGACCCAAACCACGTTCACTGAACAAGCCAAAAATTCGGCGCCTGCGGCGGTCCGCCGGCTCGACGCCCGCGTCGCCCGCGCCCGCCCTCTTTATCCGCAATTGCGGGGTGCCCGCCCCCTGCTGGCACAGCTCCATGCCTGTCACATTGTACCAGGCTCCGCGCACCCAACGGGGCACCCCCGGTCCACGCTGCGCCAGCGTGTCAAAAGTTGGGGGCGATCTCTTACCACAGCACAGTCTCCTCGGCTACTCGTACGAGTGACCTTTGGCCAGAAAGACTTTCGGTGCGGGCCCACAGTGGTTCTTCCAGTTCTGTCCTGCACGCCTGCATGCTTGGACTTGGCCGCCCCGCGATCCCGTAAAGCTGCGCACCCAAGGTCACGCATGCCCAGACAGGTGTTCGACCATGGATCCCTTGTTCAACGCAACCATCCGGCTTTCGCGCCGAGGACTGCCGGAATCCGCCGAAGACCGCCAGAAACCACGGAAGATGACCAAAGACCGCCAAATATGTACCCAGGACCATTCTTGATGGCTCCCCCGCCCAGCCCAGATCAACTCCAAGTCAGCCCCAGAAGCTTCCAGAGGGACCAAAGGGGACGGAAACCGCCATGGAGGACGCCCTTGTCTCGAGCCTCGGCGGGCCCTCCGAGACGTCCCGTCAGGCTGCTGCCCCTCAGCGCGGACCTCCTGAGGATGCTCATCTCGGACGTTTCGCCGAGCAGCCACCTGAGCTCGGCCTTCAGCCTGAAGGACTGGTCGGGCGGGGTCGTGAGCAATAGCGGCCAGCTGCAAGGCTCGGACCGGGGCGGGGCAGGGACCCGTGCAGGGGCCACCTCGATCCAGTCGGTCCGATTCGACATCGGTTTCGGCCGTCTCGGTCCGACTCGATTCCACTGTTCTGGCGATCCGATGCGGCCCGATGCTTAGAAGGCGTTGGTACGCATCCTGGCGCGGCCGATCCAATTCGATTTCGTGTCTGTGCCGACTTTCGATCTGACGCGCAGTCCGATTCGATTCGATTTCCCGATTCGATTCTGACTGATCTTGCCGAGGCCTTGGGTTTTGGCAGTCCTCGATTCCCAGGCTCCTGGAGCCTCTCTCAGGACCCCGTGCACTCGAACAATCTATTGATTTATATTTATGTATATAAGTGAAACAAGATCAGTGTTTGTGCGATTCCAGGTCGAGGGTTCTCACAGTCACCCCCCCACACCCCCCAGATGGGATGGGCCCCAGGGTTCCACAGCCCCCCCCTAGATGGGATGGGAGGAGGGGGACGATAACGAAGACGACGCCGACGCCGACGCCGCCGCCGCCACCGACACCGACGCCGACGCCGACGCCGACGCCAACGCCGACGACGACGACGCCGACGCCAGCGCCGACGCCGACAACGCTGAGGTCGACGCCGATGACGACGCCGACGCTCACGCCGACGCCGACGACGACGACGACGACGCCGACAGCCTACGACGACGACGACGCCGACGACGACGACGCCGACGACGACGACGACGACGACGACGACGACCACGACACCGACGCCGGCGCCGGCGCCGACCACGACGACGACGACGCCGACGCCGACGACGCCGGCGACGACAACGACGACGACGCCGACGCCGGCGACGCCGAGGCCGACGCCGACGTCCACGACGACGACGACGCCGACGACGACGACGACGACGACGACGACGGCGGACGACGCCCGCCAACGACGGCGAAGCCGACGACGAAGCCATCGACGACGACGACGACGACAACGACGAAGACGCCGACGACAACGACGACGACGATGCCGTCGCCGCCCGCCGCCGACGATGACGACGACGACGACGACGCCGACGACTACGACGCCGACGACGACGCCGACGACGACGACAACGACGACGACGACGCCGACCACGAGACGACGCCGACGCCGACGACGACGACGACGACGCCGACGCCGACGACGACGACGACGCCGACGCCGACGACGACGACAACGACGACGACAGCGACGCCGACGCCGACGACGACGACGCTGACGACGACGACTACGACGACGACGCCGACGACGCCGACGACGACGACGCCAACCCCGACGCCGACGACGAATCCGACGGCGCCGCCGACGACTACGACGACGACGACGCCGACGACGACGACGCCGACGCCGAAGCCATCGACGACGACGACGACGACGACGACAACGACGACGCCGACGACGACGACGACGATGCTGTCGTCGCCCGCCGCCGACGATGACGACGACGACGACGCCGACGACTATGACTACGACGCCGACGATGACGCCGACGACGACGACGACAACGACGACGACGACGACGCCGAGCCACCCCACGCCAACACGGGGAGGGGGAGGGGGGGCGCCGGCACCATCCACCACGCCTTTTCCACAGGGCCACGACCATTCGCGTGTCCTTCGCGCGAGGCTCACGGGCGTATCGATCCAGCGCGGGGGGGGGCTCGACCTCATATGCATTGGGATGGGAGCGGGGCAAGGTGACGACGACGACGACGGCGGTGACGGCGACGATGACGACGACGACGGCGACGCCGCCGCCGCCGACGCCGACGACGACGACGCCGACGCCGTCGCCGACGCCGACGCCAACGCCGACGCCGACGACGACGGAAGACGACGGATGACGACGACGACGGCGACGACGCCGACCATCATCGCCTTGGTGAGGGCGCCGCCCAGCCAGTAAGCCTGGCGTGACGGCGGCCTGGCAATGACCATTCAGGAACAAGCAGACGAGCGGACACCACTGAGGGCCCCGAAAAGTGTCCGGGCCAGGGGCGCCGAAGAAGCAGAATCGCGTGTGGCACCCTTGCGGCCAGCCACGTGGGGTGATGGCATTGCGACATCAGGTATTATTCAAGGATAGGGAGCTGCGTCGCCTGCACAGCTCGACCGCTGCAGCAGCCTGCCATTGCGGCAGGTACGCGAGAGCAGACACAACCATTGCACTGTAATAGGTTTGTGTCCTGAGACGAATCATGCAACTTGCATATCCGCCGTTGCGGCGGCATCAATCGAAGTGGCCGGATTGCCCACTGCCACACATACTTGAAGAAGAAACGAATTTCCTGGACCAAGCCCCGACGGGGGGAGATCCAAGTAACGTAGCCAGGCGGCCTCGGCCGCCTCCATATTGGCGAGGCCCTGGTCATTGAAATCCAGGGACGCCGGGTCCTTCAGAATCAAAAGCGAATCGCTGACGATCTCGTCGATGAGGTCGACCACCCAACGAGAACGGGCTCCTGCCGGCAGCATAGAGATTAAGAACGCCCGAGCGCGTCCTGCTCAAGGCTGCACCACCAGACGGCGCGCTTTCCAAGTGGCCCGATAAGATGTTGACGAAGCCCTCGGCGGTGCCAGCGTCCAGAGGGATGTCGAGCTCCATCTCGTTGCCCAGCTCGAGGTCACCAGTGCCGAGCACGACGGCGTCTTCAGCATCACGCTGCACGCGCGCAGGCTGGCGCCAGATGATTTTGGCCGCCTCCGGCGTCAGCACGGGGCCAGCTTGTGGCCGCCGCCGGCGGAAGGCAGCGACGATGCCATCGGTGGTGCTGCTTGGTGCACGCTGGTGTTGTTGGGCGCACGCTTCCAAGAATGGGCACATCGAGTCCCAAGCCTCGTCCAGGCCATCATCCCAAGCTGGCTCTGCCTCAGCTGGGCCGCCACCGTCCGGGACGGCAGTAGCCAGGATGTCGAACGTAGGCGAAGGCGCGGCAACTGTAGCCGACCCCTGAGGCCGGCAAAGCACGCGCAGGCACGGGCTCGACGGTGCGGCCGAGTCCATGGCAGCCACCCTGCAGAGCTGCAGCTTGCGAGCCTCCTCACCAGAAAGCTGGCGCAGGCCACTGAGGAGGGCCCGGCCAGTCTCATGAGAGACAACATCTAGCCATCGAAGACGATCAGGGAGATCCCGAGCGTCGTCGCCACAATCAAACTCACTGTCAGAAGCGATGCTGAAATAAACGGGTCCGTTGCCATGGATGGCATGCATGAGCGAGTTCCAAACCGCCGCGAGGGCGGCGGAGAACCCATCGATCATGGAGTCGATGAGGTAACAAACGAGCAATTGAAAACGACACGTCGATTCCAACCGAAGAGCCTCTTGGCCGTGGCGGGAAGAAGCTGCAATCATGAACGTCCAATCGGTGAGCACCTGCTGCTGAGACCCCTCGACGAACTGGTACGCGTGCTCCGCGAGGGCGGCGACGACGCCGACGCGGACGAAGTCGACGACGACGACGACGCCAACACCGATGCCGATGCCGACGCCGACGACGACAACACCGACGACGACGACGACGCCAACACCGATGCCAATGCCGACGCCGACGACGACGACACCGACGACGCCGACGCTGACTCCGACGCGGGCGACGCCGACGCCGACGACACCGACGCCGACGTCGACGCCGACGGATGACGACGACGACGCCGACGCAAACGCCGACGCCGACGAATGACGACGACGACGACGACGCCGACGACGACAACGACGCCGACGACGCCGACGAAGACGATGACCACAACGAAGCCGCGGATGATGCCGACGCGGACTCCCGCACGCCACTTCACAGGGCCACTCCCACACACCGGCACGCACCACCACGCCACTCCCACAGGGCAACAACCACAGGGGGGGGAGCGACCTTACTCTCGGAAAGCTCTCGGCGAAAGAAGTGGAACGTCCACCTCCACCATGCCACGCTTGCAGTCCCACGACCACAGGAGGGGGGAGCGATCCCATTCGAGAGGCCGTCGCGAGGCTGACGGGCGTACCCATCCAGCGGGTGGGGGAGATATACATATGCAGACGAATCAGGCCCGTCCTCGGTTGTAAACTGACGTCTGGAGCGCGTAATCCTACGAGCGATATTCATATATGCACGCGCGTGCATATTAAATTTTTGAATTTTACTAACCTGGAAGCTCCCTGTAAACCGGACCTCCCCCCAGGGACGCCCCAGACGCCCTCTCGGACGTTCCGGCGGCCCCCTGGACGCCCTTGACAAAAGTCCGGTGGCCCCTCCAGGCTTCCAAAGGCGCCTTGCCGGGCCTTGCGAGCAGACTCAAGGCGATCAGAGGGGTCATCGGAGAGGCACAAGAGAGAATCAAAACAGCACAAGAGCGATCCAAGAGAAACCTCGACGGTCTGAAGACGGCCCAAGAGGCACCCGAGAAGCCCCAAGAAGAAGCAAACATCGTCCCATTCTCTTGGGACATGTATATGTTTAGCATATCCGCTTTTGAGGCCTTCGCAGCGTTCAAGACGGCCCGATGGGCCCCCGATATCGCCCCAAGACGGCCGAAGAGTCCCCCCAGAGGGTCTAAAAACGGCCCAGGAGGGCCCCAAGATTGCCCCAGAGAGCCCCGAGACTTCCCACAAGAAGGCTCCCAAGAGAGACCCACGAAAGCCACGGGAGACCCCCACGAAGGCCACTGGAGGCCCCCAAGAGGGCCCCCCCAGATGGCTTCATTAGACTTCTGCAGGGCCCCAACTCCCCAAGACGGCCCAAGAAGGCCCCACGACGGTCCAAAAGAACACCAAAAACGCCCAGACGGCGTTCTCCTACGATGTACATCGAGCTGACCCGACGAGCCTGATTCCACGCTTGTCGCTCGAGGTTTGCATTCCTCGATCGACAGAGACAGGCAATGAGTCTAGATTCGAAGCTCGACGATCGAAGATTTCCTGAGTGCCTGGGGCCTTCCAGGCATTCAGGAAGCGACCAACATCGATTTGTTCGGAGCTACTGCAACTTCTT